AAAGTTTTGTTTCTCACTGGATACTGAATGTACTGAGTTGAACTCTTCAGGGTATTCAAGTCTGGCCTCTAGGCACCTCGTGTAAACTTTTGAGCAATTTTTGTCGATCTGGATTTTTGGGTCAAAAACTGACTTTTCCGATGATGCCGGCTATGGAAAACGTTGAAGTTTTGGAAACATTTTGTAAAAAGCCAAAAAGTGTTGTTTTCTCACTGGATACTGAATGTAATGAGTTGAACTCTTTAGGGAATTCAATTCTGGCCTCTAGGCACCTCGTGTAAACTTTTGAGCAATTTTTGTCGATCTGGATTTTTGGGTCAAAAACTGACTTTTTCGATGATGCCGGCTATGGAAAAAGTTGAAGTTTGGGGGGCATTTTGTAAAAAGCCAAAAAGTTTGGTTTCTCACTGGATACTGAATGTAATGAGTTGAACTCTCCAGGGAATTCAATTCTGGCCTCTAGGCACCTCGTGTAAACTTTTGAGCAATTTTTTTCGAGTTGGATTTTTGGGTCAAAAACTGACTTTTTCGATGATGCCGGCTATGGAAAACGTTGAAGTTTTGGGAACATTTTGTAAAAAGTCAAAAAGTTTTGTTTCTCACTGGATACTGAATGTAATGAGTTGAACTCTTCAAGGAATTCAATTCTGGCCTCTAGGCACCTCTTGTAAACTTTTGAGCAATTTTTGTCGATCTGGATTTTTGGGTCAAAAACTGACTTTTTCGATGATGCCGGCTATGGAAAAAGTTGAAGTTTTGGGGGCATTTTGTAAAAAGCCAAAAAGTTTGGTTTCTCACTGGATACTGAATGTAATGAGTTGAACTCTCCAGGGAATTCAATTCTGGCCTCTAGGCACCTCGTGTAAACTTTTGAGCAATTTTTTTCGAGTTGGATTTTTGGGTCAAAAACTGACTTTTTCGATGATGCCGGCTATGGAAAACGTTGAAGTTTTGGGAACATTTTGTAAAAAGTCAAAAAGTTTTGTTTCTCACTGGATACTGAATGTAATGAGTTGAACTCTTCTGGGAATTCAATTCTGGCCTCTAGGCACCTGGTGTAAACTTTTGAGCAATTTTTTCGATCTGGATTTTTGGGTCAAAAACTGACTTTTTCGATGATGCCGGCTATGGAAAACGATGAAGTTTTGGGAACATTTTGTAAAAAGCCAAAAAGTGTTGTTTTCTCACTAGATACTGAATGTAATGAGTTGAACTCTTCAGGGTATTCAATTCTGGCCTCTAGGCACCTCGTGTAAACTTTTGAGCAATTTTCGTCGAGTTGGATTTTTGGGTCAAAAAACTGACTTTTTCGATGATGCCGGCTATGGAAAACGTTGAAGTTTTGGGAACATTTTGTAAAAAGTCAAAAAGTTTTGTTTCTCACTGGATACTGAATGTAATGAGTTGAACTCTCCAGGGAATTCAATTCTGGCCTCTAGGCACCTCGTGTAAACTTTTGAGCAATTTTTGTCGATCTGGATTTTTGGGTCAAAAACTGACTTTTTCGATGATGCCGGCTATGGAAAACGTTGATGTTTTGGGAACATTTTGTAAAAAGTCAAAAAGTTTTGTTTCTCACTGGATACTGAATGTAATGAGTTGAACTCTTCTGGGAATTCAATTCTGGCCTCTAGGCACCTCGTGTAAACTTTCTAGCAATTTTTTTCGAGTTCGATTTTTGGGTCAAAAACTGACTTTTTCGATGATGCCGGCTATGGAAAACGTTGAAGTTTTGGGAACATTGTGTAAAATGCAAAAAAGTGTTGTTTTCTCACTGGATACTGAATGTAATGAGTTGAACTCTTCAGGGAATTCAATTCTGGCCTCTAGGCACCTCGTGTAAACTTTTGAGCTATTTTTGTCAATCTGGATTTTTGGGTCAAAAACTGACTTTTTCGATGATACCGGCTATGGAAAACGTTGAAGTTTTGGGAACATTTTGTAAAAAGTCAAAAAGTTTTGTTTCTCACTGGATACTGAATGTAATGAGTTGAACTCTTCTGGGAATTCAATTCTGGCCTCTAGGCACCTGGTGTAAACTTTTGAGCAATTTTTTCGATCTGGATTTATGGGTCAAAAACTGACTTTTTCGATGATGCCGGCTATGGAAAACGATGAAGTTTTGGGAACATTTTGTAAAATGCAAAAAAGTGTTGTTTTCTCACTGGATACTGAATGTAGTGAGTTGAACTCTTCTGGGAATTCAATTCTGGCCTCTAGGCACCTCGTGTAAACTTTTGAGCAATTTTCGTAGAGTTGGATTTTTGGGTCAAAAACTGACTTTTTCGATGATGCCGGCTATGGAAAACGTTGAAGTTTTGGGAACATTTTGTAAAAAGTCAAAAAGTTTTGTTTCTCACTGGATACTGAATGTAATGAGTTGAACTCTTCAGGGTATTCAATTCTGGCCTCTAGGCACCTCGTGTAAACTTTTGAGCAATTTTTGTCGAGTTGGATTTTTGGGTCAAAAACTGACTTTTTCGATGATGCGGGCTATGGAAAACGTTGAAGTTTTGGGAACATTTTGTAAAAAGTCAAAAAGTTTTGTTTCTCACTGGATACTGAATGTAATGAGTTGAACTCTTCTGGGAATTCAATTCTGGCCTCTAGGCACCTCGTGTAAACTTTTGAGCAATTTTTTTCGAGTTGGATTTTTGGGTCAAAAACTGACTTTTTCGATGATGCCGGCTATGGAAAAAGATGAAGTTTTGGGAACATTTTGTAAAATGCAAAAAAGTGTTGTTTTCTCACTGGATACTGAATGTAGTGAGTTGAACTCTTCTGGGAATTCAATTCTGGCCTCTAGGCACCTCGTGTAAACTTTTGAGCAATTTTTGTCGATCTGGATTTTTGGGTCAAAAACTGACTTTTTCGATGATGCCGGCTATGGAAAAAGATGAAGTTTTGGGAACATTTTGTAAAATGCAAAAAAGTGTTGTTTTCTCACTGGATACTGAATGTAGTGAGTTGAACTCTTCTGGGAATTCAATTCTGGCCTCTAGGCACCTCGTGTAAACTTTTGAGCAATTTTCGTAGAGTTGGATTTTTGGGTCAAAAACTGACTTTTTCGATGATGCCGGCTATGGAAAACGTTGAAGTTTTGGGAACATTTTGTAAAAAGTCAAAAAGTTTTGTTTCTCACTGGATACTGAATGTAATGAGTTGAACTCTTCAGGGTATTCAATTCTGGCCTCTAGGCACCTCGTGTAAACTTTTGAGCAATTTTTGTCGAGTTGGATTTTTGGGTAAAAAACTGACTTTTACGATGATGCCGGCTATGGAAAATGTTGAAGTTTTGGGGGCATTTTGTAAAAAGCCAAAAAGTTTGGTTTCTCACTGGATACTGAATGTAATGAGTTGAACTCTTGAGGGAATTCGATTCTGGCCTCTAGGCACCTTGTGTAAACTTTTGAGCAATTTTTTTCGATCTGGATTTTTGGGTCAAAAACTGACCTTTTCGATGATGCCGGCTATGGAAAACGTTGAAGTTTTGGGGACATTTTGTAAAATGCAAAAAAGTTTTGTTTTTCTCACTGGATACTGAATGTAATGAGTTGAACTCTTCAGGGTATTCAATTCTGGCCTCTAGGCACCTCGTGTAAACTTTTGAGCAATTTTTGTCGATCTGGATTTTTGGGTCAAAAACTGACTTTTTCGATGATGCCGGCTATGGAAAACGTTGAAGTTTTGGGGACATTTTGTAAAATGCAAATAAGTTTTGTTTTTCTCACTGGATACTGAATGTAATGAGTTGAACTCTTTAGGGAATTCAATTCTGGCCTCTAGGCACCTCGTGTAAACTTTTGAGCAATTTTTGTCGATCTGGATTTTTGGGTCAAAAACTGACTTTTTCGATGATGCCGGCTATGGAAAAAGTTGAAGTTTTGGGGGCATTTTGTAAAAAGCCAAAAAGTTTGGTTTCTCACTGGATACTGAATGTAATGAGTTGAACTCTCCAGGGAATTCAATTCTGGCCTCTAGGCACCTCGTGTAAACTTTTGAGCAATTTTTGTCGATCTGGATTTTTGGGTCAAAAACTGACTTTTTCGATGATGCCGGCTATGGAAAAAGTTGAAGTTTTGGGGCATTTTGTAAAAAGCCAAAAAGTTTGGTTTCTCACTCGATACTGAATGTAATGAGTTGAACTCTCCAGGGAATTCAATTCTGGCCTCTAGGCACCTGGTGTAAACTTTTGAGCAATTTTTTTCGATCTGGATTTTTGGGTCAAAAACTGACTTTTTCGATGATGCCGGATATGGAAAAAGTTGAAGTTTTGGGGGCATTTTGTAAAAAGCCAAAAAGTTTGGTTTCTCACTGGATACTGAATGTAATGAGTTGAACTCTTCAGAGAATTCAATTCTGGCCTGTAGGCACCTTGTGTAAACTTTTGGGCAATTTTTGTCGATCTGGATTTTTGTGTCAAAAACTGACTTTTTCGATGATGCCGGCTATGGAAAACATTGAAGTTTTGGGGACATTTTGTAAAAAGCCAAAAAGTGTTGTTTTCTCACTGGATACTGAATGTAATGAGTTGAACTCTTCAAGGAATTCAATTCTGGCCTCTAGGCACCTGGTGTAAACTTTTGAGCAATTTTTGTAGATCTGTATTTTTGGGTCAAAAACTGACTTTTTCGATGATGCCGGCTATGGAAAACATTTTAGTTTTGGGGACATTTTATTAAAAGCCAAATTTTTTTTTTTTCTCACTAGATACTGAATGTAATGAGTTGAACTCTTCAGGGAATTCAATTCTGGCCTCTAGGCACCTCGTGTGAACTTTTTAGGAAATTTGGTGAAGTTGGATTCTTGGGTCAAAAACTGACTTTTTTTATGATAAAAAAGGGGCATTTTGTAAAAAATCTTAAATTTTTCTTTTCTCGCTTGATACTGAATGTAATGAGTTGAACTCTTCAGGGATTTGCCCCAATCTATAACAAATTAGTTCAAGTTGCCTACTGACACTCATTCAAATGGGTCATGTTTTGTCGAAAACTTGAAAAATGGGCTCTCCATGGAAAACTCTTGGTGCTGCACTGCATTGTGAAACGCCCGAATTTGGCACAGGATGTGGTATTTTTCTAAATAATGTAATAACATATATACCTTTCTGGAACTTTCCATTTGCTTGTAGGGGGTAGTTCCAACACAGTGTCGTGGGATCACTTCTTCATGTCCATCAACCGCTACTACACCACCCTCCGGCAAGAAGCCACCAGCTCCCCCCATCCCGAAGTGGGACAGGCCCACTCCATGCATAGATACAGTGTGACTAAGGGGATCACTCCACAGGAGATGGAGGGGTTGCTGGCTGTCCTCAGGCTGACACAGGTCACCGCTAAATGGGTGAGAACATTAAAAAAACCTAGACTTCTGTGGGTCTGTAGTTGAATGGAACACATGGCTCTACCGATTTGCTTTTGTTTGTAAGGCATCGTCTCATTAAATATCAGCATAGCTCTGAATCCTTAATTAATTAATTAATTAATACAACTAATACCTGATGCATTGGGCCCACTGTGAAAAAAAATTTGTCTGCAAATTATCCCAGCTCCTTAAGTCATATATAATCACACATCCTGATATAAGAATTTAACAATTCAGATTTTAAAAGCCTAAAAGAAATTGCATGACGACATCCTCATGACATTGTTGTTTATAGACATGCTAACTTTTGCCTTAATCAGCATGTATATATTTGACTTTGAAACTCACCTTTAAGTTGACATCGTGTGACAAATGATGACGTCATCATGATGTCATTGTTTTCAGACTATCTTTGGTAGGTCAAAGTATTCAGCCGAGTTTGATCAAGATATGACCTTTTTTTTTTTAAGTGACCAAAATGCCAGTTGGAAAAAGTGCATATAAAGTCTATGGGACTTTGTAGAGACGAACAAGGGGGAAAAAGGGGAGGGGGAAGGAGAGAAAACAATGATTTTTCCCAAAGACTAACATGCTTCTTGAATGAGTTATTTTGAATAAACTTGAGTTGTTTGACAAAAGTGACTGGTTTACTTTGCAAGCATATTAATATAACTAAAAAGCATATTTTTCTTTTAGGATGAAAATGCCAGAATTGCTCTGTGTGAGAACCAATCCTGGCTTCCCATTGTCCTGCTCCTGGGTCTTCTCAGCTGCAGCGTGCCCCCAAAGTTGAAAGGTCAATGCCTACGCACCCTGGCCACGTTGGCGCAATCGCCGGAAGTAGGTGCCACCCTCTGGCAGTCCCTGGAGGTCTCACAGGTACGGTGCGCAGATTCAGACTTTGGTTTTGCTTGTCTAAAACCTCTTTTGGGAAATTTCTCCAAATGGAAAGAAACATGAGTGGCTAGATGAAACAGATATCCCAACAACCTGACTCCCTGCACCTAAAAAGCAGAGATTTGCTCTAGAAATCTTTAGTCAATTGCAAGTTGTGAGAGGTTGATTACGGCCAAAAGCGCCGAAATGGCTGCCTACCTACCTGGTCCCCAGAGAGTTGAGAAGGTTTCAGGAGTGCTTGTCCGTTGAACAGGGGTAATAATAATTGTAAAGCGCTTGATACCCCATTTAAAAGCGCTATAGAAATGCCTGTTGTTATTATTATTATATGTTATCCAGTCTCAAGTCTGGTAACAAAGTGTTCAAGTGAACTCTGACAGTGGACGTTTTCTTGCATCAGAATATGGACAAAGATTACTTTCAGGAGAATATACAAAGCACTCCACTGAACACAGTGGGAGAAATCAAGCAGAATGCACGTCCAGTGTGTTTCAGCTGAACTGGTCTATTGCTGGGTTCCAGCAGTCTCACTGAAAGTATCTATGTTGTCCGTGAAACGTGGGAACTTTGCAGTGTAGGAACAGGCTGTTCCTCCGGGAACTTTCCCACTGTTCCAACTGTTGACGACACTCCCTCGTCACTTTGCTTAGGTAATACAATCTTTGTTCCATCAGGTGGTTGCTCTTCTTCGTGAGATATTCAACAGTTCATATTAAGAAGGAATTTACGTCGGGTGATGTAAATTCAATATTGGGTTTTGCCCTTCACCGACGTATTTTTACAAACACTGTATACTCAATGTTCTGTGGTTGTGATACCCGCTGCATTATCAGATTCAAACCAGCCGGCCGACCCCGGCAAGATCGGTGGTCAAGTGGTAAGACATCTGCACTAATAAGCAGGAGGTCGCGGGTTTGAGTCGCACCTGGGTAGTTTGTGAATTTTATTCCCACAATCACTCAGAACAACACTGGGTATGCAGTGTGTATAAATACGTCAGTGAGAGGCAAAACTCAATATTGAAATTACCTTCAACAGTGTTGAATGTTTGTTTTCCTCTCCTTGTTGTCCATGTTACACAGGTCATCCCTACCGTGGCCCTGCCAGGCTCCCCGGCCTCGGGCATCCCCGTGGAGCTAGACGAGATCGAATCATCCAATGAGGAGTACCCGCTCACATGCGGCTTCCTGGAACTGATGAATTCCTTGATGGACCTACCCATACCGGCCATGCTCGGTGCCGGGTACCGGGCACCAGGCTTCGACCCTTACCTGGAGTTTCTGAGGGACACCGTGTTCCTCAAGTACCGTTGGCGGGCTTACAGGGACCCTGGAGAGAAGGTGGATAGTTTGAGAGATTTTGGGAATGAAAATGAATTTTTTTGTTGGAGCACTGCCTCAATACCTCATGCAGATATAGAGGTCTGACTGGCCAGTACGTGGATAACACTATGACCTATGATGTGCCAGTGTAAAGGGCCCATTTTATAGACATTAGTTAGTGCAATCTTTGACATGCACCATTGTCTCCCATTTAACTTAATGAGCAAAGCGGTGGTATAACTTACAGCAGTCAGCTTACAGTCAATTGGGGGTAGTACTTGAAAAAAGCCGTTTTCTTCCAATGATGATTGGCCGAACCATCATTGGAAAATGATACAAAATGCCACTTTTCTTGAAAATGACAGCATACCAGGCGCAATGATTTCACAGGGTGCTTGAGACTATTATTCACTTACAGTCAAGTAAGGTATTGTATAATAATTTAGTAATTTCATTTTATAATGTTTGCAAATGTTGTAGTTGTACATTACCTTTAAGCATCAAAAATTGCAAAAATTTTGGTGTTTTCGGAAAAAGCATGGAACATTTAAAACAATTTTTAAGTGGAAGTTATGAAGTTTTTTGCCAAAAGGGATGTCTTGTAGTATTCATACATTTCAGGTGAATGAAAATTTGCACAAAAATACATTCAATTCTAAAAATCATGTCATGGGCCCTTTAAGTATTGCTTGGCATACTTAGAGACCGTGCTCAGCTGTGTGTATGTTTGACAAACTGTTGACTTGAAAGATATTTTGTGGATGAAAACTGAGACAATTCACATTGATGTCCATTGTACAAGTCTTTTGAGGGCCTGTAACTCAAAATAAGGTATGGCAGCTTTTGACATTAAAAAAAATAGGCTACGGTCTCCACATTAGTCAACAACAAAGTCACAGTTTCAAATAGGTGTGTCATGCTGTTATTACGATAATTATCAATAAACTGTTGTTTGCATGGGTGGCTCAGTATGTAAGCGCTCGCCTCTCATTGCTGTGTCCCGGGTTCGATTCCCGGCTCAGGTCACATGTGAGGAGATTTGTTCGCTGCTTATGTCTTGTGCCATGAAGGTTTTTCTCCGGGTTCTCCGGTTTTCCTCCCTCCGCAAAATTCAACCCTTTGGATCTGGCTGTGCTCCGTGGATAGACATGGGTCGTTGTGGCTGCATCCTTCGCAATTCAACTTTTGCTGCAAGTAAGAATGATTAGCCCCCCAAATTTATTTTTATTTCATTTCCTTTATTTTATTTTTCCTATTTTAGTGGGAGGTAGCGGCAGGCGTCACCGAGATATTCTGCAAGCTGCTCCAGGACTACGAGCCCCAACCTCAGGACTTTGTGGACCATCCGGTGGAGATACAGGGAGGGGGCATTAGCGTGGCCAACAAGCCCCCCGGCTACCATCTCATGGTTCACATGCTGAATGACAATGCTATGCTCAGATTGGTAAGGGGGAAAAAAAGGGGGGGAAAACAGTCAATAACTCAAGGCTTACCTCGAGGATTTACGAGGTTGTACAGGGTTTTATGGGGTACCCCAGGCAAAAACAAACATACCATAGGCCCTACGTTGCTCTGGGCTCCCAAACCCCAGCATGAGATTTTTCAGACTTTCGTCTGAAATCAAACTTTTTGAATCGGAGAGAAAGCCATTATCAGTATAGAAAGAAATGCATCTTTCAGCCCTTTCACATGTTTTTTTTTAATTGACAATCTCATCGCCGCAAACCGTCTGCGGATTATTTCATGGCTTTTTCTTTCCCCGCCAATCTCAATCCTCGGTATGATCAGAGGGTCTGGACTTTGAATCTAGCTGCCGGCCATATGTTGTGTCCCTGGGCAAGCCACTTCACCCCTCTTGCCTGAAGTTATCAAGGATTATAAACAAGTACTATCATTAGCTGGAGAGTAACTTGTGAAAGACTTACATCCCATCCAAGGAGGAATAGAAATGCAAAGGAAACTGAAGATAAACGTGGACCTTGGGGTCAAATTGCCTCAAGACAGACATTACTTCTCCCTCACTCTGTTATGTTTCAGATACTTCAAATTATCGATGAAGTCACTCATACCCTGGACCAGTACAGGACGGGCATTCCTGGCAAGCCCCACATGGAGAAGTGCGCCCTCATGTGTCTGCAGATGGTCCAGCTGACGCTGGAGAAGCAGAACGCGTTCGTTGACCTGGTCAGAGTTCAAGGGTCGGGGGTCATGGTCAGCACAATGGATGAGCTGCTGATGGCCATCAATCCTCGGTCGGAAACAGCAGACCACCTGGTCAACATTGCAAAGTAAGACATGGCCAAATATAAACTACATCTCCTGATCAGTTTTTCCCAATATTACAACGAAAGAGGATTTGAACCCAGGTCCAATGGTTTTGATGTAGGAATCACATGCGATATGTGGGTTCGAACCCTGATGGAAAACATGGTGCTTGTGTTCTTAGGCTAGATACTTTACTACAATTGTCTCTCTCAACGCAGGAGCATGTGTCCTAGTTTCGACTTGCCAACTCACTACACCGCTCTGCCTGTAAAAAGCTCACTCCTACCATCCTATCTGAAGGTGGTGTTGATGGCTAATCTATGTCACAATTTGCCCCCCCCCCCTCCCCCCTCTATAAAACTTCATGTTAAAAAGCTTTGGAATGGGAAAGATTCCCATATCTGGCCATCAGTAATTTTTCTCTTAAATGACCGATCAGCCATCAGAAAGTGATAATATGTCCTAAAAAGTTGAAAGTAGCAGGGACAAATTTTGACTTTTTACTGAGAAAACACTTAGAAATTTTCAGACCAGTCCCATAGGGTTTGTGCACAGGATGTCAAGTGCTGGCCAGATATGGGAATCTTTCCCTGGAATGCTTTGGCCAATCGACATTAAGTTTGGTGACTTTTCCTAACTTTCATTGGGGTCAGCATGGTACCAAAAATATTCTGTAGGATGTCAATTTTTACCATGGCAACTGAATTTAAAAAACACTAGTGATCATAAAATTTGGTAAATTTTTTTGTGTAAAACATGGAAATATGCATATTTGTGAGTTAAAACCATGTTTTCTTTGTCCGAACCTATCATGCCTTTAAAGGCAATGCCCACTAATGGTAGGGCTAACCTAAAGAAGAAAAAAGTCAAGCAACATGAGATTCAGGACTAGGATCCTTTTTTTCCTGTAAGGTTTGTCACCCATGGAGACACCCACCCTAAACACGCCCTGGCCAGCACAAGGATTCTCTACAGCACGGTGCGTGCCTCAAATATGCAGCCAGAAATCGTGGGACTCTTCACTGCAAAACAGGTATGGATTTCATGTCAAACATCTTTTCAGTGCTAATATCAGTAAGATGCCCTGAGGGTAATATTACTAAATATTATTTATATCAGGCTTCCAGCAGTAAAAATAAATCGGCGTATTGTATGCTTTCATAAAAAGTTCCCGGATGACTACAATGATAAAGTACCCGGTTGACTGCAATAACATTATTATTGCAGTCATCCGGGCATTTTCGCTGGTTCCCAATCGATCAAGAGCATAGAAAGTCACAGTTGTCAACCACTCAACAGAGCGTAGCGCGCGCGCGCACCGTCGAACACGGAACACGCCGCGTGCATGCAGCGCTCATGCAGTGTGCAGAAGGCCAGGTATACTTGTACTGTTGTCAACAATTACAGTGGCAGCTTCAAAACGTTTGATGTAAACGAAAAAGATGTAATGAAGACAGTGTCTTGAATTGTGCTTCTTGCAGATCAAGTCAGCCTGATATAAATAATAATAATAATATTGGATGGCTTGTTTTCGGTGGATACAAGATTATATTGCACTCGCTATGACAATATTGTCATAGTTCGTGCAATTTATTCTGGTATCCACCTCAAAGCCATCCAATATTATATAATTATTACTAGGGAAATTTTACTTGGAAAGCAGGTTTAATTTCTTGGAGACATGCACTCCAAAGGTTGAAATTTAAACATTGAAGCTGTTCAGTCAGAAACAAGGTTATTTTTATATACGATGCATCCAAATGCATTTGTGCACAAACCATACCACTGACAGGTACCAGTTTGCCTTGCAAGAACTTAAATATTGTCAGGCTGCAAATAATGTAAAATTTGTAAAATAATTATCACTGATTTTTTCATCGATGTCTATTGCAGGAAAAAGAAATAATTTAATATTTAAATCTATATTTGGGGGGTGAAACTTGCAAATAGCAAAGCCTGGACATCTTTAACAAAAGTTGTCCAACTAGAGCGAAAAGAAATACGTAGTGTCCAGTGCCCACAGGTAAGAGTTTAGTAGAAGAAAACTTCTTTATAATGGCAAACAGTGGCGTATGAAGATGTCAACCCTGTCTATTTAAAAAATGTCACCCCCTTTCAGGACGTACGCAGGAACCTCCTGCGTGGCTTTGTGGACTGCCTGGAGACTGACGACCCAGAGGACTCCTCCGCTGACGCCCTCCCTGCAGAGGACGAGTCCCTGGAGGGAGACGACACGGCCAAGGTCCGCAGCGCCACACGCCTGTACATCCTGAGACTCTTGCTGTACTCGCTGGAGCAGCCCTCGCCCAATCTGGCCCACTTCTTGCTGGGTTATGAGTACCGTAAGCCGGCCAGTAAGACCAACCTTCAGGAACCTGGTAGGTGTTCAAGAAACCTCCAAACATCAACCCATCAGATTCCACGTTCTTCCTTGAAATGTTCTTATATTACTTCATTAAAAAAATGGCAACATTGTCACAAAACATGGTTTAATATGCTGAGTATCCAGAACTCTGAAGGGTTTTACCTTCCATTTACACAATCTGTTCATCTACAAAATCAATTACATCATCTGTTCACACAAAAATCAGACGAGTGTAAGAGAACCGCAAAGGTTTGTTTAGTTATTCTTCAAATAGTCCAAGGATAGTAGGTTCATGCCCTGTTTGGTAGATGTGTTCAAAGACATAGACTTTCTAATGCTAGGCATGCTAACACTTGTACATGATGCCCGTTTTTGCGTGTCTGATTTCAGTTTTACCTCTGAATTTAGGGCACTCATTGCTTGCTTACTTCTTACAGCATCTGTCAAATAGAATTCAGTCCCATCAACAGAAAAACTATGTACTTAACATTACCACAAAGTTGAGTCCAGATTTGGATTACTGCCCTCATTACCATCCTTTTCAAGTTGAATCAGGTGCTCTGGAATTGGAAGCTACAACCCTTTTTTCCCTAGATCAAGGGTTTGAAGGATTTGGGGATTGAGAAGGCAAGACACAAACGGTATTACTTTAGATTGGATTTCATGCCTCCAGGTTGTTAAAATATAGAGAATGTACCCTAATTTGTGGTGATTTTATAGAATTAGGAAGGTTCCTTGCATATGCCCTTTAGAGACAAGGTTGATCATTCCATCTTTTGACAAGCTTCCAGATTTGTACAACCTTGGGTTTTTTCCCTCGTCTTGTCACAGGTGTCTTGGGTTCCCCCCGCACCTGCCTCCATTCCATCCTGAACATCCTGTCCCTGGACCGTGGCGCCCAGGCCCGCTCCGGTCCCCTAGCCATCCACGCCATGCCTCAGCTGGCTGAGCTGGCCTACGAGATGATCTACCGTCTCTGCGCCAACCGCGAGACCTCGGACCCCACCATGCGCTACCTCCGTGCCTCCCAGGATTTCTTCTACAGCCAGCTCAGACACCTGCCCTTCAATGCAGGTACTAACAATAGTTTTCCTAAAGTGTTCTCACCTGTCCAACTATTGACAGAGTTTAAGAAAAACATTGGGCCAAATTCTAGAAGCTGCTTACCCCAAAACCTTGGTACATGTATCACTAAAGAGTGGCTGACAATGGCACAAAGATACCTGACTATTTCAGAACTTGAAGTTGCATGAAGCTTACCCTAAATCAAGTGTTACGTATAGAGTGCACTAAGTCTTGGGAATTCATATTTAAGTGGGCTCTTGTAATGAGAAAAACCAGAATATCAGACATCCAATATTTAACTCCAAAATAGAAAACAACAGAGTCATAGCTCCTGTTTTATCCACTGCAGTGTATCAGAAATAGCGAGTCAGATATCAAATTAGACAATAAATTGTTGACCCCAAAACAAAGCTCTCTAATAGCTCAACAGATCAATTTGGGCCCTGGTTGATTCAAAGTCAGAGTAACACTTGTGTCAATCAGGCAGTCAAGTATCACACGGATTCTTAATCATGCTAAAAAAAGTTTGAAATAAATGTGACGATTGATACAATTTGGAGCGAATATGGGCAAAAGATCCACCATTGCAGTCTTTCAGGAGGACACCAGAATCTGATCAATGGACAATTAGAACATAAAGTTGACCTTGCTCTAAATACTATTCGTTTGGCATGACTGTGGAACGCCTGTTGTATGACATGATTTACATTGTTCACAACATTATTTTCATTGTTATCATGTTTGCTCTTTAAAAAAAAAACACCTATATTTTGGTTTTTTTCTGTTTTCTCATGGCAGGCAATGTGGAGGAGCGGCTGCTTTTGAACCAGCAGTCCTGGCTGATGAAGGCTGTTGCCACGGAGATCAGACTGACCTCCGTCAATCGACAACGCTCGCATATTCAGAGATTACTGCGGCTTCTTCTAGAGGACTCGCCCTCGCTTCTCTTTGGAGGTAGGGCTACTTAAATGTTCATCAGAATTTATGGGCATTGTTTTTGGTAAGAAAGTAATTACCACTGAGCTGAACTTAAGCAACTTATTTGTGATGCCGTTCATAATGAAATTAAAAAAAAGACTGAAATGCAGATGATCATGTGGCAATTTAATTACATTAGGGGTACCTCAAGGTTTACCTCAAGCCGAGGTTTCCCGAGGTTCCACAGGGTTTTACTGGGTACCTTGATGTTCAACTTTGAGTTACTGGTTGTTTGATTTTGCATTCTTCCCTTACTTGTAATGGTGAATAATCTTCAACTACAATGTATGCTACGTTACGTTACTTTCTCCTTGACTGTTGCCGACGTCAGGGGGGCCTGAGGGCAGAAGAAGCTGAAGTCCTCCTCCATGCTGGTATGTCAGTGGCCTGCTCTAGGAGTTCTGACATATTCATGTTTGTCCATTCTTTTACGTTGTCAAATCAGCTCTTCCGTTGGCGCCCTCGCCTGCGTCCTCCCTCGATGGTGCCCTGCATGATGGTCTTGCATAGGCTGTTATGCCGCTTGACGTGGCCGAACCACTTCAGCTTCCATCGCTTCCTGGTGTTACAAGAGCTAATTGAGCAAATGGTTCATCTGTGCATAATTTATGCTCCTCCACATCAATTTTTTAGTTCTTCTTCCTCCATCGAAGAATCATCACGTTTCAGCTTAATCTTATTTCAGGGGTACATTCCATTTTTTTTTCTTTGGTTTTGCAGATGAGGAAGCAGACGAGCGAGGAGTAGGGGACGTGAGTCTGATCACTGAGCACGGTGCCCTGGGGATGAGTACGATGCACCAGGCAGGACAGTCTAGAGTCACTGGTAAGACAAGTTGTCAAATAGTGTTGTAACCAAGTCCATCCCATGGCCTCTTTAAGTCCATCATAAGTCCATAAAAAGTCATCCAGTCTCAACACCATCCAGGTCCCAAGTCAAGTCGCGTGATCGCTCTTCAAATGAACTGAAACCAAGGCATTCCTTTTTCGTTGTTCATCCCCTGTTTACTTGTGACCAGACTTTTAATTTACATGTGACTGAATTTGTAATGAATTGCAGTCCAAAACACCTTAAGCAAATCCATTAAAAGTCAATAAAAGGAAAAACGTAAGAATGGGTGAACAGTGAGGTAGCCCAGACTACTTCCTTTTTCAAGATAGAAAGGTGAACTTAACCATTCTCCTCCTCTACTCAGGTACCCAAGTGCGCCGCAAGATCCTGACGTTGCTGGACTCCATTGACTTTGTGCAGGACCTGCCTCCGCACCTACGCCTGGAGTACATCGACCCAGTCAACATTGAGAAGATGATTGCGGCATTCGAGCTGCCCGCGGAGCGTGGAGTGGCTTCACTCTGCGACGTCAGGCAGCTGCATCGCTTCCTGATGGCAAATCTGAACAACCTACAGGGAGCATCTGCCATCGGTCAGAGGCCTATTGTCATGCAGGTATTGACTTGGGTATATGTCATGTAGCCAGGGATAAACGCCCAAAGTTACGGTTCTAGCAACATTAGCAAAGCTGCAGACCTAGTTTTTTAATAGAGTCCTCTAGAGTCAGATATACTGGCTTGACACAGCGTACAGTGTCTTTCCTTGTTTGTTGTTGACTTCTTTTTAACTCATTAGGGCGTGTATAACATTGTTATACACTGTATTAACTCCTTGATAAATCCATAAAAACCATAGGTGGTTTTGGGCAGTATAAGGAGTAACAGGCAGGGTAGCTTTAGGTGGTACAGGGACTGATAGGTTAAAGGTACAGTCCATCATTTGCAGCTATCCAAAAAGTGATGAAATTATTGTTGCAAAACATACTTTATTTAGAGATAGTATTGGGACTAAAATCCCTGTGAAATTAGTCTTTCTGGCAAGTTGTCATTGTGAAGAAACAATGAACGAAGGCCATTTCCAACGATGCGTCTAAAGACCCATTTTTGGAGATTTCTGTTACTAGTTCGTTTTTAATTTGGCTAAGCCGTGAATGAGTACGCGCAAGCATTGAAGTGACGCACACGCGCGGAAGGTTGGTATAATTCATTGGTTCTGTGCGGGACATCGCGTAGCTGCAATCGGCTGAATAAGAACGTGTTCCGGATGCTGATTTCGGGTGCAATTCAAAGCATGACTTGGCAACTTGCGATTTGAAATCAAGACCCACGAATATTGTTTTCTCGGAATGTACAGCATTCAGTGATCCCTAACAGTCCTGCATCCTCCAAATCCAATACGATTTTGCACACCCCCTAGGGAGTTAGGGTTAACAAACTCGGGCAAATAAATATACCAAAAGGAGTACCTGCCTGTTACCAGCTGAATATGCTCATTATAGTTTTGATGGTTTTTGCCTTCCCCACCCCCCCCCCCTCCTTCCCTCAACAGGAGATAGAAGCTGTGCTTCACAACGTGACCAAGAGGAACAGCTTTTGCCAGGGTCTGGCAGCCAAGAGGCACAACTTTGACGCCTGGAGACAAGTAGCGGAGGTTGTTCTGACATCGTGTCCTGCTGAGGTGCTGCCACCGGCTCTCAAGCAAAAAGTCGTCATTGAACTGCTGCAGGAACTCCTGTCCAAGGTAAAATGAAATTTTTGAACATGTTGTTGTTGTTTTTTGGGGGTTTTTTGGGTACATTTGGTTGCTATTTTGATTTTATTTATTACCTGTTTAAATGTTTTGTTTGTATTTTTTAGTATGTCAGTTTGTCCTTTTCAGTTTGACTGATAAGTTGTTGACATCATTTAGTTATGTTGATTGTTAGTGTGTTTTCCGGATTGGCTTTTGTACGTACTCATGATGAATATGAACTTTATTTGGTTAAAGGTTTTTTGTCTGCAGTGCCTGTAATACTTGGTAACTGGAGGTGTATCGTCTTAAAGTTGCTCATTCTGAATACTTTATTTTTACAAATGTGTAATCCTAAAAAGGAGTCTCATTTCTTTTTAAGCACAACAGTTGTCAGAAGACTAATAAAAAAACCACCATTGATACGCACCTTTTTTGGCCAGCAGGGTTGTCAAAAGGTGTGCGTGCCTCAATGTATTTTGCTGAATTAGCCTATTAGAAACAAAGTATGGACTTGTTAAACTAACTTGTTCTAATATTCTGTTTGTTGTGTGGATGTAAGGTTTGCGATGAGGAGGTGACCCCTGACCTTGCCTCCCCAGTGGGCGGAGTCCTGCTGACCCTGATGACCTCCTTGAGGGAGTGTATCCTCAGCGACCAGACAGAGAGCATCCCACAGCTGCTCTCTGCCCAGTACGTGCGGGCCTTGGACGGCTCGGTGGTGACTACAGGCGGGGCTGGGGCAGGGCTGGGCGGGGAGGGCCACGCCCCTCTGAGGGGCCTAGGGGTGGAGGTGGTGTCGCTGACTGCCATCTTGAAGGAGTTGCTCAAGTTCATCATGATATCAGGTAGAATGTCTCAAATTAAATCTTTAGCACTAGGACTATATTGTATTTGTGTTAAGGAGAATACACATATTCCCGGCTCCTTCCGTCGACATATGGATAGTTCAGATGATGATTTCTTTCTGACTCGAAGTAGGTTTTGCAGTGACGGCGGAGAATCTGACAGTGAAGATGCATTGGTAATTTCTGAAGGAAAGTTTTCACCCACACGGTCCTATTAATGCTCATTATGGAGAACAATTGTCTGACGTGTTCAAAGTGTGGATTGGTAATTCCGAATTCGCACTTTACTAAAGATTCTTCATTCCGAATCCACACTTTGTGACCAGCGTAACAGATTCGTAGTTCCGAATCCACACTTTTAACAATGGTGTGACGTCATAGCAATGGATTAATCCCTGAAGAATACATAAAACCTATGGGTTGCTGTGTTGGTTTCTAGTAGAACAGGGAGTAATGGACAGGCCAATTATACAGGGACATACGGGCTAAAAGTTTCATTCACTCATGATGTTACTTTAGATCAGCGATGATAACTGTTTAAATATTCTTTTTTGATGCAATTGTCAGTATTGTGGAAGGCAGCAAAAATCACAGTTTTGAAGAGATCTTGAATTTGATACGGTGTCAGAGCACAAACCCTGTTTCTATACTTGCAAAGGAAAAGGAATTGAAATGCATTGATCATTCATGACTTGACAGCACGAAAGCGTGCCCTGACATCACCAATGGGCCTTATGCACGAGTTGGCCATTTTCGTTGAGTCCCCTGAATGTACTTCATAAATTAATTGTGAATAGGCGCCAGACTTTTTATGTAGCCTTATTTTATGTATTTTTTCAAAAATCTGGCATAAAACATTATAATTACAAATTTACATACAGGGAATGTATAATTACGAATTTAAAATTATTCATTCAAGCAGACTTAAAATTAATTAGTAATTTGCTTGCTTTCTTTTCTCTTCGCAAGTTCCAAAAATGAAGATTTCACCTCACTTTCAATTCAATATGGCCGACTCATGCATAAGGCCCATTGGCGTTTGCTTTTGCACTGAGTGTGAACCAGCCTTTATGAAATTCGTGAAGTAATCAAACTCACCGAGTACCAATTTCCCCTGCTGTTTTTAGGCGGCGGCCAGCAGCGCACCCGGGCCAACCTGTACGGCGCCCTCCTGAATTACCTCCAGATTCCCCGCAAGCCGCGAGAGATCCCCACCCTCCAAGACGGTGCCACGGTGCTCAACTCTGCCCTCCTTGATGAGTACGAGACCATCACGACGGCCAACCTGGCCACCATGCGAGAGTACGGTGAAGGGGTCATGGAACTGGTGTGCCGGGACGCCAGTGACGGGCACGGGGTCGGAAGGGTGAGTGTTGCGTTGGATGGAAATTTGACTCCCCCAAACAAAATGAGCTTTGAGTTTTGAGAGCTGATCTTGAATTACCAGCACACCCAGTCTGGTTTTAGTATCCTACTGAGGAGCCTTATTGTTCCGTTCCTTTGTTCCTATTCAAACTTTTCTTGACATGTCCCACAAGGTTTGTACAAAAATCCTTCTGAGGACTTAGGCTCAGGTCCTCAAGTTTATTGTTATCGCTGGTTAGCCATTGTTCCAAGTTCTCAGACGCCAAGGATAATCGGATGCACGAATGTACAAACACACACACAGACAAGTCAACATGTTCTGTTATCACATGAAATAATTTTCCAACCAGTGCAGAATTTACTTCCATGAAGATTTTTGCTTAGAGTAGAGAACCATCAAATCAGGCCGTGTAGGTCAGCAATTTCATTTGAACGTCGGGATTAAGTTCGTTGAGTTTTCATAATGTAATCATTAACCCACACAGATGCTTGCCCTGTCGGTGATCGACACCATCGTTGGGATTGACAAGCGAGGTGATTGGCTAGCGTTCCTCTCCTCCAAGGGTTACCTCCGTCACCTGGTAGAGAACCTGAGCCAGGAGGACCAGTCTCTTCAGGAATCCCTCCAGCCAACTCCTGAACCTCTCAGGGCACTCTTCATCTACGAGTCACAGATGGTAAGTGCCGAATGAGGTCCTTTCTTGACAGAGTTGCAATCAAGTCAGTCACAAGTCACCACAGGTCAACCACAAGACATTACAAGTCATCACAAGTCATTACAAGTCATTCACAATTCATCACAAGTCAATCACAAGTCATCACAAGTCAATTACGAGTCATTCAGTCTCAAGTTAAGTCATTACAAGTCATCACACGTCATTACAAGTCATCACACGTCATTACACGTCATCACACGTCATTACAAGTCATCACACGTCATTACAAGTCATCACACGTCATTACAAGTCATCACACGTCATTACAAGTCATCACACGTCATTCCAAGTCATCACAAGTCATCACAAGTCATCACAAATCATCACAAGCCATCACAAGTCATCACAAGCCATCACAAGTCATCACAAGTCATCACAAGTCATCACAAGTCATCACAAGTCAATCACAAGTCATCACAAGTCATCACAAGTCAATCACAAGTCATCACAAATCATCACAAGCAATCACAAGTCATCATAAGTCATTAAAGTCTTCACAAGTCAATCACAAGTCATCAAAAGTCAATCACAAGTCAATCACAAGTCATCACAAGTCATCACAAGTCATCACAAGTCATCACAAGTCAAGTCACAAGTTATTCAAACAGGCTGGGACAAAGACATTCCTTTATCATTATTCATCCCGAGCAGGCCCTCTTACAAATGTGACCTTACTTGTGATTTGACTTATGATTGACTCCATTTCAACTCTATTTCTTGGGGAACCAGTACTCGCGCAAGCACAAAATGAGGTTGAAACTCTAGAAATCAATTTAGTTTTTAGATTTTTCGTACATTTTTTGATGTGAAGTAATGTTATGACTTTGCAACGTTGCAGAAAAATTACTTTGAATTTTGTCAAATAGATAACAATGTACCAGGGTGGCAGTTTTTCAAAGCTTGAAAATTTAAAGTTGAAATAACTTTGTCTAATAATTAAGATGGTAGCAGTGTTTCAAAGCTTAAAATATCAATGCCAATGTTTGTTTATAAGTTTCGCCCACATCGTACACTGATCTCTGTATCACAATAAGAAGGTATATCTGAGATGGTACCGCATTCCTCCATTGTTCATTCCTACAAGTCCTTCTTTGTTCATACGCATGAGCTCAGTGCTCTTTAGACAAAATCTAAGAAGTCTTGTAACCAATACACACATGTTGTAACACATCAATAAGTGTGGTCATGTCGTCTGAGACGGGTGCATATCCCTAATGCCAAATTCCTAGTGGAATCTTGAAACTAATGCACACGTGATGCGATTAAGCTACATGAGTTGTTTGTCGACCCTGGTCAATTTTTTTTATTGCAGATTTGAAAAGAGTACAACCTCAGCATTACTGCTGTTAAAACCGCATGCTGATGCCATCTTTAGTTCACTAATTATGGAAGTTGGAACACAAAGAGATGTGATGAAGTGATGTGATGAAGTGGCCCTATTTTGGCCTGTATCTCCAAAATAAGAATTCCCGACAAACAACTCGTTTAGCGTGTCGCATCACATACGTGTATATTGATCATTTTTATTCCCTTCCCATTTTCAGTCCTTGTTGCAGAAGATAGCGCTGAATCCCGTCGGTGCCCAGGCACTCCTGCGTGCAGGGCTCATGGGAAGGCTGTCGTCATGCCGATTCCTTGACCTTCGACCCGAACACAGTACACAGAGGTAAGTAGTCTTTAGACTGGAGACATGTCCAAATGCGTCTATAGAGGACAGGCAAAGACCTTAATCCTTCTGAAATTTGTTTCTGTGCCGCGTGACGATTCGACCTTCCATGTTGTCAGATTGGTCAAGTTCTTAAATGTGCATACACGTGGAACACTGTCTATTTATGACCTTTGACCTTTTGACCCCTTTCCCTACAGCCGCCTGCGGATAGCGTCCACCAGCCTTGAGCCAGTGGACATTGAATCCTTCATTCCCAGTGTCATGCAGCGCTACCGCCAGCTGCTGTTTCCCATGCTCAGACTCTGCATGGCAATTCTCACCTCGCTGGGGAGTCAGCACAAGGAGGCAGCCACTCAGGTGAGCCCGTTCTGACAAGGGGCACCTTAGCTGCTCGTTATTTAATAGTTCATTATGTTATACTAATCTAGTAAAAGTAAAACTTGTCCGGTTAACGTTTAAGGTTTTCACAGCATGAAATGTGATGCTAGTACTCCAGCAGACTAAAGGTTATAACGGTATTGAAACGAAGTCCATTGTTTTGAACTTCTAAATAAATAACTCTCAAGATGTTACTCTCAATAAAGTTTAAGTGTTGTTAACCAGTTAACACAGGAGGACGTGTAAAAACGATCAGGCAATGTAATTTCGCAGGGGCTGGTGACTGGTTTTCCCCAAGTCTGTGGTAGCGGACGTGTACACACGTCAGTTGTTCCCCGTGGGTTTGTACACACTGTGTTGTGAACGTGAACTTGGCCACTGTACACGGTCTGTCGTTGTTGAAAATATCACTCTGTGGTAGGGCATTGAAATGTTGCAAATTGTGAAGTTACAGTGAGAAGTATCGTGCAAATAGTGTACAAATGACTCTCAAGAGTCGGTATTTGTAGTGTTTGACTTAATTTTAATATTTGACCGGTATATCTTGCCTTTTTCAAAAATGGTGTTTTTCAGCCAAAAATAATCCCCAACAGCAAGTGGTTAATTGAATTTCTTGTTTGTTTGCAGGTGCTGCATTTTGTGGTGTCCCACTCCGATGTCTTCACAGCCATCTTGAGAGAGCAGTACGGTGAACTCCACTTAGAGTCCCTCCAGGAGCTGGCGTTGACTACTAGCGTCATCTGCACGGTGGCTGCAGACAGTGAGTGTGACTGTTTATGGAGTGTAGATGGTGCTGTGTGGCATATTCACATGGGCCTCCAGAGAGACCTCCAGAAATGACGCGCTCACAGGAAAAAGTTGCATGTTAAATCACAAACGTCAAAGGTTATTTCATTTGGGTAAATAATTGTAGACAGTGTACATCTCATGTTAATTATGGAGATGTAGATATGCTGAGTCTGGTGAAATAATCACATAAAATGTTGAAACAGTCATCAAGTTTTGCCAAGCTGCATTCCTATCCTGTACACGCATCATTTACAATTTTTATAGAACATTTTAAAAATCAATTTGATCCAAATTATTGTTATTATAGTGTAGCAATAACAACATCATTAATGTAAATTTGTACCTCTCAATTTTTTTTTTACAAACGTTTCAGTACGGGGCAGTTTGCATGAACGACATCCTGTACATTAGTTTTAGGTAACTTCATCTAGTGTGGGGGTCTTTTTAATTAAGCAATTCGCTGTGTTTCTTCTACCTCATGCTGAAAAATTGCACCCTTAAAACTTATAAATGCCTGTATTTTGACATATAGAAAACATGATAAAACATGTATTTTTATTTTGAAAACCTATTGAAAATCTATATTGATGAAGAGGGCAAACTGTGAGGCCTGTTATTTTTTTTAATCCGACTTTTACATACTTTAACCCTTTTTGTGTGTTACAGTTACCTACTACGACCTTCCGACGGAGCCCCACACCCCCAACCACATCCCCATCCAGACCCACCTGAGTCGCATCCATCGTCAGATCATGGCCCTGGTGCCTCGGTTCTGCTCCCTGGACCGATGGTTGAGAGAACTCAAGAGACTAGACACAGCAATGCCCGAGGGCAGCGAAGCCCCCGAACCTGCCGCGCACAGGAACGAGATACGCCAGGTCCTGCTGGAGATATCCCGCAACGTGATTGGCTACTGCAAAAACATTGTCGCCCAATCAGGTACTACAAAAATAAAGTAGGGGCATTAGGAGTGACTGACTTGCACTATAAGCCTTCCCACTGTTTTCCTCAAAAGGAACTCTTGCAGCTTCACGGTTGATTCCTGTAATTAGTGTCAATCAGCATTAACTCTAACCCCTAGGCATTTTTGCTAGGATGTAACCTCAATCCTGCAAAATCCTCCAACTGCCTCTCTGTAAAAATTGCATACAGTCTCAATCCTGCAAAATCCTCCGTTATTTCTTGAATGTGATCCTTGGAAGGGTGACCACTGCCTCCATCCTGCAAAATCCTCCAGCAATCACTGTCAATATGTTGAGCAGAGCCAGTGACATCCTGGAGCAGTACGGAGGAGTTCAAGTATAATATAGGCCTAAATTTATGCATGGCTGAGCATAAACAACACAAGGTCTGGCCCAAGACATAGTGTGTCCTCAGAAATCAGCCACACACTTTTGCCATATAGCCTCAATCCTGCAAAATCCTCCATTTTGCAAAGAGGATTTTGGAGGATTTGGGAAGGTTGGGGTTAATGCATGGTACCACAGGCATCCTAATGCATTCAGAAGGATCTGTAATAAAAAAATTTAAAAATCACTCTTCACAGAAAAATTCTTTCTTCCAGCAGTTACGGCACTATTTGCATTGGCAATGGCAAATTGACTGTGTTGTGAATTGTGGCTTGGCGACATGTACAGGAGCCATAGGATGTTCATGAATAAGCCTAATCGGTATTCCAACTTCGCACGTGCATAACCACAATTCAACGATTTAGACTTCAGGATAAACGCGGCAGATAAATTACCCAAGTCTATGGGGGACGCGGTAACCAAATTTGCATTCTGCTATTTTTCATACAGAAACACTTTGCTGTCAAAACTTACTTTAGAACATGACAATTTGTTAAATGTTGCTGATACCAGCTACGATTTTTGCAGCATACGGCGTATTTTATCCCGAAAGGAAATATTGTCAAATTTTGATGTGTACATATGAAATTGGAATACCAAACCTTTTTCGGCAGTCTGTCTGAAGTTTTTGTTTTCATCCTTTGCCCTAGGTGCAACAGCCAAAGACAGTCAGATCTTATTCACAGCAAGCCTACAAGAGGCAACGGCCAGGGATTATCAGAGAATAGAAGGTACATGCTCACAGACCAGGTTCTTTTTTAAGAGTGTCTTGGAATTTTGTAGAATGGAGAATTTTGGCCCAATTCACACAGTGTGCCTATACCAGAGAGTTACATACAATTGGTATCTGAAGTGGCATTCTGTGACGTGGTGACATATCATATGAAATGGTGCACCTCAGTTGATTATCAATCAAATCATGTTCTGTGGTGGCCATTGCGTGTGTGGGTTTTCACTATTTAAAAAAAAAGGAGTTTTATCCTCTCAGCTCAATTTTTTTGACATCTGTCAGGTATGCAGTTTCCTTTTTTGCTTAACACTTATGACATTTTTTTTTTGAAAAACACATTAAAAGTCCTGCAACGCTTTGAATTTCCTCCTTTGTCTATCTGCCCAGTTGTATGCCTAATCAGTGTCATAACATTCTATGTAAGATCACTAATGCCGTTATTTCATTTATAAAAACGTGGTTTTCAAAGACATCATATTTAAAGACAATTCCACATTCTCTTTTCATTTCAGTGGATGAAATGACGAATTCCAGTATTTCCTGTGTTCAGAAGGGCGAGAGTCCCAAATCATGTCCAAGAATCTGAATCCCTTCTGAAACTCAAATCCTTTTTTATTACAGGTGTTCATCTGTCGTCACTGGACCTGACCAAGCCACCCAGCATGGGCATCATGGTCCGTCATCTACGGCAGGCGGCCAGCGAATTCGAGGCTACCATGGACAGACATCAGCAACACCTCCACAAACTCAAGAATGTGGCTGATCTGTCTGCAGAAGAACTGAAGGAGGTATGGTCCTTCAGAAGTGACCCTTAAGCATGGCCAGTAGAGGGCGCTCTAACATAATATCAGTTATCGGTGTGTTCGATTAGCTCACCCGGGTCGACTTGGGTTAGCCTCGTGCCGTTCAATTAGCTCTGATGTCATTTTCAGGGCTCACCCACCACAACGATGGAAGTATTTCGGCCTCACATTCGATCGACGATTTGATGTTTCTGTAAAAGAGTGCCACATGGAGCAAGAGTGTCTCAACTCAGCGGGGGATAAAATCATGAAACTCTGAAACTTACTGCTAAATGCATGACCAAGGTTTAGAAAAACTCTCCTTGAAATCGACGTTTTTCATATGTCTGTGAATTCAGACACATGATAAAGTATTGGATATTTTCTTATTTTTGTGTGTGATTCTCTTTTTGCTTTCAGCTGATCCAGACGATATCGGGACCAACAACAGAGAAACTGCTGCCCAGTCACCGCTTGCAGCTTGCCACCAGAAAGCTGGCCGACATCGTCCGTCAGAAAGCTGATGAGCTGGCTCTTCTCTACTGTATCCTCTTCAAGCTTGACTCTTAACACCCTTACAGGCACATAGGATCATCTGCTTTCCTGCATTTTTGTTTGTTGCCAGTAATAACCCCTCTCAAAATCCAAAAGACGAATGTTCAAAACCTAACCTGTTGAGGTTTCAGCTCGGATATTACGCTTTTCAAGAAAATAATGATAAACCATGTACAACCTGTTGATCACAAAAAAAATCTATCGGCGGAAATCCCCTACATTTCTATTTCTTCTCATTGACAGCAAGCCAGTTGGAATAGCTTCACGGTGTGTGTAGTACCATTACAATCTTTAAACCAAGTAAGCTTTTTGATAATAATTCAGTAGCATACTTTTGGGGCAAATGCAAGTGATCCTATATGTGATGTGATCAAGCTACATGAGTCATTTGTCAACCCTGGTCCAAAATTTTTTTATTACAGATTTGAAAAGAGCACAATCTCAGCATTACTGCTGTGAAACCGCATGCTGATACCATCTTTAGTTCACAAAAATTATGGAAGTCGGAACACCAAGAGATGTGATGTAGTGATGTGATGAAGTGGCCCTATTTTGGCCTGAATCTCCACATAAAAAATTCCTGACGAACGACTCATTTAGCTTGATCGCATCACATATGCTGTTAAAAATCATGTTCTTTTCAAAATAGTTTCTCTGGAAAGTTGGATTGCATCTCCAATTAATTTTTTTCATTTTTTTTTGCGCTTCATGCATTTTTGGCTTTCTGACATTCTTCAAAAACTTTTCCTTTTGAAGTTGTCTTCAAACCTTTTATTGCTAATAACGTTTGTTTAACTGTATTCATTTACAGCAAAATGGTTCTTTAAAAAGTGTTGTTTTCCATTGAAAATTATAAAATCATCTTTATTGACTCTCCTAGTATTTTATTTCTCCAAATCAAAACTAGTTTTCATTTCAACTCTCAAATCTATAGTTTGTAGATGTTTGTCCAAAATACTCGATTTCACAACAAATCAAAGAGCCAACTGATAAAAGATACAAACAATTTTAAATGACCTCCAACATAGCGCACGGTAGCTCAAGTGGTTGAAGTTGCTACGACATTCCATACATTGCCGGTTCAAATTCCACCAAAGTCACATTTCGTTGTTCGGTGAAAGTTCTTAACGCTGACTACAGACATGATTGAGTGCAGCATGTTCCTTGTTTGGCGCCATCTAGAGTTCTATCTGCTGTATTGCCAGACGTCCAAGGACAGTCTGTTACATAAGATGAGCCTACCAAGGCAGCAGCCCAGGAATTTAGCAGGTGAGAGACCAAACAAAAGTGTAAAACAGACAGCATTATAGACTGATTGGGCGACTGGCTTTTAGGGGTCATCCATAATTATCAACATTTTCAAAAGCATACTAAATGTGCGCTCGGGGGGAGGGAGGGGGTTAACGACCCATGTACGCTTTTGACATTTTGTAGAAATGTCGATCAATATTTTGGGTTCAGTAATTTTTGTAATGGGCTTTTCAGAAGATCTTTCATAAAAAAACACACACAAAAACCTCAACTTGGCGAGCTTCGGACCCGCTTGCAATTCATGGGCACATCCATATTTGTCATTCAGCATCGTGCTATGCGTACGCAGCGGTAACAAACGCGTGATGTAGTCCTTTTCAGCCGCCACTTTCTGCAGCAATGAATTCCATACGGGTGCGCGCGCGCACAGCAAGGGCCTTGTGTGCCTAGCAGCCTATCTTCAACACCCTAATATTCCATATCTCATTGCAGGGCTATGAACTGTTCGTTTCCAGGATATCTTTGAAAATCAACATTTTTGAAAGTACTTGTTTTGAGGGGGGGAGGGCTCAACCAAAAAGAGTACGTTTTGTACGCTTTTGAGGTGGGACCACTGATCTCTGTATGCTGACCAATTGGGCACAGGTGGTTTGCACACACTGAATGCTCCTTTGACCTATATTACCTTTTATTATTACCAAAATTAAGAAAAGCATTCAGAAAGCCTGCTTCATGGCTACTTATTTCTTCAGTGTGTCCCCAAAAAAAGGGTCCGTTTAAAAACGTTTTTGAGTATAAATTTTTTTTTGAAATATTAAACAAAACCATGTAGTACATGGCTTTCAGTCATCATGACAAGACCTCAGTTTAATGCTCAAGGGCAAATGATTCTAATCCCCAACCACAGCCCTTTTTTACAACATGCAGGATTTTACACAGCTTACATTAAGCACTGAAATTAATAAAGGCAAGGGACATGGTCACAGGGTCTAAAAATGTCGTTGCGATCAATTGAGCATTGTGCAGTGATGCATGAGGGAAATTAAATAACACTCATAAGGGGTTTAGGCCAAGCATCTGCACAATTCAAATTTTCAAAATTTACTTCAGGGTGTTGTTGTTATTTCAAAAATATTTAGACAGACACTTTTTTGGGGGGGATATACTGTAGACGTAAATTCAATGTCTAGGTTTCTTCGGCTTGCCCCAAATCTGGTGATACCACAACAAGCTATTCTGTTGAGAAACTCAAACTTTATTGGGTAATGAAAGGAAAACAGCAAACAATACATCATTCAATTTGAACTTGAAATTGTCAAAATCTTTTGTACCAACCATATGATAGTCTTAATTCTAAATCAGGATATGCTGTTGTCGATCATTTTATGAGAATGAACCACAAATAAGAATTCTTAAAGCCAGAACAAAATGCATTATTTGTTCTTTACATTGAAATTGCAACTATTTGTTACGCACAAATAATTTGACTTCCCAGTTACAATGTAGACTTGATTCACGAGTCGGCCATGTTAATTTGAAAGCGAGGTAACCTCTTCATTTTTGGAACTTGAGAGTAAAAATGAAATCAATGAAACAAAAGTTCATTACTAATTAATCCCAGTCTACTCTGTCGATAATTTAAAATTTGTGATTAAACATATCATATTGTTTTAAGCCACATTACCCCTCCTATGGAAACATGCATTGTGAGCCTTGTTATTACTTGGATCAATATTGGTCAAGTGACCTATTGGTTTGTTAAGGGTATGCCAGGAGGAGAGGAAGGAAATTTGACCATTTGTGACCTTTTAAGCAGCAGGAGGGTTCAAAAGAAAAATGACAGTGAGGCTTGGCACGCACCCCAATCATAAATAGTCTGGCACTATCCCATTCAATAGTTTACAATGTATAAAATAGATTCAGGGAACACGATCGAAAATGGCTTCCTCGTGAAATAAGTCTATTGAATCAATAATGAAATGTTCTTGTACATTCCGGCAGGTTACAACAAATGACCTCATTTCCTGCATAAATAGATAATGTAAATTGTGATAATCTAGAGACTAAGTGCCAATCTATCAGTTCAGTTTGCAAAATTATCATAATCAGTTTCATCAACTAAAAGCCACAATACAAGTCAAACGTTAAAGGGAAAATACAACATTTGCAAACATCAACAAATAAAACTACCAAATCATTTTGAAATACCTTGCTGGACTGTTAGCGAATGACAGTGTAAAGCATCCTGTAAAATCATGGCACCTGGTATACTGTCATTTTCAAGAAAAGTGGTATTTTTGTATCAATTTCCAACGCTGATCGGCCGATCAGCATTGGAAACAACTGGCTTTTTTTCAAATACTGGCCCCAATTGACCTTCGCACTTGTTTGCAATCGATTACAAACCTATGAACGGGTACGAGCCAGCTAGACTGGTTCCCTGACCTTACAATTCCCCAATGTATGTAAACTGCTCTGTTTCTTCTTATATGGAGTCAGGGAACCATACTACAGGAAAACGATCTTTTTTCTTGGTTTTTATAGCATTTTCACACCCAAAACCTCCAAAAAGTCAGTGTAACTATATTTGCTATATATTTCCAACCCCCCAATTCCATCCATTTCTGAAACTTACAGCAAAAGCAAATGATGTATATTCCCTTTAAATACAAGTCAAATGTAAATAGTGCTTTCCTTATATTTACTAATACTATAGCACAGGTACATCAACTCTGGAGATCATACATTGTAAATCCAGCTCAGCCATTTTACTTGGACTGAAAACTTAACTGATTTTGAAAGTCTTCTATCATATAGACTGATTTTATACATCTTGTCAAAAAAAAAAAAATTAAGTTCTCTCACCCAAATAGGACCAGCAGCTGATTTCACAAAACTTTATGCAATGGAGCAACTCTGCTTGCGCCACAATTTATTGCGTAAGTTGCACAACAGTCACGCTGCGCACATTTCACAAAAGTTTCAAAGTACGTAAGTCACGACTTGCGTAATAAATTATGGCGTAACCTGCGCAATCATAGTGGCGTAAGTTGTGGCGTAGCGACCGAAAATGACCTATTTTACCAGTAAATTGTGATCATCATGGAGCCCGTCATTGCACAACTTATCAAGGTTGATACAAGACACTCATAGCTTTGTGTTTGAAGTAAATGAATGGGTATTTTACTTGTGACAGCATTTTTAGACTTGCCGCATGATTCCAAAGTAAGTTGGACAAAATTATTTTCAAAATGGCAGGCTGAGGTGATTCAATAACTTTTTCGTGAAATCAGCTGCTGGTTTCAATAACCATTCTCAGACATCACACAAACACAAAGGGGACCTTGTTTGATATTTAAAGTTGTCATGTTGTTCATGTTAACAAGAAGAGATTTCTCGGTCTTTGCTTTTTCCTAAGATCCCAACAGATTCCTTCTGGATGGTGGCGGTGATGACCCAAGCCATACACCCATCAGCCCTGTCCTACTTGGCATTACAGATGACGATATCAAACAGGTAATATATACACTCTACACTTGTGATATAATATTTATAAAACTTTTAAAAAGGCCAGCAACCAATTTCACAAAACTTTACGCTATTGCATCAACTGCACAACAATTGAAGACACATTTCATGAATTGATTGAGCTCATCGTAAGCCCGCCACTGCCAATGTATACAAGCAAATCACAGCTAAATTCTTGAGCGTAAAGGAGAGTCTGTTTTAGCCTTGTGAGCACTGGAAGGCTATCGCCAAATTCCAAAGAAAATCAGACAAAGTTCGTGGAAATAATTCAACAATTGTTTTGCAACCAAAACAAAATCATGTAGAATTAGTTATCGCAAAATTTGCGATCGTCCTCATCCAAACTGTTTGAAATAATCATAACATGCAGCTGAAGCAAGTTTTGTTAAAGCTGGTGACAAGGGCGGATCCAGAACACAATTTGGGGGGGGGGCCAAAAAAAATTTGGTCCCCCCAAAAAGTGGGTCAAAAAAATTACGGTGTGGGGTTCGGGGCCCGCTTAAGGGCCCCGAAAATTTTTTGGATTCTAGATGCTCTGTGGTGCGATCTGAGGCAATTTCTGACCACTTTAACCAATGTTTTTTGAGGAAAAGATGGTGGTGTACTCATTGCCTGCCTTTATTGCGATGTCACATAAAAAAATAAAAAAATTGATTTCGTTTTTTTGGGGGGGGGCCATGGCCCCCTTTGGCCCCCCCTGGATCCGCCCTTGGCTGGTGATGGTTCCATTTCAGCAAAAAAAAAAGTTGAAATACCCATTTTCGTTGAATTTATTTTGATATGAATCAACACATTGACATCACTTTGATTCTTGTTGTCTTCATGTTTGCCTTAAAATAATTTTCAGTTTAAGAAAGGTGGGTTGTTCTTTGCTTTTGATGTGCTCCACTTTACACCGGATTTTCTTTGAATTTCTTTTTGCAATCTGCTGATCTTCGGTTGGTTCTAAACATAGGTAGGGGTTTTCGTTTTCCCTGAAAGTATCACATACATAAGCCACGCATTTGATTACTTCAACCGCACTAACCCATGCAAGCTGGACTGTGTTCGATTAAACTCTCAAGTGACTTCTGCCACTTACTCGAGCCTGGCCCAAGTAACTCACCCGCTGAGACAGTTACTTGGGTCGCTGCGGCGGAGGAGGATTCAAAAGTCTCCCAGCTTCACTTCAGCTTCACACTAGTACTAGAGGACGAGAGGAAAGTTAATTAATTTTTAACATACCCGGCATCCGGCATTTCTTGTTCACTTTGGAAGAGCACACACAGTGGCCACCATGGTTCGCTTTCAACGGCTCGAATCCATTTGCAAAGGGGATGTAATCGCCTAATGACCTCTTGGCATGATGTGGTTGCTATGGCTCGACCTCAAGTAACTTGAGAACGTTCGTTTATTGTACAGATTGCGCATGTGCAACTATACCCAAGACGAAAGTACTGGTAAGTGCGAGAGAAGTAATCGAAAACGATGAAGCAGAGACTGTGGTGTTGATTTTAATTAGGCTCATAAACCACACAGTCCTCTGTCTGGGCAACCAACCCTAGTCCCTCAGCATGAGCCGTTGTGACATCATTGAGTTGACATGTCTTGCCTGACACCACATTAAAGGAACGGCACTTGGGATCCTTACTACAGGCCAGGCAGCAGGGCACAGCACTCATGGGTGTCGTTTTGTAGGCGTGGTGTCTCGGGCAGAAATCCTTGGGGCGGCCTGTGTCGTCTCTGTAAACAGCAGTACACCGAGAAGTAAATAGTCTAGAGGTTGGTGTCATCGGTTGACGGTCTGCAGCCTGGATGGGTGTGGTCGTTGACTCTGAAGCCTTGATGGGTGTGGTTGTTGACTCTGAAGCCTTGATGGGCGTCGTCATTAGCTGTCTAGCTTTAATGGGTGTGGTCATTGATTTTACAGCCTTGATGGGTGTGGTTGTTGGCTCCACAGCCTTGATGGGTGTGGTCATTGACTCTCTAGCCTTAATGGGTGTGGTAATTGATTTTACAGCCTCGATGGGTGTGGTTATTGACTCCATAGCCTTGATGGGCGTGGTTATTGACTCTCTAGCCTTAATGGGTGTGGTTATTGACTCTCTAGCCTTAATGGGTGTGGTTATTGACTCCACAGCCTTGATGGGCGTGGTTGTTACCTTTTTTGTGGATGTTGGCTTCTGCGTAATGTCCTCCTTTGATTGGTCATCATGCTCAAGCTCACACATCGTATATTTGCTTTTGTCACAGGCTCCAGTAGGTTTCCATACATTGTTTGGGCTTCCACTAACCATCATCGCACAAATGCCACTGTCAGACTCAAACCACAGAAAGTTACGGTATGGGTTTGTATTATCATGGTTATCCCCTAAGCAGGATCCTGTTGGCCAGTTTTCTTCGTTATTATCACGTCTGCACCCAAGCCACAAGTTAATGCCATCCGGCTTGTTGGCACCATTAAACAAACCTGCTATGAATACATTTTCCTCATCGGTGTTGGGCGTGGCTAAGTCCCCTCCTTCATCTTGACATTTCTCCTCGGCGTCATCGTAACTGAGCTTTGCTTCTACAAATAGCTTGTAACAGGCTTCGTTGTGTTGCTGCCATCCCTCTGGGCATGGAACTTCCTGTTGCGGTTGAGCGTTGCCAAAACTGCAGATTTGGTTAAGGGTGAAGTACGTACTTGTGATCAGCAGGATTTGTAACATCATCATTGCAGCGACTTTCTCTTTACCAACCTTGAAGATGTGGGACTTAGTGATGCAAAAACTGGATTGTTTACAGTTTTCTATTTTCCACAAAGGGACTGAGTTCTTTTATTGATGGGTCCTTTTGCTGAGTATGAGAAGCATACGGTTGAGACCTGCCAACTGCTTGGAGATAGTCCCTCTTGTTGACAAGAACCGACGAACAGTCACACCTTGTACAAAGAGACATTTAACGTCTCAAGCGCACCCAGAGCTGAAGTCTTTCTATTGGCCGTTGCTGTATGTTGCCTGGGCAACGGTAGGCTTTGTCACAAAAAGCATACAACCAAGTCAACATGAGCACAGTACGGTGGGTAATTGTACAGTGATTGCTGGACCAAAGTTAGCATTAGTCAGCACATTGCACAGCACATGCAGTGTTCTAGTATCTTGCAACACCAGGCCTTAGGCCAAAAAAATAAAAATATTCGGTCTCTGGTCAGACAAAAGTTCCGGAATTGACGCGGTCCACGCGCATTTTTTTTTTTCTTCAAGCTAGGATTGTACAGACAAGGTGGGGTACTATTTTGCTTTTTTGGTGTCCTCGTGTACATTGGTGTCCTCCATAATTTGCCTTGGTGCTTTCGATCATTTGCCTTGGTGCAATTTCCCATTCCTTGGTGCTCTTTGGTAAAAAAAATTGAGGAGGTGCGGAAATAGAGGGCGCTGTTGGAGCTACCGCGGAACATTTTGGAAAAAAAAAGATCGACGCGCATGATTAAAATCGACGCACGCGCTGACCAGAGACCGACTTATTTTTTTTTTGGCCTTACAGACATACTGTAATTTAAGTACGTGTATGTTCTAACTGGGTAGCTGCCCACACTCTTATCTTATGGACAAACATCGCAGAGATAAATCCTTCAATAGGTTGAGATTTATCTTGAGCTGCCCGATGCTGCAATTCACTTGTTGTCCTCTGCTTTAATTGATTGAAACTGATTTCAAAATGAAGGTGCTTTATTTGAAAGTCAAGGAAAAGAATTCAGTGCTAGTGGAGACCTTGTAATGGTTTAATTAAAAAGAGCTTTCCTACCAGTACATGAATCATGGAAATCAGATTTTAAAGGGAATATACAACATTTGCAAACATCAAAAAAACAAAATACCAAATTTTTACGAAATACCTCACTAGGATGTTGGTAAATTACGGTCTTAAGCATCTTGTAAACTTATGGCACCTGGTGTGAAGTCATTTTCAAGAAAAGTGGTATTTTATTGTAAATTTCCAACGGTGGTCAGCCGACCACCGTTGGAAAAACCTAACTATTTTTTCAACTACTGCTCCAAATTTACCATTTTTTCAGTCCAAATTTTGTTTGCTATTGGTTACATGTTCATGAACGGGTGCAGGCCAGCTAGACTGGTTCCCTTACCTTACAGTTTTCCGGCATCTATGAATTGATCCATATCATCTTTAGTGGAGTCAGGGAACCAGACTACTTGAACATTTTAGTTTTTCTTGGTTTTTCCAGCATTTTTTAACACAAAACTTCAAACATGTCAGTGTAACAATATTTGATCTATTATACTAACCCCTCATATTGTTCATTACTGAAAATTACAGCAAAAGCCAATGATGTACATTCCCTTTAATCTAGTTTGCTTTGTATCTTGGTTAAATCTTCATCTTCTACTTTACAACTCTCGCAGTTAATTAAATCCTTCTGCTGTGTTTTGTGAAAGCAAAGTTAAAATAAATGATACTTCAAATTCAATCCACCTTATCATGACAACACAGTAAGAGTGGGCGTTTCACAGACCTTGGGATTATTTTCTTTCAAGAAGTGTGTTAATTCTCAAAGGTAGAGTAGAATAAGATCATTTGCAGCTATCTCAAACGTAACTGACAGAATTATTGTTGAAAAACAAACTTGGTTTAAACACAGTAATAGCACTACACTCCCTGTGAAATTCTTCTTTCTGGCATGCTGTCATTTTGAAGAAAAAAAAACAATAAAAGAAGGTCATTTCCAAAGATGCGTCTAAAGACGCATTTAGATTTTGAGCATTTTTGTTGCTTCAAACATGCTTCAAAAATGCAGAAATGACAAATAATGCACTCTACCTTTAACAGCAAGTTTTAATGTGTGATTCTGTCTGGTTGTTGAGTAAAACCTAGTAAAATTGGGAACATGGATGTTATTACATCAGAGGGGATTTCAGGAAGAAATGCGTTTTCTCATGTAGTTAGAGACAATATTTTTTGGTGAATGCGCTTATAATACATTTGAAAGGGAAGAAATGTATGTTTGTAGGTGCATACATCAATCATTTACTTAAATTTGTTTTTGATATTTGGTTCTAAGACAAGATAAGTTTGTGGTAGCACCATGTGAATAAATCTCTTTTGTGAGTATGTGTGGTTCTGAAAAGAACTTTGGTTTTGCATTTGGCCATGGATTTGTTTTTTTAACTCCAGTGTACAAGAAAATGTCTTGTTCTAAGGATTTTCATGTTGACAGGATTTAGACTTTGCTGTTAACCAACCTAAATTTATAGCACTGTATACCCAAGTCCAGGAGCTTGCCAAAAGAAAGAAAACCAAGGACACTTTCAGCCAGCACTGTGCATTTTGTGCTTAAAAAAATATATCAGTAAAGCGCAAATCCCTGTATTATAAGTTAGATATTTTCTGGAAAACTAGGGCCTTGAAACTAAAATTTAAAAAAGCTACAGTATACAGGTACATTTTAATTGACTGAAGAAGGGCCTGCTTGAGGACCTTGCCATGTTCATGTTCCTTGACAGATTTTCATTTGGAAGGTTAAAATAAACAGCTTGCAATGACTACATGAGCATATACATTGAACACCTAAGCATGGGGATGGGAATAAACAGCCCCAAGATCTGCTAATTGAAAGCATAGTTTCGTGTTTAAGAAATATCTTTTGTTTTTGGTATTTTGCTTTCTATACCCTTCAGTTTGGCGGATCTGAATATTTAGTGATACTTAGTGATTCCAAACAACTTAGAAAATGTTTTGTTTGTGGTACCAGCTGCAGCTAGAACAGACTTACTGGCCAACCAGCAAGTTAGGTGGTCGAGTGGTAAGACATCTACACTAGTAATAATAATACCAAAGTCTTATATAGCGCACGTATCTACCAACATTTAGGTACTCAAGGCGCTGGAAATTATGTCTATTATTAGAGACAGGTAAATGAAGTACATGAGAAATATGAGAACCATTATGTAGCACCTTTATAATGGTTTACAAAGTGCTGCGGCGCATTAAGCAGCCACTGCCAGAAACACCGGGGCAAACCCCTTCTCTTGGCGATAAGTGTTACTGGGTTCTTTAACGTGCATTACACAACACACTAGTAAGCAGGAGGTCATGGGTTCGAATCCCACCCGTATAAGCTGGTGAATTTTTTCTCGCAAGCCCTTGGGCAACACTGAGTATACAGTGTTATATAAAAAATACATCAGCGAAGAGCAAAACCCAATATAAACTGGCCAAGTTCTCCTTTTTCCCCCTTTCTCTCCATCAGCTTCGCGTGGATGCCAACAGCTGCCTGAGTGACATGCTACTCAAGAGAACCAGAGACATCGAGTCCCAGTTCATTCGTGGCCAGTCCCGCTACACTTTCATCTCGGTGCTGGTCCGACGCATCAAACGACTCCTGACGTTAGGAACTCACTGATAGGAAACATTCTACATACCCTGGATCGCTGCATAGACCTCATGCGTTGAGGCGGAGTTAGAGGGCAATAGTTTTGTTTCGCTTGGATAGGCATGGGTTAACATTTTGCGCAACCATTATTACACCAACCATTATTACACCCTCTGAGACTCTTGTTGTAAGTTCCTAAGGCCCGTCCTATACGCCGTGCTTCTGCCGCACAAAACTTAATTGAAATGAGTGCTGCGATAGCTCATCTACAGCACGGCAGTTGCTCTAAACGCCAAATGTAATAGTCAAACCTTAATGCAACTGGAGTAATGGGCTAGGTAAAAGCAGCTCAAGCAGTTCAATGAACTTCAGCGCGATCAAAATATTTGCGCTAAGTTCACTCCCCGTGATGTGGACGCCAGAGAGGGTATTGTGAGCATGCGCATTCCTAAAATGTTTGCCCTAACTTCGAATTGAATTGAATTCAGCAGGGCAATGGCAAGGCGTTTAAAACAGTGCCACGCCCTAAAGGATGGTGCTGTGCCGAACTCAATTTGCCGAGCCAAATGGTTCTAAACGCCCTGCTATCGCCGTGCCAAATTTTGAAAAGTCAAATTAATTGAGTTTTGGCACGGCAGTAGCAAGGCGTCTAGAACCGGCCTAAGAAACAAATTGGCTTAGCACAGAAAAAAAAATTGGCTTGTATTAAAAAACAAACACGGGTCACCAACCGAAATGTCACATAACAAACGTTACATGCGACTGGTTCCCTAGCCGATTTTTGTTTAGGTCATAAAAATCACAAAACAGTTATTTCCTGCACTGCAGCTACTTGAAACTTGGCCGGGGTTGTTAGACTTAAATGACATAAAAAAAGTAGTCGGGTACATGTATGTATTTTATACTGCACGGACTTGATTTATGTATGTTCTTCCTTTGTAAAATGTCTCCAATGGAATAGAACAAAACTTGCCTCTTTTAGGAAACACTGTGGATATACAGTATTGTACTGACTTTGCCAAAAGAATGGCGGCGGTTGTGTAGTGTAGGGCCCCTCTTTAGTTTTGATCAAATTAGAGTCAAGGTTTTTTTTTATCATTCCTAAACGACTTTTCCATCTAAAGCAGACTTCTCTTAATTCCTTGTTTGAAAAAGTGCCTTCTAGGTTTTCACCAGCCAAAGTAGTAATATACAATTGTGCAGCAGTTTAGCTGGTAACCCTCTATTTTATCAACAGAATAATGCACTTAGCCTTCGAGTTAGGTTCCCAGGAATTGACCTATCGCCGTTTGCGGGTTGGCCACGCCCCTTAGACAACCCTATGGAAGTTTGTACTTAAAGTTTTGTTTGTCTCAGATTTTGTGCGTTCCGCATCCATTTGTATATCATGTAATTGGACAATATTTCACAAGCTGCGTTGACACGATTCAACTGCGATAGGTTAATTGTACAGACTTGTTTTTTGTAGTTGCCTCGTACATACAATTAGGTGAAAGAAGTGCTTTGAAAATTTAAAGGAAACAAAGTATTGAATGGTTTTATTTGTCTTTGGTTTAACAGTGTACTCAGTAAATATACAGCTAAAAGCTGTTGATTTGTATGCTAAATATTTGGATTAAATCTTGTCATATAAACCATAATGTGTGCTTTGTATTGCTAATTTTCATTTGTTGTTAATGCTGTGTTTGTTTTAATTGCTATGAAGCCCTCAAATCTTTCTATGTTTTTATGATGGAAGTTATATATTGAACAGATATTGTTCATGTATTTGACATATTTATAATTTTGTTTTTCCAAGGCTAACCTCTTGCTCTTTTGGTTAAAACTGAAAGATATTTAAATTTTGATGTCTTTTTTTTTCAAGTTCTTGATGTAAGCATAGTATGGCCACACCCCAGATATTATTCCTTCATACACAAGAAAAAAATACTTAAACAGTTAATCTTACTTTTCAAATATGTACTCAATCAAAATTGGACGCTTTGTAGTTGGTCAGAACTGCATCTAGAGACATACTAGACGCAAGTACAATGCATATCATGTACGTACCATTAAAAAAAGGACACAAAACTAAATACCGGAGTGACTTGCAAGTCATTTCTTTAATTAAAACTGTCTTGAACACAAGTCGCTTAGTTTATAGCAAATACATGCACCTCAAAAATAGACTGACTCAATTCAACTTATGTGTGCAAGGTATATAAATATTTGGCAGAATGAAAAGTTTAAAATGCCCAATATAAACTAGCTTGAGAATCCGGAAACTCAGAGTGGGTAGGAAGGCTCATAGTGAGTAAAAATGCCAACAGAATAAAATTATCAATAAATCACCTCTTTGAAACGTCACTCTTATTCTGAGATTATCTGACGGCCCCACAGAACTAAATTTCACAATAGTGGAGTCTTCATAGTTGCATCAAACTGAGCAGTAATGCAGCACACCAAAAGTAATATACAGTCAAATCTTGTTAGTACAAACTCGGCCGGACCTAGCTAAAATGTTCATGTCAGCATTTTGTATTGAGTGGAGTGCCGATCCCATCTATTGTGCACATAAACGCACAGTTGGGACCAAGGCTTTATGGTTGCGATAACCAGAATTTGTATTAACAGTGTTTGTATTAACGAGAGTCGACTGTACATGTACATGTAGACATATGCATTTAGTGTGACGCCACAAAATTGAGTCTATAGAAGTTAAACAATTCAAATTCAAATCGGCAATGAATATCACACTGGTAAAATATAAATCACATGAATTGATAACACAACATTTACACAAGAATATCAACAGAACACAGATGGGATAAAACTCTCGAGCTAAAAAGCATCTGAATACAACCTAAAATATACAAACAATTCTGTAATTCACGTTCAAATCATATATATTTAGCAATCAAATTATACTGAATACAATTACTGCGAATACAAATCAAAGGTTAACGATCATATACACCATATGGAATATCATAGCAGATTACACACACAACAACAGATATGTAAATAACAGGAAACAAATTTACAACAGAATAAAAGTAAAACAAGTTGATTTCAGATTTTTACTGCCAAAATTAAGCCAGAAATTTATGATGCTGTGAACAAAATTCACTATGTCAGAAAAAGGTCTTTCGGAATTTTGATGTCCATTTAGAATTACACAACACCTGAATAAATACCAGTCATCGCTGATTGGTAAGTCGTTGATCACGTGGCATTGACTTATCCAACCCAACACAAGGCGCGGCTGCACCACAAAAAGAATAATTTCTTTTGATGACAGATGGAATGTTCCATTTCACGAGGCGAATCTGTCAACTCATGAAATTATTCTTACCATTGCACTCATAAACCATCCATTATTTGTATACCATCACAGACTGATCTATTATACCCGGTGCACCGAGCACATGGGAAACAAAACTGCCTGTTGCAGTCACATGCATGATACGCACATGCATGCACATCGGACATTAATAACGGCTGTAAAAGGTCAAAAATCACCATGGGGCAGGGTTTTTATGGATCAGTGTATTTAAAGCCATTACCTTGCTGGTACCATGCTCATGTACAAGTTGCACGGGCACAATAACAGTGATGTTTTGTTCATTGTCTAAAAAAGAGAGCAGTACACCAAAAGAATCGACTGTTATACCATAAAGGTTAACTACAAGGTGTAAACAAAAAAATCAAAGCGCCTTTTTTTTTTTACAGCTTTTAAAAAAATACATCGCAAATATCAATACATATTTGGAGAGAATAGTTCATCAGCTTTTCAACAATGACAAAATCTTTCCAATCAGGTAAATATTTATTGAGTAATGGCCAATTGAAAACAAGTGCCGCTGTTTCCTTTTTGCCCACAAGTGTCTGATATTTGACTGCTGCAATAAGAACACCGGCCGAAACTTGCATCCGACTGAAAGAGGCAAGTAGAGGGCAGAGCAGAACAGTAAACATCTAAGACGTTAACCAAATAGTTTTTTCAGGACTTGTTGCAAGAAGTGAAAAATAAAAAAGAACCAAATATAGAAAGAAAGATTAAAAAATTAAAGAAAGCAAAACTACCGTCACCCCAAATCCATTACATTCCTAACAAGATCATGGACAACATGGAAAATGGGCACCTTTTTGAATTGGCTATGACTAATTGGTTATATAATTTACCCGAATGGAAAGAATTTCTCATTGTTGAAAAGCTAACGAACTATAGTCTCCAAATATGTATCGATATTTGAGATGTATGTGTTTTAAAGCTGTGAAAAAGAGGGCGCTTTGAGGGTTCGGTTTTTCTTGGGACACCCTGTACATGGCAAGAACTATTTCTGATATATTAAAAAAAAACCACAAAATTAAAAATTGGTATGTCTGAAAATGAATAAAAAGAGCTCTTTAGTAAGAAAGGAAACGAAAACTTTCTAAAATGGTGAATACTGACTAAATACTGTGTCTCAGTTGTCAACAAAATTCTAACTTTTAGTTCAGAGACTTAAGGAAAGATAATCACTTCTCTAAGCATGCTAGGAGCAGACTGCATTGATAATTTTTTACACATGTTAAACTTATAGAGCACAAAGTCTTTAGCAAGTAGGATATGGAATGTAGTGGACAAAGTGGGTGGGTTCCTCGGTGTGCGTTAACTGGACGGAAATGAGATAAATACGTCCACATTATTTGCTTTTGTTTTCCAAAACAACTAAAAGTCATTATTTGCTTTTGTTTTCAAATAAAAAGTTCAACATAAAAGTTTTACATACTCTTAAATGATTTAGACTTTTTCTCAATTTGAATACTCCAAAACAAGAAACATCAATATAAAATTTGTAAAAATTAGTGGTTAATAATCCGACTTTTCAAGAGAATACATGTGTTTCTATTAAATAAATAATAAATAATTTCAAGAACTCTTCACCAGAAATAAAACAACTCTTATTTTTTTCTTTAAATGTTTAAAAAGAAATTCAAAAATGGTTAAACTGGAATGGAAAACTGCATTGACTGTTATTTCCAGTCAACTTAGGGAATCATAGTTAAAACTTTGTACTTGAAATAACTAAAAACATGTATGTTTATGACATAACATTGTATGGATCACACCACTAAAAATACGGACTCAAAATTCCCAATTATTGGTGACAAGTAGACGACCAAATTGCCCCTTTTCACAAATCACACATTACCTACAAAAAAGATACTCAAGATGAAAATGTAGGCAAACTGGTGTTTGTAAAATATTCCAACTTTGTCCTGTTATTAAATTGTTAAAAAAGTTTTGGAAGTATGCAGAATTTAGCTTGGAATAAACAATTTATGACAACTTTTTTTTTTTATGCCGACCATTTTATGGTCCAAATCAAGGCAGTCTGTAATTTGTAATTTTTAATATACATGCTTCAATTTGCATATTTTATAAGGTTAAATGGAAGTACATTTTTAAGATTTAATAATTGGAACTCGATACATTTTCTTGCAAAGAGGGCCTTAGACTGATGTTTATTACGTTTGATTTTTTTGTAGCTAGAGCTTTTTTTTTCATATACAGCTTTTGCAAATATTTTTGCAGGACCATGTTTAGTTCTCGTCTCTCTGAACTTTGCTCTTAATATTATCTTAATATTTATAAAGCCAAGTTTAGCTTGGTTTTTAGTTTAAAGCCAAAATTACATTTTAGTGGCCTGGATATCTAACATGAAGTCTGCGGCCTTGTTTATAGTGCTTAAATTTTTTAGTTAAAAAATAAACACAGCTGCAACATCAGATGAAAAATGCCTGCTTGCAACTCTTGGGCTCGGAATACACATTTCGAGATTATTTTTAAAAACAAAAATTTAAAAAAAACACCTCTGGCAGCACATTGCCTATTTATTAGCTTGAAAGCATTATTTCGTCACCTGAGCATTGATGTGATTAAGACATCTTGTTTTGGTTGAGAAGCTTCACATTTAAAAAAAAAAATCTTAGAATCTGCTGATCAGAGTTCGATTGATTCCAACCCCAACCCCATTTTCCCCCTTAGAGTTACCCTACCTCTCCCATCAGCTTCTCCCATCACTCTTGTACTTGGCTTCGACAACAAAGAAGTCATCAGGCACAGCTTCCCCCGACTCGGTGGTGATGCTCCCCCGACTGACCCTGGTGATCTTGGAAGCCTCATGTCGTTGCAGGAAGTGTTCCAAGGTATCCCAGCCCCCGCCCACCCGCACCATCACGTGACGCCCTCGTAACATCTGGCCAAGAAAAAGGAAACATAGTCCAAAATATAAGGCCATGATATGATATGCACTTAACTATCTTTATATTTGAGATTATAACACCTCACCCAAAGATTCTGTGTCTTGATTGGTCGAGCGCGAGTCACATGTTACATTCTAATTTTGCTATCTTTCTGTGCACGACCAAAAGTACTATACCCGTAGCAACCAAAGTACTATACCATTAGCAACCAAAGTACTATTTCCACGGCGCGGTATTTGTGTGCAAATGGATGCTGGTGTGCGCGTTGCGCGTAGAGCGTATTGTTCCAAAGAGAGCGCGCCGCAGACTTGGGTTCAAACATTTTGTGAAGGGGTAGTTTGGAAGAGAGAAACATGTTTTCCACCAATTTTGTATTGAAATTGAAGTTTATTTCAACTGTGTTCAAATTTGAATAATTTAAAATATTAAAACCAAGCAGAATCTGTGGGTGAAGTGTTATAAAACAAATATTGAATGCTTTATCTCGTGGTGAAGTAAAACTAGCCTCCCTCGGTGATCCATGGAGCATTCTATTTTCCCTCGGCTTTGCCTCGGGAAAATAGAATGGTCCATGGATCACCTCGGGAGGCTAGTTTTACTACACCACTTGAAGCATTCAATATTTGTATACTAACATTTGAATCTTTCAGTCAAACTTGATGATGCTGAAACTTAAAAAAAATATCACTGGTGAAAGTTAATGGCTCTCTTCCATCTAGAGTGCAGAAATTTGAATGTTATGGCTGAAAACAAAGTGTCAAATTCACAAGAAACGTGTCTTTCATCAAAGTCGTCAACCAGTTTGCGCCAAATGACGTGTATACACGCAAAGGTTTTGTGGTATTCGGAACGGATGACGGATAAACACGCAACAAGCGAGGCTGGAAATATCCGTCAGCGACCTGCTCGCAGCAAGCGAGGCCGGAAATATGACTGCTGCCCGAGGGTGATGGCATTGAGGTCGAGTGAAACGTAATTCCACGCCTCGTTCCATTCTTGTCAAAATATTCCCGGTATGAATTGGTTAACTGACACCATCTGACTGATGGGGGGTGCAGCTCAAAGCGGTCAGGAATGGACACAATTGGACAATAGGTGGCGCTTTTCATTGCACCTTATGTGCCGACAGACACACAATTTGCCAACAGGACATTGATGACTTTGCCGACAAAACTTGAATAACAGGGGAACATCCCTGAGACCTCTCAAACCCCTAGTGACGCCCCTGATTTGAAGGATTCAAGATAGGGTGAGAGAAGCACAGCCAGACATCAATTATTCAAACTCACCCTAATGAAGACCATCTTGCCACCGATGTTATACCTTCCTTCAGACACCCTTCTGATGTCTAAACCAAAATCACATTGCTTTGCGACATTCATCACCTAAAACAGATAAAAAGGTTTCAAACACTTTGAAATTCAATTCAGTTCCGTTATATTTCTATTCAAACACAAACAAATATGGAATATAGAATTGTAAGTGTATGAGCAATACATATCCGAGGATTTTATTCCGAGATATATAAAATAAACTTTTTTTTTATGAAATAAGGAGCAAAATCTGATTTATAACTAGTCATTATAAGCCTCTACTTGTAATTGACACCCTTTATGCAAACTAAGGACAAATTCAATGTTGACAAAATACCAAATAAACATCAAGGTTATGGTGTCGCCATTCACCTGAATCGAAAAGCTTTTGTATTTGTCATGAGTTAAAACAACGCCAAGTATGAATCAATAAAACCATAGAATGCTCTTGCGGTTTTGGGCATTACAAGGTGTAACAGGCGGGGCGGTTAGGGGCAGTACAGCGAATGGGTTAAAGTCAAAACGGCGTGAAAAAGGTTGGTGTAATTTTTGTATGGACTAGATAGACCCTATTTAAACCAAGGCCATAGGAATGCAACTACACTCGTGGTGGGAGAAATCAGAGATTTCAAAATCCGGTTATCCTAATTTTTTTTCAAAGTGAATAACGGTCATCTGATTACACCGGAAGTTCCCATCCAGCTCACAGTCATGCCAACAACAAGTGACGAGTGAGGTGCCGCATGAAATGCACTCCCAATGATTGGGTATAGTTTGCAGGATTCAATGACCACTGGGCCTTCACACACAAAAAACACTCCAGAGCTGTAATGTTGAAAAAGTGGTCGGCACTCTCTGACAAGTCAAATGGGCAGGCTATTCATATACCAAGAAGACTACTAGCAAGTAAACGCAGTTAGAAGAGTTTACAGAGTGACCCACTGCCCTGTACAGTGAAGACAGCAACCCCCACCGACAGCCCGCCTGGTAAACAGAAAGATCTACCCACCTCAGTATCCAGCAAGCTAGCAGCCTTCTTCTTAGTGACTGCTGAGGCTGGTCGTGGATTCTGCTGCTCTTTCTCAATTTCCTTCTCCAGTTTGACCAGCCCTGGAGGATCGATGCCGTATCTTCCTGCCAGCCTTGCTAGCTCGTAGAGACACACCAGCACATTCTGGGGAGTTTTCTGTAGCACTGGGTGAGAAGGTGGGAACAAAGCAGTTAGGGCTATGCCAAATGTACCGAATATTGGAACATTCGATCATCCATCAAATATCCAAATGGTAGGTTTTTCGATTCAAATATTACAAAAATGTGAGCGGTCGTGAGGAGACGATGAAAAATTTCCATGATATTATTTTCATCTTATAAGATGCATTGTTTGTCGAATGCCACACTTTTGTCAAAAGCCATTTTACACACATGATTTGAGAGATTCCGTGAGCAATATTGGCTCAAATTTCTTGTTTCAGATTTGTCAAATATGAGCCATTCCACTACCTCAAAAAAAGAAATTGATACATACAGGATGCTCTTTAAGTAAGATTTGAGGCTTTGCATGGTGGAGATACTAAATAATGAAAGGTTTGCGGAAACACCATGTGCGAATAATTTCTCAACTAAGAGAATGGTTCTGAAAAGAACCAGAGGTATAATGATATAAAGGATGCTCTTTATATCATTTTAATAAGTTCTTGTCGATTTTTGACAAACACAGGCACACACAAATCCAGATCAGAGGCCAATTTTGGCTGGCACATGTAAAACTTGGATCAACGCATTTTGAATATTCAAATATTCGATCAAGTCCAAGTTAGAGCATAGCTTTATATGGTATAAACTGCAACTTTCGCGAGCGTCATCAATGTGAAATATGTTTTGTATGCCCCATGTTGCCTAGTTTTCGGTTTGAAAATTCCCCACGAATGACATTCAAAACCTTTCTTTCTCTTTGTCTGAGAAGTTACTAAGTACATTTGTAAAGTTGGTAATGGGTACACGATCCCATAATCTGGAACCGCTCCCTGACAGCAACAGTCGGGTACTTGGAAAGCCAATTCCGATGCACATCCCTACACTGGGACTCTCAAAAGTGGTCACATAGCACCATTTTGTGTTCATGCAATGAGGCTATAGGATGATGCCATAAGGTGGGGGGGGGGGCCTTGAAATCTGCTGAGCACTGAACTAATTTTCAAGCTTTCCGGAGAAAGACATGACACAAGCGGTGAGTGTGAAATTTTCTTCAGAGCTTTGATACACGTACATGATGATAAATTGTTATGAAAGGTTTATAATAAAGAGGTTTTTGGTCACGCTACATGTACAGAAACATCCAGTCATTCTGAAGATTTCTCTTCAGAAAAAGGGAGTCTGTAAGACAACAACTTGTTTAAAAAAAAAAAAATTGTTAGGCAAAAAAAAAAATAAGTTGGTCTCTGGTCAGCGCGCGCGTCGATTTTAATCATGCGCATCGATCTTTTTTTTTTTCCAAAATGTTCCGCGGTAGCTCCAACAGCGCCCTCTATTTCCGCACCTCCTCAATTTTTTTTACCAAAGAGCACCAAGGAATGAGAAATTGCACCAAGGCAAATGATCGAAAGCACCAAGGCAAATTATGGATGACACTAATGTACATGAGGACACCAAAAAAGCAAAATAGTACCCCACCTTGTCTGTACAATCCAAGCTTGAAGGGAAAAAAAAAAAAAGCAAAAAAAAAAAAAAAAGCCGCGTGGCCGCGTCAATTCCGGAACTTTGGTCTGACCAGAGACCAAATATTTTTTTTTTGGCCTTACATACATACATGTACATAATGAAGAATTGTAATGAAAGGTTTATAATAAAGAGGTTTTTGGTCAAGCTACATGTACAGAAACATCCAGTCAGTCTGAAGATTTCTCTTCAGGAAAAGGGAGTCTGTAAGACGACAACTTGTTTAAAAAAACAAAACAATGGTAACCCCTCTCTGTAAGAAACAGAGATACAAATTAACAACATCTATTAAAGTTCAAGTTGAAATCCATGGGATTTTATACTGACTGAATATCAACATTACAGCTCACAACCTGTACCCGAATAAAAAAAAAAGCTCTATTTCCTGAAAGGAAACCAATGACTTCCTGTCAAGGAAATTGAATGAAGCGATTAAATTCCCAATGAGGGGCTAACGACCAGACAGAACAGTGAATAACCTAGGCTTTCTAAAGACATACGGACATGCATTAGCTGAACATTTTTAACCTAAGATATTTATAAAAAAAAAAAAAAAAAATTAAAAATCCCCCTTTTATTGGGTGGAGCAGGGAGAAATTGAGATGTTAGTATCATGCAATAGCGCTTCTAACTTGCTGCTGGTGACTGATCAAAGCAGGGAGAATTTTGGATTTTACAGAGTTTAGTCTAGAAAATAGTAATTTTCTCTCGGTCAATTTCATGAAAACTGTGCATTATTACAATGCAATGTCCATTCATCTCTTTCTTAAACAATTCAAGTTAATTGTTTAATCACCCTGAAGAGAATTACTTGAGCTTTTACAGTTATTCATTTTGTATCATCATAAGCCATAAAGCAACTAGCTTTATCCGCCACCTTGAAAATACTATTTTCGGGTTTTTTTATGTCTTCAAAAATGGGTAGCAGATTCCAAAACTTCTCATACAGACAAATCACTTGCAAGAGAGGATACAGCTTTTTTTTAAATTAAAGGGAAAATACAACATTTGCAAACATCAAAAAATAAAACTACCAAATCATTTTGAAATACCTTGCTGGACTGTTAGTGAATGACAGTGTAAAGCATCCTGTAAAATCTTGGCACCTGGTATACTGTCATTTTCAAGAAAAGTGGTATTTTTGTATCAATTTCCAACGCTGATCGGCCGATCAGCGTTGGAAACAACTGGCTTTTTTTTTCAAATACTGGCCCCAATTGACCATCGCACTTGTTTGCAATCGATTACAAACCTATGAACGGGTACGAGCCAGCTAGACTGGTTCCCTGACCTTACAATTCCCCAAATTATGTAAACTGTTCTGTTTCTTCTTATATGGAGTCAGGGAACCAGACTACAGGAAAATGATCGTTTTTCTTGGTTTTTATAGCATTTTCGAACCCAAAACCTTAAAAAAGTCAGTGTAACTATATTTGCTATATATTTCTAACCCCCCAATTCCATACATTTCTGAAAATTACAGCAAAAGCAAATGATGTATATTCCCTTTAAGAAATATAATCAAATAAACTTCTCTGGTTTACTTGAAGATTTGTTTACATCGCCACGAAGGTAGCACCTTTTACACAGATACAAAAGTTACAGAAAACAGGCTGCAGGTCACAATGGAAAGATATGTTGTACAAACACTATAGACACCAATATACCCGGACTTTATAACGTGATTTTTATTAAAACTTACCCAAGCCCTCAGTTTCGAATAGGCACGTATCTTCAAGCCCAATACCTCGGCACCAGGACAGAAAAGTGGCTACATTGTCTCGGGCAAAGAAGGACGCGGCGACAGCATTCTGTCGGTACTTGATCTTTTTGGAAGGCATTTTCTGTATCAAACCAAAAACAAAGGTGGGTAGGTTTTTTTTACATTCTAGGATGAAAGCAATCTTGACGCAACTCATGGGTTGAGCTGGGCTTAAATTTCAGGTGTTACACATTGAATTCCATATATATAATATTCCACATTGGAATATTTTTTGGTGATACATAAACTCTGACTTGTTTCAACTGGTCGGAACCAGTCAGAACCAGTCAGAACCAGTCGGAACCAGCCTGAACTGCTTCCAAACTGTACGCACTCACCCCCAGACTGGGACCTTGAGCACAAAACAAAAATCAGGCCAACTTACTCACTCTTTAGCTGACAAAATTCTCCAAAATTTTCATGCGGCAAAGAAAAGGTCCTCAGTATTTCAGCAGCCAAGTTTGAAGTCTCAATTCAATTTTTAAAGGAGACATTTCTTCAACATGTTGCACCTGAGAGTGAGGCCAAGTGATTTCAATTTGAAGCCTAAGACTAGACTGGTACATGTCCAACTGTTTGAAAAGATTGATCCTTCAGTGGTCTGGTGGCAGACCAAGAAGAGATGTGCGGAAATAGTGACCGCGTACCAGATGTTTCCTTTGACACAGTTGACTGGTGCAGTACTAACGGGTTGTTGGACTGGTTGTTTTATGTGCCAGTCTATATTAATGTTTTCAGTACCTTAAAACCCTAACCCTGCCAGATGCAACACAGTGCATGAGGTGGAAAAAAAGTGGTGCATTTTTGTTGCATCTAACTGCCCACACCAGTGCACGAATGGCCAGCTCTGAAACAATGACAGCTAAGTCCAACTGAACAATGCCACAGTTGCATCCTGCTGTGTACGGTGACCACAGACTCCAAGGCAGTGTGGCCTTGAGACTTTTCCCCTAATGGATCTTGCTACATTTGGCAGGCTTGCCACTTAGTCAAGTGTTGCATGTTGCTAGGTTTGGCAGGGTTCTAGCAAACATACCCTGGAGGGTTAGGGTTAAAGGTATAGTCCATCATTTGCAGCTATCCGAAAAGTAACTGGCGTAATTATTGTTGAAAAACATACTTGGTTGAAAGATAGTAAAGGGACTAAACTCCCTGTGAAATTATTCTTTCTGGCAAGCTGTAATTTTGAAGTAATCAAGGAAAGAAGGCCTTTCCAACGGTGCTTAAGACGCACCGTAGGAAATTTAAATGAGTAGTTCGGGGGGGTTATTGGCGAAGCGTGCGCCGAAGCAGTGGCACAATGCACACGCACGCGCAGTTGCTATAACTCGTCGGATCAGTGCGTGACATCGCGTAGCTGCAATCGGCTCAGTGAGAACGTGTCTCGGACGCTGAATTCAGGCCCAATTCAAAACATGATTCAGCAACTTTTGATTTGAAATTGAGATCCTAGAATGCTGTTTTTCTCGGAATATACAGCTGAAGCTGAGCTGAAACTTCATTAGGTTAGTTGTTCAGTACCCTTCTTGAGATTTTGAGCACTTTTGTTGCTTCAAACAAACAAAATGCACAAATTACAAATGATGGACTACATCTTTAAGTCTTGGGACTCTCATACACAGTCTTGAGAGTCCCAAATGTTGGGACCTCACTCACCCCTATGGCTTTCCCAGCTCGCTGACACTCTACTGCCTTGTCCTGAATGAGCTGGGCTAATTTGCATAAAAGTACACCATTGGCTATTGAGTCCATCAAACCGGTGGTTGTGGTTTTCTCCCCTGCGAAAAAAAAATAGTTGGCAAAATTTAAACTACATTTACAACAATACGGACAAATTTTAAATCTTTGTGTGTCCTCAGCCATTCTGCCAGATCTTATCAATCCTTTAGTCTGTCCATCTGTTAGTCTGTCTTCTTGTTTGTTTTTTCCCCTAGTACCCGTGTCTGCCATTCAGCCAGATTTGATTGATCTGTTGGTCTGTAATCATCTGCCTATCTGTATGTCTTCATCTCTCCCTCACTTAGTACCCGTGTCAGATATTCAGCCAGATTGTATTCATTTGTTAGTCTGTGATTATCTGCCTATCTGTGTGTCTTTGTTTTCCCTCACCTAGTACCAATATCAGCCATTCAGCCAGATCTTATCAATCTGTTAGTTTGTGATTATCTGTCTTGATGTATGTCTTTGTCTTTGCTCACCCAAGTACCCCTGTCAGCTATTCAGTCAAATCCTATGGATCTGTTAGGTTGTGATTATCTGCCTTTATGTTGGCCTATGTCTTTGTCTTTTGCTCACCAAGTACCCGTGTCAGCCATTCGGCCAGGTCTTCCTGCAGTGGTATGAGACTTTCCTCAGCTCCCCTGGCTATCTCTTGGAAGTACTCATCCCCTTCTGATGACCCATCCATGTCATCCATCTTGATATCAATCAATCCATGCACTCAATCTGCAGCAGGTCAAATCAGCCACCAAAACGTCTCAGTCAAAATACACTTCTGTCATTGAAAGCCAACAGAGGTAACGGTTTTGATTTGAGTTTTTTTATTTTTTGAGAGGGGGGTGGGGACATTTTTGGATTCTATTATTGACGACTTTAAAATGCAAATAAAAAAAAATAAATAGATATGGCAAAGACAGTGCTGCACAATAAATGTACAAAATAGTAGAATAAAATTAAAGGCAGTATATATTTGACCAGGAACCGGGTCCCATTTATGTTTGTTCTTTTACCAGCGCCGTACTGAACATGTGCAGTGAGAATTTTTCAGGACATTTTTGAAAAAATTTATTGTGACAAGTCTTCCTCTGGGCCCTCGCTTACATAGGAATCAGACCTAAGGAAAATTTCTGACTTTATGACATTATGTCCCTTTAAAAGAAAATCCTCCAGAGCAATGAATCAGCAAAAGAAAACAAAATAATCTGCAATTATAGGATTCAATTTGAATAATAAAAGAGAATTCTTACTTTTGGGACACAAAAAATAAAGTTTAAAAAACAACGGCGAGGCCGGGACTCGAACTCAAGCAGCATGTCTGCGAGGCGGGCATGCTATCCACTAGGCCACTCCTTCGCTCAACGTCAAATGGCAATTTAATATCTTGTAATCCAGTAGGACTACTTGTAATTTTGCATACACATGCATGAGGGTACTTGTATTTAGTTGTAACTAGGCCTATACGATCTGCCGGCTTAAGAACAGAAAAAGTGCAGAACCGGTTCCCAGCTATTAATTCAAACACTTTTTTTTTTAAATAGAAGAAGTCACAACCATCGAACTACAAATGAGAGGCTCAATATCTCACAATCACCACAGTGAAATCTTTACAAAAACAAGATGAAACCGATTTATTCATGCCTCGCAGCCAAATGGACGCGAATGGAAAGAATGTTGCATCCTGACGCCACTTTCTTCATCATATATTCTCCATGAAGGTCAGTCGTTGCAAAAATGTTGAACAGACATGAATGCTTGGACCGAGAAAATTCCAATTTTGTCAGAAAATAGGCCTACTTTGAAAATGCACTCGACTCTCCATAGACTGTGTACACAACCAAAGAAGTGGCGTCTGGATACCACATTGTTTCCACGCGAATTATCAGAAACGGTCGACATTATGTTGTGATCATTCCAAGTTTTGAAGTTTGCCAGTGAGTGACAACACGACTGACACAACCTGACAACGACGGCTGGACATGAGTGCAGTGACGGACTTGACAGATGAACTAGGCCGACCTCCAAAACACTCTCAAATTATTCCTCTTAAACTCTCCAGTTCAGAAAAGCAATGAACGCATTCAAGAAAATAAAGTCAACTTTTCAATTATAAGCATTCAGCATTATCAACAAACCTACCTAATTAAGAAAATGCCATCGATTTCCAATCTGTTTCGTCACGATCGTTGCAAACAGTGGTCGTTTATTTGTTGTCATTCGTGAGGCGGGACCCGAGAACTAGAACACAGAACGGTTGTATTTTGCGGGCGACTGAAGTGGTACTAGACGATAATTCTTTTCAGTGTAGCGCCCTCAACGTCGATGAAAATCGTCAAAAAATCTTAATACATTGTCCGGCCAAGTTTTAAAAAGCCTTTTAATGGTTTCCACTATAAATATACCCCCAAAAAAATATTTAAAAAAATACAATTGTCTCCTTATTAAAAGCCTTTTAATGGATAAACATACCCAAAACAATTGACTATTGTCTCCTTATTTTTTTGTGGTTCATTAAATTAGTGATACAAAAAATATGACTCATGACTTCCAAATCAATGGTATTTCTGATTTAGGAGATGAGATGAAAAAAAATCATCAGGAACACATTCTCGTAAACGTTGGTGCGGTTAACTTATTCTTTTTAATGAGGCTTGCAGTTTTGCCGAAGTCAGACTGATGAGGTTCCTGCACAAAAGCCCCGGCGCGTGGGGTTTTGTGTAGAATGATTGGAGGACCATTTTTTTACGGCAATGTGCTAGTAATGGGGCAAGGGTAATGGCCAAGCACGCGTGCAGCCAAATTTACAAATGGCATTTTCTAGGGCCAATGGACCCATTTTTCGACCGTAATTTTGTCAAGTCTGCCCTCAGATAATAGCCAAAAAGCTAAGCAATTGATCCTCGGTCTCTTTTTTTTTTCAACAAAAAGTTGTGGGGGCACTTTTGATGCCAAATGAGCTCGCGTAGAAATTTTGTGAACCCTCATCAATCGCGAGTGCGCCCGTTGTTGGTCTACTTCAAGTGCGCCATTCGGATCTTTCTACCCCCCCCCCCCCCCACCAAAAATATATTAGTAATACAATTTTGTTTAAACATGTCCTCGTTTATTAACTTAATTCATGAAGTATGCTATCCAAAAAATGATTGGATATTTCCTAGGGGTCTTTCCAATTTGGAAAAGTTCTTTTTGAAAGCCCACTACTAGCGAGATAACCATCGTACTGACGAAACCCCCAAGTTGGCACTCCCAGCCACAACTCACTAATGCTTGATCTCCAGAAAATTGTCTACGAAATGATGGTGTCCAGCCCCCCCCCCCCCCCCCCCCCCCCTCAACACTATTTGATTTTACGGAGGGTGGGTGTCCGGTGAAAAAAAAACCTTTCAGCACGGATTCGCTCAATACACGATGGGAGTGGCGAAGTACAGCATGCACGGCGCAAACGGTACGGCAAGCAGGACCCCAAACGCGGCACCGATGTGTAAAGCCGCGCTCCTTTCGGCATCGAGCAAGGGTAAACGCAGCCAAATTTACAAATGGCATCCCTACAGCAGGCTAGGGCAAATAGGACCCGTTTTTCGACCGTAATTTTGTCAAGTCTCCCCTTACCTCAGATAATAGCCCAAAAAGCCAGGGAGTTGCTCCTCGGCTATATTTGCACAATTCCACCGGTTTTTTTTTAGCCAGACCAGGTCTCTTTCTTCCATAAAAGTGTATGTGTGTGTGGGGGGGGGGGCACTTTTGATGCAAATGAGCTCGCGTAGAAATTGTGTGCGCCCTCATCAATCGCGAATTTATTGTGCACGGTGTTGGTCTTATTGCGCCATTCGGATATATCGTCTTTCTAGCCCCCCCCCCCTCCCTCCCCCCACCAGCACGCCAACAAAATAATAGTAATAAACTATCGTTTAAAAATGTTTATTAAGAAATTCATGAAGTGTAATGTCCAAACTGATTGGATATTTCCAAAGTGTTTTGGCAAATTCTTGGATTTTTTCCTGGTAGTAAGGGGCGGCAAAACATATATTTAAAAACTAAAACCACTACCGCACAACCCCCCCCCTCCCAAAAAAACCCTACTATTATTATTAGAATTAAAAAATTATACAGTAACAGTTACAAAAACTATCACAATCAGTTATGAAAGTTAATATTTAATAACAAGTGTACTTTATTCAGAAGACTGTTCAACAGTTTAAAAAAAGAAGACATATGAATATCTGAGCAACTTATACATGTAAATTTAACCCAATCTTAATAATCCAAGCGCTGAAGTGAATTCACCTATTGCCTGTCTTTCTCCGCATGAATATATAAATATAAATAACAAATATTATCAACAGTTTCGTATATATACAAACATCCCGAAGGCTAAGGCACATCTGTAATGATTTGAATATATTCTATAGGGGTAGAATAAATTTGCAATTTAACGACCAGAACAAATCGCACAGAATTCAGAAAGCATATTATTCGTGCATATTACAGTATTTTTTTTCCAATAATTTCTTTTTAAGTTCATGTTTCCTGCTTAAACACAAAGTTTTTTTCTCAATTCATTCCTAAGGTTTGTGAAACTTAAATAAAACAATAATTTACTGATGATATTGATTTATTGTCTTCACAATTTATATTCCTTGAAATGTCATTACATGTGTTTTAAGGTTTTCCTTTAATCTTGTCACATTAACTCTCAATTGATTATATTGAATGCATCATAACAAACCTTTTTTTTTTCCAAATACATTTGTTGTGCAGGAGGGAAACCCTCCAAAATGTTCCAAGTTCTGCCACAGTACAAAACGCTTTTACTTAAACCCTTATAAAAGTTTTTTTTTATAACTATCTTCAATCAACTCCCTTCAAGAATAATCCTAAACTGACACCATACACAACAAAAATAAAGAAATAAAGTTTAAAAATATGCGGAGTCCCTGAATCTTCATGAATACTAAAACGATAAACTTGGTGCAGGCTTTACAAGATCCTAGAAAATAGACTTTCAAGAGTTTTTAAACCCTCTCATTTTTTTTTATCTTGGACAGCAATGTACAGGAAATATGACGTTAACAGGAAGACTTTTCAGTGTTATTTCCCTTCATCGAAGAAATGAGATGCTGTAATTCAACCATTGCTCTCAAAAAAATTACCAAATAAATCTCTCATCTTTTCAGAGGGCTCAATATTGTTGGCGGAGATGTGGTGCAAACATTAAAACACTTCAATTTTTGTTTAATCTAAAAATAAGATTTTGTTTTAATAATTGCAGATGAGGCAAAAACTTGCAGGTACAGATATAAGACGTGGATTAGAACACAATAGTCACGGAAGTAAACATATGATAGGAATACTTAGGGCATTAGTAATTAGGCCAATGGAGACTATTATCAGTTCATATCAATGATTCAGATCTCCTGGAAACATCATGTGACAAACAAAGAGTATCAAGGCCAAAACCAACAAACCCCAGCTCAACTAGGTGATAAGGAAGAGGAGATTCCAATGGTTTTGGCACGTCCAAACGTATGGATACAAACAGACTTCCAAGAAGATTTTACAACTGGAATACACCCCACGGAAAACAAAAGACTGCTGGAAGACCAAAGATAACATGGAGGTCCATGCTACAGCAAAGACCTCGCTCGTCTTGACATCGGATGGTCAGTGGGGGGAAGTTGCTGCAGTTGCTGCTCAAGACTGCAAGACCTAGGCCTTACTCTCACGTCAAGCAGCAGGTGCAGAAATGCATGAAGCAGACTGGTAAGGTGAGGTAATGAAATACCTAAAGTGTGAAATTAAATAGAGTTATGGTTGACTAGGGTGTAGCTGCCTGTACTTTCCAAAGTTTGTCAAACGTGATACTTTTGTTAATAAAAACTTGAGCATGTCTTGATTCCATTAGCAACTCTCCCCCCCCCCAAAAAAAATGTTTGTGCTCACCAAAATCCCAAGTTTTAAAAATCATCTATGAAATTGGAGACAAATTTGGTTTAGTTAAACTGGGAATTAGGTGCTAAGCTAGGGATGGTAAAAAATAATTGTTGGAAGATAATAAAATGATTGAGCAAAATGAAGCCAAGTCCTTGTAAACTAGCTACAATAAATGCCAATATAGGTCAAATGTACAAGAAGTACGTGCCTTCCTTATTATCACTACTCTGCTAACGGTGACGTTTCGGTATCAATCATAGGAATGAAACTGATATTCTCCATTGGCTTAATTACCTAATTGTGAAAGATTGTTATAAATAGTTATGACTATAGATAAGTTTGTTTGCTTGTTATTATTGATCATCTTTTTGGGAGGGACAGACTCTGGGCTGACAGGAAATGGACAAAGAAAGAGAGAACATGGACAGTTAACATACATAAGGGCAATTCCACGGTTACTCACATTACATTTTCGTAACGTGAGTAACCGATTTTGTGCGTCTTTTTTATCATACATAACACATTTTTCTGGATGTCATCTTTGGTGCTTAGGTAGGTCTAGGTCTACTCTATCTACCATAGGGATAACAGTTATTAAACATTTTCAGTAAGGTAATTACAGCCCAAGGAAACTCAAAAGTACATCAAAAATGTAACGTGAGTAACCGTGGAATTGCCCATAAGACTGACACACAGCACTAACAAGCAAAAGGTGTACACACAATTTTTAAAGAACAGGGAAGGCTGGGAACGAAACAGTGAAGGACAAACAAAGCACGGAATACAAAACACTGAAAAGAAGCTGAGGATGACTGCTGACAAACATGACAACTGGTGGTGTCAGGTCTGGGATGGTATCCCAAATTCTATCTGAGCAACAAAAAAAAAATCAGTAATAACAAATACTTAACATTCCTTGAAACAATAGTTGTCATCAAGTAACACAGGAATTTCAGTTTGAATGAATATATCGCGCACACACTTTAAGTGGACCAGCCATTGTAATAGAGTCAGTAACTCAAAAATTCAAACATTTATAAACAAAGAAAACACAATTCATCATCAGAACTGGCTCAAGAAACTTAATTTAGCTGCTGGGTCATTCCATAAATTTGGGGTGCTCTTTTGTCCCCGTCCCTGTTACATCTGACGTGCGATTTTGTAAGTTCTGGATGCACTCCTTGACCCTAATGATCCCCAACCAGCCAAACTCCAACACCAGGGTTTGTTGGGTTCTGTTAGGATGAGTACTGCACTAGTAAACTGACTGTGCTTTACGTGGGATCAGGCGTACCACAAATAAACAGAGTCAAAATGGTGTTGGGATTTGCAAGGATGAGGAAGGTTCCTACTAAATCACCTTAGGGAGTTAGGGTTAATGTCTTTTTCCTCCTAGAACTACCTAGCTAGCAAATTAGAATAGTTTGAATTCCTTTTTAATGATACTTGAGCGGCAAATTAAAAAAGTTTTGTGGTAACGGGGATAGGACAAATGTCACGCTTGGGACCCCAAATTTAAAGAATGACACTGATGCATGTGTGCATGTCATCTGAATTTCTGGATGGTACGCGATTATCATAATGGCAAAATACAATGTGACAGCATTTAGCCAAAGTTTCTGTTCAGCTAGTCCAAGCCTAGCCTAGAAAAAAAAGAAGAATTTTTTCTTTTCTATTTTGAACATCCTATAACAAATCACACTTTAATTAAAAAAATATATCAAATGATCACATAGAAAATGTTCCAATAGATGCAGTTACGTAACCAAAATAATGCCCATCTGAATTACAATGTTCCAGGATAATCCAAGTACCGTAGTCACATTAGGAAGAGTTAACCTTAAAAATAAAATCACTGCTGAACTTTTCAACCTAAAAGCCCCAGTGTGAAGATTTCTAGAACCTGCTCAGGCAAAAAGCATTTTCCTCCCATTTTTGTAAGGTAGGGGATTGAGTTCACAGGCCTTGCCCATGACCGAGGCTCCAGTAAGTCTGTGCCCTCTTTTTTTTTACTTTTTAAGGGGCAGGGATTGGTTTGGGATGGAAAGGTGATTATGCTTCTTCCAATATACCACTATAGCATTAATGAAGTTACTTCAACATTAATTCAACTCGAAGAAGTTCCCGTTTCATTATCAAAATTTGTTTAAGGATCACAAGTTTATTCCAAATGGGAGGATGCCATGTTTCCACGTAGTCTGAGTATCACCCCTTCTCCACGGAGCCCAACTCTGGTCACACGTCTGATATATATCTAAGCATGAGTGACGTCATTTCATTCCGAAATCTGGACGAAGATTTTGACTGGTCAATTTCAATGCCGCGTTTTTGTAACGACCTGTACAAACATGCTACTCATCTTGGGCCTGATGTTTACGCACGCGGGGAACTCACTTAACGCGCTATAGCAGGCGTCCGCTGATTGGTCAGTTTCTTGAGGTCATGCACAGTGTAGTTGCATAATTAATCCCCGAATCTGCCTACATATGATTACATAGAGTAGTTTCCACAGGGGTAAAGCAGTCTTAAGTAAGCGTGCAAATATACCAGTGCCAGTATTCCCATTTGGGATCAAATGGAATTTCCAGGATGCAGTTAGAAAACAGAGATTTTATATTTGAACATATAGTGAACCCAAGAGGAAAATTTTTCCTATTCTCAAATTCTCCCTTGTTCCCCCCATGGCTCAAAAATAAAGTTACTTTCTTACATAATAAATGCATTTGTGCAATCATTACACACTTCAAAGCACAAGCTCTGCAAAGATTCCCCTACAATAATCCCATGCGAGATGCTACATATCAAATCTGCAGTATGCATTTCTGAAAACCTCAAGGCCACAAACGGTTCACGTAAATAGATAGATATAAATGTGTATATACAGCCGGTTGAACGGAGGTAGCATATACTATCGTGGCGGGTGATTGTGGTGTCTCAGTTCCGTGTAGGGCCACAGAAACTCCTTCAGAGTTCTCCACGGTGAATAAGAGACGGGGCTCCCGCTAAGGCACGACTCCAGAGGCACTACGGTGACAAAGACGTACGCCAGGGCAATCAGGAAGACAGACAGGGTGAGAACAAGGCGGGCGACGCGGACGGCGCGTGGCCACCGCTGGCTCACTTCTTGGAGTCGTTGGAAGAGTTTATTGCTGCTTTTGTCGGCTTGACTGTCGCAGGGAGACCAAGCAAAAGAAAACATGATTGGCAATAGGTTGCTGGTATTATTAGCTTCATTTCTTACTTATAAATATTAATGTATGGCTTTCCTCTCTTAACCCTAAAAGGGCCGGGGGGGGGGGGGCTCTCTTAACCCTAAAAGGGCCGGGGGGGGGGGTGGACCCCCCCTCAACTTTTTCCGCGATAGCCTTAAAAAAAAAGAGACTTTTTAGCCTCGAGCCTTGTGCGTCTTTTTGATACCAAAAACATAAAAATTGGACCAGGGTTGCCGCGTAGCGAAAAATTTTCTGCTAGCGCCGTGAAAACTGAATTTTCCCATATACGTCGTGTACACAGAGCAGAATTACCATTCGTACATATGAATAGTTAATTAGCCATCATCCCAAAACCGTTTGACCTATAGTCATGAAATTTCTTGGGTATGTTCATGATGAATTTCTATGCATGTACCGAGTTTCAAAATTTTTCGTCACTCGATGGCCGAGATCTTCTTGATGGCCGAGAGAGATTGCCAAAATAACCCGGCCTGATTAGGGTTAACAATGACCATTTCTTCGCTGGGTAATTCCAGCGTCAGGGACATTACAAATCAGATACTTTTTGTACTTCTGGAGATCAGTGAATAATCCTGAAGATATAGTTTTTTAATCTTACACATCCATCGTATTATATAGTATTGGTCAAGAAGGTTACACTCTTGGAGTTTTGGATTTCTCTGAATCATTATTTTTTGGCTGTAACAAACATTACATTTTCAGGTTTATTCACTGAGCTCCTGAAGTACAAAAAATGGGTAATGTCCGCGACGCTAGAATTGAGAGGGGCCTCGTAGCCGAGCAGTTAGAACGTGGAGCTACAGAGTGGAAGGTTGGCGGTTCGAATCCCATTTGGACCAAAAACTGGAAAACTCTCTCTGATGACCCAACAGTGAAATGGGTACCTGATTCGTTCAGGGAAGGTAAGACGGCGAGAGGAGAGGACTAGGCACCGCCACTTATATGCCGCGCCCAAGACACAGTGGACCTCTAACATCCCACTGCCCCTAAGGCCAATAATGGTTATGGGTTCCTTTACCTTTTTTTTTAAACTTATTTCAAATAGGTTCTTCAGGCTTGTGTGCCATCGCCGCTTTTGAGGAATCCTTGTTTCAATTAACAGCAAAAACACTCAATGCCAGGTAACTCACATTTCTTTCTCTGCCTCCTCCCGTTCTTCTTCCTCCTCGGCCTGATCGATGAGATCCTCGAGGTTATCGCAGAAGGCCTTCTGCTGCTCTCTCAAGTCGGCCAGCTCGTGGGTGACTTGGGTCCTGACTCCCTCCTCATACCTAAGAGCAATCAAAACACCCGTTTCAGACTGATGGTCCTGATGGTCTTGATGGCACTTAATCAAACTGCTGTAGCGACTCAAATGGAGTTTTGGTTTCAGACGAGCAAACCTGATGAATCAATTTTCAATTGACTAGATTCTGGAGTTGTTCACAATGACTGCGACGATCGTCCCAAAGAAATGGTCCTAAACGTTTCAAACATCGAAATTAATTCAAATCTTCGGAATATTTTAGCTCGGCACTACTTTGAGACTTTAGTCAGCAATAGTCGATAGACCCTTAGCTTTATCAGTCACATTGGTTGGTCCAATGGACTCAGTGCTCAAATAAGCGTGTTAATTTTCCTCGCAAGCCGCCTGGCAGTGCTAAGTATTTATGAAATTACGCGTGGAAGGGTCAAACATAATAAAGAGTGCAATGAAATTGGTCGGGGGGGGGGGGGGGGGGGATGGACAGATCCCTCACCCTTTCTGGAAGACTTCCTCCTTCTTGACATTCTTGGCCTCGTTGCTGTCTACCTCGGCCAGACCCTTCTTGACTGCCTCCGGGTCAACAATCTTGGGAAAGGTGTTGGGTGTGGTCATAGCCGTGGCCACCGGTGAGGCCATGGTCGTGGCATTGGGTGTGGCCGGGAGGGATACAGCATGTCTTCTGCTTGGGCTGGGCAGCGGACTTGACCCACTCGGGCTGGACGCACTCAGACTGCAAAGAGCAGGGAAAAAAGGAGAAAAAAAAGGGGGAGGAATTAGACGATAAAACTTACAGAATAACAGTAAGGAGTTTAGAAAATAAACAAAAATCACCAATTGTTTAGCTCTATGCTAGGCTGTCAAAACAAGTAGACAGAAAAAGCTGGAAATACCACATCTTACAGAAGCTATCACAGGGTGACCTAAACGTATGTGGGCTTTAGTCAAATAAGAATGACAGCTAGCTTTTGTATCTTTGTTCAAAGAATTATGGACGGTATGATTTTGAAGAGGGAAAGGCTTTAAGGCCAAGCTTAAGGTACCCACAGCATGTGGAGTATTCTTTGCACGGAATAAGCAATGCAAATAACAACCTTTTACTTTCTTTCAATCACAATACACTGGACAAAACAGTAATTTTCAAACCCAAACTTCAACACTTAAAACAATGGATAGCCTTCTTATTCGCACCAAGGCCTTGGGCCTATGTGCTCCTAAATTGTGAAGAGGAGTGAAAAATAAAAGGCACTGGTAGCTACAATGTAATTCTAAGTTTGCTTAAATCTACAGTCTCAAGAATGTGACATTTTCTGTCAAAAACGAACACTTCTGGGCAGCGGGTTGAATTTTTCCCCAAAATATTGTTACAATATGAAATGTAGATTGTCCAATGTGGATTGCCCATACACGATAGTTTATTTCTTAAAAAGAACTTTCCTTTGCGAAATTACGCCCATTCAAGGTTTGTGATGTCAGAAAGGTTAAGAGAGAGAAATTGCCTGATACAAGTTTTGGGCTTTTCATTTCAGGAATTGTAACACCTGTACAATATCCCAAAAAAAAGTACCAAAGAGGCTCTATTACTATCTGAAACTTTTACAGAATATTGTAGACATATTCAGAGAAAATAATATTCTTTTTTTAAAATCAGCCAAAGTTGCTTTTTGGGTCATTTCTCCATCTCAAGCTCTGCCAAGAAGTGTCTGGATTTGGCAGAATGCTTAAAAAAATCTGCTCTTACGCTGGGGCGGAGATGGTCCCTTCAAGTGAGGCATGCTCAGTTGCTTGGCCCTCATCGCTGGCCCGTCGGTTGATGATGATGGAGCTATCGGTCCGCGACAACGGGGTATGTCTACCCGGGCTCAGGCTACCAGCCAGCCTGGCCTTTGCCTCCTGTATCACAAAGGGTGGACAGGGCAAGTCAAATAAAAATGTGTGCATACACAAGTACTTCTTAACTGACAACTTAAAATGTGAGAGCAAAGACTCAGATTAATAATAATTATAATAATAATTACCGGTAATGGGGTAATAGGGAGACTTTCCCATAGACTTGTGCACAAAATTTTTCAAACTTAAATGTGCCCTAACCCAATATTCCCTTGTCTTTTTTCCCACAAACTTCGGTATGTTTACTAATTAGACCACGAGCAACAAATGTAATATAAATGCGACGGCAAAATTTTGCCTCTAAAAGGGGGCTGTGACATTAGGGAGACATGAAAATGTCTCCCTAATGACCGATGTCTCCCATCGTGCGAAGAAATTACAATAACTTGTCTCCTTAATGGTACCATTACACATATAATTTATATTGCTGTAATTCCATCACAATTATTATCGCTGTTTATCAGGAATGAGACCATTTTTTTTCTGCAGCAGTTTGATATCAGCGCAATTTGGTCTCTACCTTCACAGGTACCCATTTATACTCCTAGGTGGAGAGAGGCAATTGTAGTTAAGTGTCTTGCCCAAGAGCACAAGCACCATTTTCCCCGTTAGGGTTCGAACCCATGTACCACTGCACACGAGTCGAACACCATTGGACCACAGTGCCCAATTGGACCACAGCGAAATTACAATGTCACTTCACATGAGAGAGCATTTATTTACAAAATATTTTAACAGTACAGGGCCCAATTTCACGGCGCTGCTAAGCACACGATTTTCTGCTAACAGAGCCTCCGTCTATTTCATGGAGACCGTAAGCATAAGCACAGCAAAAGGCACGCTTACTTCAGAGGAAAAATTTTGCTTAACTTAGTGACGTAACAATAGAAATCTCCGTGCACGCGCGACCGTTAGCACGTCCACGCCGTGAAATAGTGCTTAAGGTTAGCAAATTTTTCTGCTATGCTAAACACAACTTTTCTGCTAACTGTTAAGCAGCGCCGTGAAATTGGGCCCAGATCAGAACCTCACAAGTACATTATTGTGGGAATAAGTCAAGTGTTTTCCCCCCAAATTCAGCTTAGGAACTTGATCTTTGAATGTGTTGCAGACACTGATCCAAAAATCTAGACAAAAATTGTAATCTGTATATTTGTTTTTGTGCTGAGAACCAGTGCAGTGCAACCAAATTAACTCACTTTGGGTTAATGAACAGGAAGCTACTCAACCATTCAGTTAGTGTTAATGAGGTTGTGAAATGCTCGAAGACATTTCCGTCATTTTTCGGGTATATGTAGCCTGAGGTGTGATGAAATAAAAATGACTATTGTGTCTGTCATGAAATGAGTACAAAAGGTACTTTTAAGAGCCGTTTTTCAGGTCCTGTTTCGACCCGAACGTGCAATTTGTGTAAAAGTCGTCGTTGGGGGCAGCAAACAAAACATAGTAAATCATGACGTAATAAACATGACTCCCGATGCAGCGTAGTATAAACGAGTCCAAACAGATTTTGGTCCCCAAAAAGTGGGTCCCAAAAATGACGACGTGGGGTTCGGGGCCCGCTTAAGGGCCCAGAAAAATGTTGGATTCTAGATGCTCTGTGGTGCGATCTGAGGCTATTTCTGACCACTTTAACCAAATATATTGGAGGAAAGATGGTGGTGTACACATCACAGTGCCTGTCTTTATTGCGATACCACTAAAAAAAAAAAAAAAAAAAAAAAAAAAAAAAAAAAAAATCGGTTTTGTTTTTGGCCCCCCCCCCATCCGCCCTTGTGGCTGAAAGCTTATCAAACTAAATTTTCAACATCCTAAGTTACTATTAATAACCTTGAAGTCGGCAGCATTGAGTGAAGCGCTGAGCTGCATGGATGTCCGTCTAACCCCACCGGTCAAGTGGGACTGCGAGTACAAGGACAAGAAAATTGGGTTAGTTTGGGGGGAAAAAGCAATCACCATCACCAAGTAGAAACTGTGAAACGAGACGTTTATGAGGTACAACGGCAGATAGGCGATGGGATGTTTCATTTGATGATAAAAGCATGGAATTTGGCACACAGAGTATGTCATGAGAGAGATACTTGGCTATGGGGCCATCGCAGATTTGTCCTTTGAAAAAAATGTAAGTAGAATAACAAGCAATGGCAGCCATTTTTGAAAATTGCTTGTTATTCTACCTTTATTTGTTCAAAGGACAAATCTGCGAGGGCCCTATAGCCAAATATCTTTTTTAAGATATACTGTGTGTGCCAAATGCCATGCTTTTATCATCAAAGAGAACAATCCCCCAAATATTGCCCCTATCTGCCCAAGGGCCAAGTCACAAGAGGCAATATTTTACAGTCAACTTGGAGGGAACTGACCGTATTACAGGCTAAAGGAATCCTCAGATGGAGCAGAATACACGATTTTCCAACAGCTTGAAGAAATTCCCAATCTGATTATAGCAATTATTATAATTTGTCTGTTGCATTTTCAAGGAGATTTCCCAGCACCACTAGCCTGAATACTGCCTCCAGTGACATCATACAGGGAGAGTAAAAAAAAAAGCGGAACCCCAAAACAAAGAAATATTTCACATGAAAAAACTATGTAGCACCAAAATTAATTATGACTTGGAAGCCCATTTATTAAACTTCTTTTAAGTGAGAAAATTATTTCAATTGTTCTACACATTAAAATTGTATCACTATTTAAACGAAGTAACCCTAAAATCAGTTTCGTCCAAAAAAGCAATTTACTGTGTGTTCTGACTGTTTGGAACAACAAAGAAAATGACACAGAATACTTGTTTCAACAACTGTAGTATTATGTTTATTAACAACCCTGGTTAGACAAACAATATGATTTATAAAATCCACTTTTTTGAAAAGACGGGCCTGTAAAAGGACTTTGTTGAATATTTTTAAAACTGAGATTTTATCGCTGGTGATGTTTGAAGACAATTGTAACGACAATTCTTGAAAATCGCATTTTTGGACGAAAGAGATTTTAGGGTCATTTCATTTAAATGGTGATATAATTTGAACGGATTGAGCAACTGACGTAATTTTATCATCTTAAAGTAATTTCTAAAATTGGCTTACCAGTCTTAATTATTTTTGGTGCTACATAGATCTTTAAATATGAAATATTTTTCTATGGGTTTGGGTTCTGCTTTTTTTACTCACCCTGTATGAAACAAGACATCAGTACGATCAAAACGTGAGAAAGGAAACATAACATTTCAGAGGACAAGACAGGGATGTTCTATCAACCACACAAGACACAGTCGAGGTTCTCTGCAATTTTACATATTTTAACCATAAAGCACAACACAACTATTGACAATAGCATGCAGTCAAGACATTTAGGCTTGATCAAAACCACTACTATATTCCTTGACTTTTCACTTAGCAAATTTCTTTTCCACATTTAATAAGATTAATGCATTGTTAGCTGCATGTTGGCTGTGAGCGTTTAAATATGACAAAAACAGGATGAAATTTGGAGGGCATGTTGTGTAGCTGTGTAGCTCCAGCAAAAATTATCACAAATTACTTGCAAAGAAATGTCCCAAACAATTTGTGAAAATCAGGGGCCAATTTCACGGCGCTGCTAAGCACAAAAATTTGCTTAGCACAAAACAAGTCAGGCTTATAAAAGCAGGTTACCAGCCAAAACTCCATGTGATGTATTTTGCTCGTGATTAGTATTCAGCTGTTGTTTGCTTAGCATGAAATTTGCTCGTGATTAGTATTCAGCTGTTGTTTGCTTAGCATGAAAATCACATGGAGTTTTGGCTGGTAACCTGCTTTTATAAGCCAGACTTTTTTGTGCTAAGCAAAGTTTTTTGTGCTTAGCAGCGCCGTGAAATTGGGCCCAGGCCCTCACAAATAATAAATGCAAAGATTTTAATAACACCAATCTGAATTTAGCCCTTTAGAAACACACCTTGCTACACTGAAGACAAACACAGAGAACTAATAAAATGCTGGACGAGTCTACAACCAATAACAATTTAACAGACAAAACTTCACTTTCAAAGATGAAAAGGGATGAGAAGAGATTAAGTTCACAGAAGAACCAGTTAACTCAAGACTTCAAAGTTAGCTGTGGTTATCCTACAGGCACAGACATGGTGATACTGACAAATTTGATAGGTCACTGATGGTGAGCATGCCAAGGTCGCAGTGTTGAAGTTGAGTCCATCAGAAGTCCAGTCACAAGTGAAAGAGAAATCCAGTCACAAGTGATAGGGAAGAAAGGAATTCTTCGGCACAATTAATACAGGGTGTCTAAAAAATAAAAAATAAAAAAACCTCAAAGCGTCCTCCTTTTCAAAGCTTAAAAAAAATACATCGCAAATATCTATACCTATTTAGAATATATTTCAGTAGCTTTCCAACAACAACAAAAAATCTTTCCAATCAGGTAAATATTTATTGAGTTATGGCCAAATGAAAATAAGTACTGATTTTTCAATCTGTCCACGGTCTTCAATTGTCATTTGTTAGGAATGTAATGGATTTGGGGTGAGGGTAGTTTTGTTTTCTTAAATGTTTTAATCTTTCTTTGTTTAGTTTTTGTGCAGCATATTTTTTTGGAAATAATGGTCTTTTATTCTTTTGGAAGTAATGGTAGTCCTGAAAAGAACTGCTTGGTTAACTTCTTAGATGTTTACTGTGCTGCTCTGTCTCTGCCCTCTACTTGGTAGCCTTTTTTTCACAAATGCAACTTTCGGTCCGTGTTCTAACATTGCGGCAGTCAAAATATCAGTCACCGTGGACAAAATGAAAAAGCGGTACTCGTTTTTAATTGGCCATAACTCAATAAATATTTACCTGAATGGGAAAGATTTTTTCGATGTTGAAAAAACTAATGGACTATACTCTCTAAATATGTATAGATATTTGCGATGTGTTGTTTTAAAAGTTGTGAAAAAGAGGACGCTTTGAGGTGTTTTTTTTAATATTTAGACACCCTGTATATCTAGCATGTGATGCTTCGGACTGAAAGACATATGATTTACACGTAAAGACATTTCAGGACATATGCTGGACGCGACTACAACACTGCTAGTTCATCCATCCTTACCCCTTGGCCCAGGCTAATGCCAGAGGGCTCCGTTTGCGATCGGAAGTGCTGACCGCCAAATGAAAGCGGCTGGTGAGTGGACAAAGTTTGTCATGGTTAATGGTTAGCAACGGTCAGTGGTAACGGGAAATGGACAAACACACACATGGAAAAAGGAAACTTGTCAATGTTCAAGGAAAGAGGAAAAGGATATAAAAACGAAAGGGAAAAAAAAAGTACAGTACAGAAAAATGTGGGGAAAGTTTTTTAAAAAGGGGAAACAAAACATTTTAAATTAACAGGAGCACGTTCTAGGAGTAGGAAAGGGAAATGGTAAAATATAAATAGAAAAAAGAAACATGAGAAAAAAAGAAATGGCAAGGCAAAAGAAAAGGAAAACGAAAAGGAAAGTGTCATGGGAAAGAGGGTGGATCAGAAAATAAGGTAAAAGGATTGAGAAGTGCAATAAACAATTCTGTTAATGATTGTCACTTTTCAATTCACAGAACAGAGGATTTGTGTGGGTTTTTGAGAGAAAGAGGAAAACTTCAACTTTATGCTCACACTGATTATAAATAAAAAGGGCAGATATACACACCCAAAGAAAATTAGTTGTTTTTAGCCTCATTTTAATTCTGTTTCAAATAAAAACAGTTAAATAACTGCATTGCCCCCCCCCAAAAAAAAAAAACCCCATTAAATAAAACAAAGTAAACGCAACGAGATTACATCACAAACAAGCAAGAAGTAACCACAGGAAGCAGATTCTCTTACAAATTACATTACAAGTAATAAGTGTTGTTTTCAGAACATGAACACTGCAACTATTGCTTAGACAAGGAGGAAAAGACACATCCCAAAGACAGACCGACAGAGAAACTAAGCACAGACACTGAAATGCAAACAAACAAGACCAACAAACAAGTTTTACACGAAAGAAAACGAAAGTCACTTTTGGGATGAACATGATTAGTTTGTATCAGCAATCTAGTTTGTAGGTATAAATCAGTGTGTGGTGTCACCGGATTTCGGGAAAGATGTGTAACGATGGTTATTGTTGAGGTTAACTTCACCTGTGAAGCGTAGGAGGAGCTAAGCAAACCCGATCCAACCACTGTAGCCACGCTTGCCCGCCGTCTACCGGTCTAGAGGAGACACAACGGCAAGTCGTCAAGAATTCCCAGATTATTCAGTTCATGCAGTGCGTGTGTGGTGCGGACGACGAGCATGCATGTGTTACTGATGATGATATGTATTGTTTAACAGCAATCCAAAATGTTGATGATGATCATGATGCATCATGCAGTGCAGTGAAGAACGGTGACATGGATTGAGGTTGTGAATTATGTTTGACCGTGATGACTAGAGAAAAGTTGGAATGGAACTAGATGGAACAAGATCAGGTCTAAGAGGCCCTGGGATCCAGTCAGTGCCATCTCATGCCGTGCTTTTCTTCCAACCGCGACCAAATGTGTACCCAAATATCCACAACAGGATTTCTCATTGAAGTATGTGAGTATTAACACCACCACTTTTGTCACACTTTGACAAAAAGTAACACAGTGAACGACAATTGAAGTTAATTGAGGTTATTTTTTATAGAATATGTTTCCCAGGCTGCTGTCGTTGAGCTAAATTCCAGTCCATGTGTATGCATGACCTAGCCATAAACGTCCAATAACCTCAAAACACAACACGTCTCAGAGGAAATATCAGGTCTTCAAGTTAATGCCAACCTCCCAACGTTAACCCACAACCTACATGTTATACTATGAGTGCATACCCTCATCATAATAGTAATAATAATAATAATAATTTGGGAGGCTAATCATCCTTACTCGCAGCTGGGATGCTGAATTGCTAAGGACGCGGCTACAACGTGGTCGGGCCGCTGGCACGTAAAGGCGCCTATGGCTGCCGACCACATCGACCCATATATGACCACGGAGCACAGCCTGAGATCGAAAGTGTTTGATTTTTCCGGGGGGAAGGAAAACCGGAGGGCCCGGAGAAAAACCCTCGTGGCACAGGAGAGAACCAACGCACAACTCTACTCACATGTGATCCGCGGCCAGGATTCGAAGCCACCCATGCCACCATGATCATCTTGCTAAAATGTTATTCCTCATAAACCTCCACAGCTATGGGCTCTGTGCCCCAACGAAAGAGGGCGCCCTTTTACCTAGCAACGACGTCCCATGGGTGGGACATTTCGCTGGTTGACGCGCACCGTTCCTTGTGTGTGACGCATGTACACCAGGGGATTTGTACTATGTACACGCAGTGGTACATGGTACGGCCGCGCGTCACGGCAGAATTGCAGTCAGGCAAGATGGTGTCGGCCGGTCACCCCCAACTATGCTTTCTTTGCCAGTGAAGGGGTACTTGTGAACGGAGCGGATAGTTCCGTTGACTTGTACTATTTTAATTTTTATGTTATATTATGTCAAAAATCTGTTGAAATTTTTGTTACCAGGAATCCCACATACACGTAGCTCATTTTGGTGCTAGTCAAACAGGCAACTAAGCAAGTTTCAACAAAAATTTAGTCCTGATTTTGAGTGACTGCAGATTTGCAATTAATTTGTTTTAATCCAGCAAATGAGGAAGATTCAGCGAAAGAAAATCATATGAAACCAAGGCAAAAAGAACACGACAATGTGCGAGGGGATTATCAACCCAAAAGAACTTTTACTCGTTACAAATTAAAAAAGTACAGCAACAGAGGCAGATCAAAATTAGCCAACAGTCAAGATGGTGTATGGGTGCGGAAACAAAAACAAGTTCAAGGCACTGCTGTTGCAGTGAAACGTAAAAAAAAAAAAAAAAGCCAAGAACTTGGGTGCGATTGTGTTTCAATTAGATTAAAGCTAACTGGTGGTTAAAAAATCATATCTTGACCGCCACCGGTTGTGAGGATTTGTCGGTGGAGACTCTCAACGTGTTCATTACCTGATTGGGATCGGGGAAAAACGAGTGTGGTACGCCAAGGCGGGGCGGACTAACACAGCTGACGGAGCGCTTGCGGATTTCAGACTGACGACGATCACAAACAGGCAACAAATGCATCAAAGACAATGGAGGCAAATAATGGATGGCGGGATACATACAGAGTGATATGCAAAAATACTGAAGGGAACACATGACACATGGTTAATATGCACACTGAATACATAGGGGGAGATAGCAAAGCATAAGTAATGGCACAATTCTGAAAGTGACTTTAGAAACCACAAACTCCACACTGTCAACTGTAAAATAACTTGGAGCATTTACACGTCACACTTGCAAAAATAAGAAGGATGGAAACATTTCAAGGCAAAAACACTCAGAAAACATTGTCAAGAATTACAAAATAGGGGTTTACATGAAACACCCTTAATTCAGTTGTTCAGTGCTACTTTCAGGGGTAAGATTGTCAATGTAAAAAAGTCTGAAATTTGGATTAAAGGTCTGAAAGATGCATTTCCTTCTATAATGTCTTTCTCTCAGATTCACAAAATCTGAATTCAAGACAAAAGTCTGAAAAAGCTCATGCCTGTAATTTGGAAGGCTAAAATGTTCTGTAAGTTTGCTTGACATACAAAAGGAATACAAAATAAAATGTGAGCCAGATAAAAAAAAAACACGTAGAGGCAGATAGACTAATCATATCTGCCAAACTGAACTCAAAACCAATTTTTTTGGCGCAAGGGGGAGTGAGGGAGGGATGGAACTTAGGATGGAGTGATTGAATCCAGACAAAGAGGCACATACCTCAATCCATTTAGTAGGGGTATACAACAGGCTGATTATTATAAACTCATTGAATTTAAAGTGGCCGAGATGAAATGTTGACACGGCCACGACTGCAGCCATAATTAAGCCACATGGCCAAAAAAATGTAGCTGCAGTTGGATGATATAGTCACAATGGAGTGGTGTTCACAATGAAGGGGTTACATTGAGCAAAGTGGCAACTATGGACAGGCGGCCACAATTTTTTTGAAAAGTGGCCACAATTTTTTTGAAAAGTGGCCACATTCTAATGGAAAAGTGGCCACATTCTTATAGGAAAATGGCCACATTATTACGGAAAAGTGGCCACAAATTTATGGAAAAGAGGCCACAAATTTATGAAAAAGTGGCCAAAACTTTATGGAAAAGTGGGAGGTTCAATGTTATGGAAAGATGACCACAATTTTGGGGCCACAACTACATGGCAATGTTTAATCAAAATGATGTTATCGATTTTTTTTTTTTTTTCAAAATTAATTTATTATTATTGTTGGTTTTGTTTAGATTTGAGATCTGACCTATGATTCTGGATTGGATCACATGCAACAAGACAGTCCAACTCAAACTACAACACTAACGACCATCACAGGATGTACTGTGTGCATTATGTTCAAGACTCAAGACCTGGTGTCGGATTTGGGTGGTGACCACCGGTTTGCCTTTGGTGGATTCCTGACCCGATGCATTCTTGTTGGGGTTGGTTAGCATTTTGGCCAGCTGGAACAGACTGGTGGGTTTCTGGTTTTCAGAGGGGATGTCCCGTTCGTGAGATGATGGGACATGAAGGGTAGGGTTGGTGGAGGTGGGGGACGGAAGGGGATGTAGGAAAATGAAACAGTCGTGAGATGAACTTATGAAAGTAACTCCGGGATACTCTACAATAGTGAATGAACTGTGAATGGTACATGTATATCAATCATAACAAAGATTCCATTCAAAACATAGGATTGACTGAAATTTGGCGACATATGGATGAACATTTTTCATTCTCACATTTGTGACAATTTCCCAAAATGAAACAGTCGTGAGATGAACTTATGAAAGTAACTCCGGGATACTCTACAATAGTGATGTCAAATGGATGAACCGTGAATGGTACATGTATATCAATCGTAACAAAGATTCCATTCAAAACATAAGATTGACTAAAATTTTGCGACATATGGATGAACACTTTTCATTCTCACATTTGTGACAATTTCCCAACATGAAACAGTCGTGAATTGAAATTATGAAAGTAACTCTGGGATACTCTACAATAGTGATGTCAAATGGTTGAACCGTGAATGGTACATGTATATCAATCATAACAAAGATTCCATTCTAAACATAAGATTGACTGAAATTTTGCGACATATGGATGAACACTTTTCATTCTCACATTTGTGACAATTTCCCAAAATGAAACAGTCGTGAATTGAACTCAAGGAAGGGACTTCGAGATACTCAACAATAACGATATCGAATTGATGAAGTGTGAATGGTATATCAATCATAACACATATTACCTTCCAAAACATGGGATTTACTGAAATTTGGTGACATATGGATGACATTTATATTTGACATTTGTGACAATTTCCCTTTAAAAAAATCTGTCTAGTCTGCACATAGCATGATAAAACATATGGTAAAAGGGCAATGTAATTATATTTTGAGCTGGATTATTAAAGGCATATATATAAGACCATTTGCATTTATCCCAAAAAGTAACCTACCAAATTATTATCAAAAATCTTACTTAGATTAAAGATCGTACTGGTACTAAACACCTCGTGAAATTATTCCGTCTGGCTGCACTCATTTAGAAGAAATCAAGAAAGGTAGATGATTTCCAACGATCAGTCAATTGACTGATTTTTGGAAATAAAAAGTGCTATTGACAAAAATGTGTTTTGCGATCAAAAAGCTTGTGCACGGTATTTCACTGTTTTCTCAAAATGTCATGTAATATCCACTGAGCTGAAACTACAATAGGTTAGGTTTTGAATATTCTTCAGATTTTGAGTGTTGTTATTATTGGAAACGAACACATTGTATGAAAAGCAAATGATTCTATATGCCTTCATAAAGACGGTTTTAGAGAACAAGCATCCAAAGCTGGTGAATTGGCATGCGTAGCTACCTTTATGATTTTAACTGCACACATGGGAATATAGCATTAACACTCTCCCAAAAGCCCCAAAGCAGCCCAATGTTGTTTAGCAGTACAGTTTATTCATGTTCCTGCCATTCAATGACATAATATTAGTATCACATGCTCAGTGCTTTTGTGAGAGCATGCGAGAACAAAAAAATTCACAGGTAGGACTCGAACCAACAACCTTCTGTTTTGACCACCGAGCTTGCAGGGTCATCTGGCTAATGCACGGTGTGGCTGTTAAGCTCAAACTTAAGCATCATCCCAACTATAGTTTGGAAGATCCCAACTATAAATGAGATCGTCCTAACTATAACGTTGGGACTCACCCAACTAATACTTGGGGCAGTTCCAACTATAGTTTGGACATATTAACATGACCACTGCTATCAGTAACAGATGACGGGAACAAAGTCCTCATCATTTCGTCTCACATGTCTTCTTGTCAAAAATTTCCGCTTTTTTTGAAAATTCAGCCGCACTTGCAGAACAGAAGTTCCCATGCTGATAACTGCGCACAGGAAAGTAAACGGATCCTAATATGGACCCCGTGCACGAGTAGATGACACTGTGTGACCACTTACGGGAACCTTAAGCCGTGTCCAAATCACTTAGCCACGGCTTGAAATCACACATGAGTGTATGGTAGCGGCTGCAGCCACTGCTCATAGACTCGTGTGTAATTTTGAGCCGTAGCCAAGTCATTCGGACATGGCCTTAGTGGCAGGGGCACACCACTTGCACCTACTGGTTTGCATGAGTATGGCTAAGTACATAGGGACTGATTTAATCCAAATGTACACGACTGTCTTCACGTGAGCGCCAAGCGTGTGGCAGCATTGCTTTCAAGAGTCCCTCCCATAGACCATTACCATGTTGCGGCTGTCTTGATTTTTCCCATTCAAATTAATGTAACCAAAGTGAGGCTGGAAGAAAAAATAGTCTGGTTCCTTTTTGCATAAAAAAAAATCAATCGGTACTGTTACTGGATACAGGGAACATGACTGAAATGGCGGCAGCATGATCAAGGTCTATCGAGTGGTCTCCCCAACTACCATATCTCTTTGTAATCTTTGAGTTGGTACCCGTGCACGGAGCCCATACAGACTGCATGCCATGCGCTGTTGATAACCAACATCTGCAACGTTCTTGCACTGTGAGTTGTGCACAATTTAACACACACATGAACAAGGGCGTCAATCGCTTCTCAAAAGTGGGGGGGGGGGGACATGCCTTGATGAGCACTAATGCAAAAATTTGTTTGATCCTAGACGTTCTGTGGTGCAATCTGAGGCAAATTCTGACCACTAAAACCAATTTTTTTTTTAGCAGCAGATCATCTTTTAAACATCTTTTTCGAGTTCTGGAGTCATTAAATCAGCTATTCTGAGCTAAGTAGGCTACAATTTTTATTCGGGGATGAAAAAAGTGGGGGGGGGGGCCAAACGATATGATATCCCCCCCCCCCCCAACTTCAAAAAGTGGGAAAGACTTCCCCCCCCACCAATTGACGCCCATGGGCATGAATGAAAATCAAAAGTGCAATGAAAGAAGAGACTCTGTGCTCTCATTTAAAGACCTACCTTTGAGCTTCCGCCAGATACTGACAATGCCCTCCGACTTAGTAGCTTGGAATCTGTCTCCCCTGTAGGGGAAAGCAATGCAGAAAGAGGGAATCAAGACCAACAAAGGCTAGCAAACATCCAGGATGCAAAACGCTCACTCTGGAAAGCCCTATTAGTTGAATTTCTCAAAATGCAATTCAAATCGTGTTACGTTTGTTATTGCGTTGAGGGACTGTTAGTTCACCATTTCCACTGCATGCTGAAATGTTAGTGATAAGGCTTTTTACAGTGACTGTAAATGAAAATGAAAAACAAGTTTTTTAAAAACTTATTGAGGATGGAGGAATGTTGAAACCATCACCATTTACAAACTCTATAACTGCAAATGAAGTGTTTGTGCTAAAATGGGTTTTCAACCACGAGTTCTTTTCCAGATAAAAATGAAACTAAACAACTTATAATAGCAAGTTTGTTAAGGCTATGCAGAAAGAGGAACTTTTTCTCTTATGAGTAGGGTATTAGTTGCCTTAAATTAGATAGAAAGTTCTAAAACAGCAAAACAATGATGATAGCTGCCAATGTACTGGCTCATTGTCTCCAACAGATATATCATTGTCATTACCAACAGACATATCGGTAATGAACAGTTAAGATAAGAATCACAACTAAAATTGTGTATCTAAGGGCATTTGTTATATATTTAGAAAGTTTCTATACAGCTAAGAAAAAGAATAAAATGAAGTAAAACTCAAATTATGCTTAGGCCAAACAAATGTTGTGTTTCCGGTAATATCCCCCCCCCCCCAAAAAAAGAACGGTCAGGTACCGGTAGGGTATTTATATTTATTTATTTTTACATTTTTAAAAATTTTGTGTACACATTGGAGTATGTGAAATCAACTGGACAAGTAGATATAGTTGAAAGAACGTATTTAAAAGTATTTCAGACTTGTATTTTGGGTAGTATATCGCTACCAAAAACATTTTCATGAAATTGGAAAAAATAATCAACAAAAACATTAAAAAAAGTACAAATCAACATTAAAAAAAAAAAAAATGAAAATGAAAAATGAAAAGAAAAAAAATTAAAAACTGCCGACCCTATGCACATCCAAATTGTTAGGGTTGGTCAGATTACCGGAAACACAGAATTTTTCATAAAACCACAAAGTAACATCAAAAACATTTGAAACGAGCACAGAAGAACACAACAAAATTAAATGCAGGACAAGGACGTTTAGATTAGTATTGGAATGGGTGCAAGTTGTACCGAGAGTGCCAAAGCCATTCCATTAGCAAAGCGATAAAGAAATTAGATGTCTTCCCTTTCACCAAACAAACTTGAAGAGAGTTTGGAGGAAACATGCAGAAGATAAGAAACTTGAGCAGACAAAATGCAACAGGGGGGTTCTCAACATGATTCACTTTGACACATTTATGTATCAATGTCGACATAAAGTTAGCAGGCATATCTTTCTAATAATTGCATGTAAGTGGCAACTTTCTTGTGACATTCGGGATTTGTGAATGCTTTTTGCCTGCCACTACCTGGTAGCCAACAACAGAGGGCGCTCAACATTGCTTCTAAACCCATTAGTCCCTGTATCGCCTTCAAAACAGCCTGTTACTAAGCACCCCGAAAACGCCCCAGAAAATCTATGGGGTCATTCCATGCCAACTCAACAAATGTTGCACACCATCACCTCTTGGATTTTTTTCTTTTTTGGTGTACTGAAAGATACTTAGGAGAAATGCAAATTCTGAAAATTTGGGGTCTCTACGAGTTTTTGTTCTTGCGCAACAGCATTTTTAAATTTGAGGTGGGCGGGGCCAAAAGTGCGTCGCGTCACGAAATTCAATGTTTAAAGGGCCATATATTTAAAACTATACCCCCCAGACATTTCAAACTTGGTAATCTGGGCTATTTTTTGCTGTAGATTTCAAATATTTAAACAGAAAGAAAGTAGCTTGTTTTATTTTTAAGTTAGAGGGGCCCCAAAATGGCCCAAAACCCATCTGGACCATTGTTTGGGGGGGTGTAAGTCAAAAATTGAAAATATTTTTTTCACCAATTTTTTTGCCTGTAATAGCCCCCAATTGAAACTACTTTCATGTAAAATCTTACACTTATATTAACTTCATTGAATGAGATATAGCCCTTGCAAAAAGCAAATTTCTTATTTTTACGATAACTTGACCCCCCCAAAAACCAACGTCAGACATTCCGCACCAAATTTTGCTTCACATATGTTTGAGGTTGGTCCTTAGTGAAGTCCTCTGAAAAGTTTCATGTTGGTGTCTAAATGTCTTCAGTGGATAGCTGGGCTTTATAAAGAGTCTATATCTTACGATGCTGCAGGTTCCGTAATTTTACGGAACCAGCACAACAAAATCCCTGTTGATAGACTGTTGATAGACTTGGGTCAAGACTACCCATTTCCTGCTCAATAAACAGTTGCTTGTAGACCTATGTGTGCATTATAGGCAAATTAGGTTAAAGGTAGAGTCCATCATTTGTAATTTGTGCATTTTGTTCGTTTGAAGCAACAAAAGAGTTCAAAATCTAATGAAGGATACTGAGCAACTAACCTGATGAAGTTTCAGCTAAGCTTCAGCTGTACATTCCGAGAAAAACAGCATTCTAAGATCTCAATTTCAAATCAAAAGTTGCTGAATCATGTTTTGAATTGTTTTGAATTGCAACTATTACGCGACATCGCGCACTGATCCGACGAATTATAACAACCGCGCGCGCGTGTGCGTCGTTCGAATACTTGTGCGCGCTTCGCTGAATAACAAAACGAACTACTAATTTAAATTTTCCTACGGTGCTTCTTAAGAATCACCGTTGGAAATGCCTTCTTTCGTTGATTACTTCAAAATGACAGCTTCCCAGAAAGAATAATTTCACAGGGAGTTTAGTCTCCTTACTATCTTTCAACCAAGTTAGTTTTTCAACAATAATTACGCCAGTTACTTTTCGGATGGCTGCAAATGATGGACTCTACCTTTAAATGACTTGAGAGTCTTATTCTTTCCATGTGCTCATCACACAGCATGCATGTCATGTACATGTATACATTAACCAGTTCTCACTTGCACAGCATAGTATAGCACTAACCTGAACCAAAGAGAAGTGATTCAGTTTGAGTAAAGGGTCTATGGTTTTAACCTGATTGATCTTAGTTTTCATTATGGATAAGGGGAACCTAGTTCATGCAGGAAACTCATCATGCACCAATTGTAGCAGCTGACCTCAACCCAGGAAAATATGTTTGTGTGGTCTATGATGATGTTTGGTACATTGCTATTGTAGAAGATGTATCACAACTTCATGAGGATGTGTATGTCCGCTTCATGTACAGGACGGAATCAACAAATACTCTCTATTGGCCACAAAGAGAGGATAAATGTAACATTCCATTTGTTGATGTGTTGTGTTGCGTACCAACACCAGAACTTCTACATAGCGGTGGAAGGCAATACAAACTTAGTGAGCCAACCATCATGCAACTCATTCAACTTCATCAAAACTACATCACAAGGAATGCATAATTTCACCTGTGAAACTGTAAACAATTATATCAACTGATCAAAAGTCTACATGTACATGTACAAATGTAAGCTAAGTTTCATACCCAACTTATTCTTTATGTACCGACTGCTGTTATTCTTGGTACATTGTACAATGTACATGATGTACGTGTACTTAGTTGTATGTTACGGAACCAGCATCGTAAGATATAGACTCATTATAAAGCCCAGCTATCCACTGAAGACATTTAGACACCAACATGAAACTTTTCAGAGGACTTCACTAAGGACCAACCTCAAACATATGTGAAGCAAAATTTGGGGCGGAATGTCTGACTTTGGTTTTTGGGGGGGTCAAGTTATCGTAAAAATAAACAATTTGCTTTTTGCAAGGGCTATATCTCATTCAATGAAGTTAATATAAGTGTAAGATTTTACATGAAAGTAGTTTCACTTGGGGGCTATTACAGGCCAAAAAATTGGTGAAAAAAATATTTTAAATTTTTGACTTACACCCCCCCGAACATTGGTCCAGATGAGTTTTGGGCCATTTTGGGGCCCCTTTAACTTAAAAATGAAACAAGCTACTTTCTTTCTGTTAAAATATTTGAAATCTACAGCAAAAAATAGCCCAGATTACCAAGTTTGAAATGTCTGGGGGGTATAGTTTTAAATATATGGCCCTTTAAACATTGAATTTCGTGACGCGACGCACTTTTGGCCCCGCCCACCTCAAATTTCAAAATGCTGTTGCGCAAGAACGAAAAGTCGTAGAGACCCCAAATTTTCAGAATTTGCATTTCTCCTAAGTATCTTTCAGTACACCAAAAAAGAAAAAAATCCAAGAGGTGATGGTGTGCAACATTTGTTGAGTTGGCATGGAATGACCCTATGGTGTTATGGATTGATCAAGGAGTAACTATAATGATATAATAATTATAATGTATTGATTTACATTGCGCCCATTCCATTCAATGTATACAAGCGCATAACAAGTGCAATGTAATAGAACGTAGTACAGGCACTGCTGAGTTCATGCATCATCTTTACTGACTTATGGACGAGACCGTCAATTTAACTTTTTCAGTGCCAAAGTCGTACATGTACATGTATGAGGGGGCGCTCTCGCTCTTTCTAATAATATCATTTTCATTTAGGTACGACCTGTATTTATTTGTTTCATTCGAGTTATTGCGAGAGGGCGCAGCACTGACACTCATAGTTTTCTGCAAAAAGTGTGGAATTCCCCTGTGTGCAGGACAGTGTTTTAGGGTGTATCACTATGTACGTGACAACTATTGACTTTCCAATATACCAAGAATATACCAAGAATATACCAGAGAGCAACAACAACAAATTGAGTGAGTAAAACTTATTTACTTTTTTTTTACAGAATTTTAAACAATTAATAAAAAACGCTCAAAGTTGGGCACTTCAGGGTTAAACTTTTCAAATTTCGCGGGCACTGAAAGAGTTAAAGGTAAAAAAAAATTGGAAGAAATGTCTGAAAACTACATTTCTATACAAATAATGTCTTTCAGATACAAAAGGTCTGATTTCAGACCTAAGTCTGAAGAATCCTACAGTAACAGCTTTTTTTGTGTTAGTGAACCATGTTGGGAAACCATCCTCCACAGCAAGTCATTTAGACTGGTCACAATATCAACTCACCACGGTAGGCAAAAACCAGACAAGCAGGGAACGTAAACAACACCACGGGTAAACAGAGGGGTGGAGAACAAAAGGCTAAAGTTAGATTTCCATTTTCAAAAATTGTCATATAAGAAAAAGACAGAATGAAATTCAGAGCCAAATCTAGGATGCTCCACTTTCGCGTAGCAGTTGTAAGACACCAAAGAATTATTCCAGATATGACAAGACAGACAACAATCAATTTCCCAGAATTTGCTTAACATCTTGTGGGCAAAACTCAGTATTAAAAATATGTACCTAACAAATTACCTTGCAAAAAGCCCACTGTACAAAATTGTGACCATTTCCTGAAACCAGAATTTAATGTGCATTTTTTTTATTACGGCATGCAAGAATTAGAATATGAAATTACAAATTCTTACCGTCTATGGAGAGATTATTTGTTATGCTGTTGCCTCGGAACCACTTGCGATTTTCTTGAAGAAGTTTTCTAAAAGTGGGATTCAAAAATATCAGCAAGGTTAGTTCGTGAGCCTGGCCTTGACTTGGCCGAATGGGCATATTTCAAATTATAGAGACCAGACAAACTTTCTACAATGTATGCCGCTCACAATGCATTGTGGTTTTCTGCTTCGAGATGCTATCCTATAGGCTTTAAATTGACACTGAGATGCAAATCTCACGTCGTAACTGAAGTCCAGCCCGAGAGAGTTTGCCAAAAAAAAAAGTTGGCACTGCTTACCATTGAATCCAGTGTTTGTGATAGCCTTGTGTTGTCACAGAAATTCTGGGCTGATCTTAGTTATGGGACGTATGCATGATCACAAGCCAAAACACATTACTTACCCATGAAATATGCTCACCATTAGCACTGAATTTTCTGCTCTAATAAGCAAGGATTCCTCACTTACATTTAGAAGATCAATGAAATTGGCAATACTTTCATTCAATAACATGGACGACATCACAACCGACAATTGTAACACCTCCCTCTATATAGACTACTATGGCATTTTCCGCGGTGGCGCCAGGCTTGCGCGAGTCGCACCGGTAATACGCATGCACTCTGAGCTCCTCCAACCAATAGGGTCACCAAAATGCATGCGCGACTGTCTTCAACGCGTTCGGCATGTGCGCAGCCGTGGCACCACCTCAACAATGAATTTTTGTTCGGCGAATTACACCATACCTTGCATCTTCTAGTTCTGCATGCTCCCGTTCAAACAGACGTTTCAGGTTCTCCACGTGGGTGATCATCACGTCGGTTGCCTTGCTTAGCCTTCCCTCCTAGAATAGATGAGGAACAAAAAGAGGTGACGGTTATTAAAATTACACAATAACAATTACACGTAAACAATCATTCATCAATAACTAAGACTGTTTAGCCATTCCCATTGGTCGAGAACACGTCACGTGGGTGGTTTTAAATGGATGATAAAGACATGGCTTGTCTTTAAACCTTTTTCCAGTGTCATATGAAATTTGGACTCCTATGAAATCCAGTGCCTTTCATCGTTTTATTGGTTGAACGTTCACAATCCTCACGTACATGTTGGCATGCGCAATGCTACCAGTGAGTCAGTATTTCATAGTCCTAAATTCACAACGCACTCGCCACACCCGACTCCAACCAGTCTTAAAGCTATAGTCCATCATTTGCAGCTATCCAAAAAGTAACTGACGTAATTATTGTTGAAAAACATACTTGGTTGAAAGATAGTAAGGGAACTAAACTACCTGTGCATTTATTCTTACTGGCAAGCTGTCATTTTGAAGAAATCAACGAAAGAAGGCCTTTCCAACGGTGTGTCTTAAGACGCACCGTTGGAAATTTCCGTCAGTAGTTCATTTTTTTATTCGACAAAGTGCGCGCAAGCTTTGGCACGACGCTATAATTCGTCGGAGCGGTGCGCGACATCGCGTAGCTGCAATCGGCTCAGTGAGAACGTGTCTCGGACGCTGAATTCAAGCCCAATTTAAAACATGATTCAGCAACTTTTGATTTGAAATCGAGATCCTAGAATGCTGTTTTTCTCGGAATATACAGCTGAAGCTGAGCTGAAACTTCATCAGGTTAGTTGTTCAGCACCCTTCTTTAGATTTTGAGCACTTTTGTTACATCAAACGAACAAAATGCAGAAATTACAATTGATAGACTATACCTTTAAACATAGTATTTAACTCCTCCCAAGCACACATTTATTCCCTGAATAAAATCTGGAATGCCATACCTGTTGGACAGCTCCGAATCCCTCTGCCTTGCTGGACAGTCTCAGCGAGGAGGATTGCAAGACTTCCACGTGCTGCTTGATTCTGTTGATGCAGTCCCTAGACACTGTGTCAGCGCCGGCAAGAGGCTCCAACAACTGTAAGAAACATCATCCGAACAGGGGATTAACAGACATATGTTCTCTAAAGGTGACCAAAGTAGTAGTCATAGAAATTATTTTGTTGGCATCTTTTTAAAAATGTTATTCTCATATTTTCCAAAATGGATTGAAAGAAAAATCAGCCCAGTATTCAATTAATCATAAGTGTATCGCAAAAAGAAGAGATTAATTGATACCTTGGAAATGACCAAAACGTCATTTTGACCGAAATCCAGGGGCGTGTTTTAGCGACCGTGACCAGAAACATATTTCCACTTTGGTCATTGGTCGGGTGTTTTCGTGTCTTCGGTAATGGCTGTGTGACGTCATTATTTCGACCGAAGGTTGAAGTTGGTTATTACAGGTTCAAAATTGCGGAAAATACTCAACCGTAAGCAGATGGTATTTTTGTCGTCCCAAACGTCCCAAAGTGTTATTGCATGCAGCGAACCAAAAAGGTTACTTTCTTCTAGAATGTGACAAGAGGGCAGCAGTGGTGAAAACATACCGAATGTTGGCCTGTAAAGTGAGTGAAAATGATGTTTGTCGTTTGTCAACGATATCGTCTGCTACTTCAAATAATACTTTGGTATTATGCGCGCGCATGCAGTAAATGACGGTTTCTGGTTCTGGTCACGGTCGCGAAAACACGCCCCTGTTCAACAGGAACCCACCTGCAAGGTTTGCTGTAATCCCTCGATCTCTCCCTCAATGTTCTTCTCGGCTAGGTCTCTCTGCCGGTGCTGCAGTTTCTGCCGTTGATCCAGCGTGTACTGGTTGGCCTTGAAGGCTAGCTGAAGCGAGTTGAACTTCTCCTCAATTTCATTCTCCGTCATGGCAATGGTACTAAGACAAAGCAACAAAAACCAAAGTAACCAAAGAGCTTGGCTAAAAAAAAAATAAGTGAAATAGTTGAAGTAATCTCAATTTTTTTATGAATGTAGGATTAATGTTCATAGCTTAACTCGTGTATTTGTTTTGTTATCACAAATACTCCCTCAACAGTTGCAACGGGATTGTTTGCAGAGACCACTGGGAGGGACACTCGAACACATTTTATGTTTCCTCAAGTTCTAGCTCAGTGACTAGTAAACATTTTGAAGAAAAAGAAAAAAGAGAAACATATGTGTTGCTTTTTGGGTCTCGTAACTGGATTCCGTTGCTAACGCACATACCGGTATAAAAAAGTGTGCCAGCGGGCACACTTTTTAAAACCAGCTTCAATTGTTATTTTCTTTTGATCACAACCATTTCACGGTGAAATAATTTATAGGATATTTGGTACTCGCCTTATCTTCACTTTGAGCAAAGTTTACTCATTAAATCAGCAGGTAACTTTCCAGGTAATTACCAATAATCCACGTGCCTTTAAACATTGAATGACCAGAATGCATCACAAACACATGAAATCAGGAGAAACTAGGGCTGTTTATCGGAAACGGGTACCCGAGTACCCGACCGTTGATGTCAGGAACCGGTTCCAGATTATGGGATCAATAAGTAACAAATCACTAAGTATTAAACTTCTCAGACAATGACAAAGAAACACTTTGCATGTCATTTGTTGGGAAGTTTCAAAATGAAAACCAGGCAACATGGGCAAACAAAACATATTTCCCGTTACGACGCTTGCGAAAGTTGCAGTTTACGTTGTAAAGCTATGCTCACTGTACACACTTGTATCTTGCTGTATTGACGCACTGATGTGGTAGTATTATCATGTGCACCTTTCTGGACAATCTGTATAGTAACTTCCAAGATTTCAATTTTGGGGTTGGGTTTCTTTAACAGGTACCCGGGTACCCATATTTTTTTCAATAGGGTACCCGGTTCCCGTACAACCCGTAAATGCACACCCCTAGGAGAAATACATGTAGTTCAGCTGTACAAGAGTCAATGTGATTTCTCATGGAATGAATACGAGCATTACTGCGAAACAACGGACTACGCAAAACATGCACTGAAAATGTGCTGCACAAATGAGAACACAAAGTGGTCAAACATATCTGAATCTAAAAAAAATACTTGTGATATTGTTAAAATGAAGTGGCAAATTAAAAGGAAAATATTAAACAGATGTACTTGAGTACATGTAGCATGCAATTTGTGCAGCTACTGTAAGTCAAATGACAAGTATAATTTATTTCCAGAAAAACATCTGTTGGACACACTTTTGTTCTTTGGCAGTCCAAAGCTTGTTATCGCAATTATCAAAGGATGGAATGACTAAACGCCCAATGAGCAATAAATACAGTCTGCAAGCTGACAATGGAAAAGCCCCTAACCAGGTGTACCGTTCACACGAGAAACAATTTGTTGAAACGCATCAAGTATTTTGATTACAGTTTTTGTGGCTTACACTTAAATATATATGGCATGTAGATGCATTATTCATCTTCTGGTGATTCACCTCAAAGTTTAGAAATAAATGTATGTTTCATCAATCAATCTTACATTATCTGGGTAACACATAGAAAATAAATAAGGGAATAAATAGGCGCTTGGCCAGTTTTAAACAAGTACATTTAAAACCGGCTTGGGGTCTGGACGCTGATAATGGCCCGAGCTAAAGGCGAGGGACATTATCGACGACCAGGTCCCAAGCCGGTTTTAAACGTTCTTGTTTAATACTGGCCAAGCACATACTTATTCCCATTCATAAATACCTTTGGGTCAAAAAGTCAAAAAAGTCAAAAATTATAAATTTCCAACGATTTCGTTCAACAACTTCACGTTCAACTACTTCACGTTTTTTTTTTAAACACCCCTCTAGCTATGTTTTTGGTGTTGTGCCTCTCGCGAGTAGTACTAAAAACCTCCTGTGGAGATTGGCGTGGGCATTGGCGTGCGCAATTGGCATCACGTACTATGCGAAGTGGTGCAGAACGCGGTGGTGCCGGTGTAGTGTGAATTTAGGACTCTATGAAATTTGGACTCATTGGTAGAAATGGTCACGATGCTTGCTGGAACTCGTCGTCATAAAATCTGGTAGGCCTAAATTCATCTTCATCTTTTGTAGTATTGCGCATGCCCAAGTGAAGATTGTGAGAATCCAAATTTCATGTGACACCAGAATAGTGTTTAGAACCAGCCAGTTGGTGTTTTATCAACCGTTTAAAACCACCCACGTGACGGGTTCTTGACCAATAGGAATGGGTAAACTGTCTTAGGTATTTATGAATATGGAATTAAGCTTGTTCTTGTGGGGCTCAATGCGTTACTTCTGTGATTGAACACTCTGAAAAAAAAATGTTGGAGGAATTTAGTGCCAACAACTTTGCTAAGTTTCTTAACTCTTTGCTTTAGCATGGAATTGATAACCTAATTAGCAACAATTAAAACAATACACTAATGATGCCTCAAATGAGCAGGGTAATAATGATGAAGCGCTTTGAAAGCGCTATTTCAGGACCACATATTATTATTATCATCACATGCAATGCATTGAATGTAAATTGGGCACTTTGGAAATACAAAAATCACAAGGAAGTAAACAATATGTCAATAAATTCTCTACTCACTCTTTTGAGTTGCCCACTTTAAGCCCCAGCTTGTAGAGAATCGAATCTGGAAGCAGGGATTTCTCCTCTTCCGATGACTTTGATTTTTCTGGTTCCTTCTCCCCCTCTTCTTCAACGACAGTGGTAGAGTCCTGCACTGAGTTGTACTGGATCTCTGGACCTGGTGACCCTGGTACGGGGGTGGGATGTGACGACAACAGCGTGGTTACGGTAGGCGGGACGGGAGTGGCAGAGAGGGAGGGGTTTTCCCGACCATGGTCCACCTCTGTGGCTTCGGTCAGCTCGGGCATTGTGAACTGGAAGTTAGTTTTTCTGTGTTGTTTGTGCTCCTGTGGGAGAAAAAGGGGAGGCAAAGAACAGTTAGAAGCATGGTGACCCTTTTAGCCGATTTCGGCAAACTTTGACAGAGTTTTTGTTAAAAAAAACGAGTTTGACAGAAAATTTGACACAATGGATTTTTTGGGACAGATTTCTGGCAGAATTCTGCAAAAATGGTTATTTGACAGAAAAACATGGCAAATTTGAAAAAAATGGTACATTTGTTTACATTTTTTAAAAATCTTTTGCATAATGCCAATGGGACAGGTTGGGTGCTGAGGTTCACTGGGAACCGAAATTCGTCGTGACGCAACCGCGTTTTGCCTGAAATGTACGCAATTTTATAACATCTTTATGTGACTATAGATTGTTTGTAATGTAATTTGAACCTTAATTAAGGCAATACTACAACATCTGCATGCGATTTTAAGTGTTTATTGTGTATTTTGAGTAATTCTGGGGAATTTGGCAGATTTTTGATAAATCTGACAGATTTTTGAAGTGCATTTAGCAGAATTGGGCCATGGCCTTACGGTCACCCTGGTTAGAAGATATTGGACAGGACCAGAACAGAATCAAAACAAAATTAAATAAAAGACAATCTAAAATACATCTACAATAAACGAAGCACCTTTAGTGTGGTTATATATCCTGGGGGACAAAAATTGGGAAAGATTAGGGCACAATAACAAAACTCAATGGGAGTTAAATAAACCGCGAACAACTTTTCAAAACCTTTACTTCAGTTTACAAAAAGGCCTTTTTGAACATGTTACCAACACAAAAATATAGAAAAACTACAACACTTTTTAAAATTCTTACCAACGTACATCAGACGCAACTGACACCAAAAATATTTACAATTCCTTTCAATCATGTTCACACAGCAGGGAAATGTCATAGCCAGCTTGTCCCACCAAAATCTACCATTTCCAATCAATTCCCTACAACTTACCTCGCTCTCCTCCTGGCCGTTCTCAACATTCTCATTTTGACAGTCGTCGCTGTTTGGTACACAGAGTCTGATCGTTGTCTGGCCGTCCAACGGCGGCCCATTGCGGAGTATTACAGGCATAGTTCAGTGTACACACCGCATGCCTGTCCCATTTCTGCTAGTACGTGCAGAGCCAATAACCCATGATCAAGATCAAGATCACAGATTTTTGGGGTGTTTTTTTTTTTTTACCCGAGGTCAAATTGTAATCAACTGCAAGTGGAACCGTTAGTCATTACACAAACAGGCTGTCCAGACTCTCCAACCAGCTGAATCAATGTTGGCCCGGAACAACCGGCCAACAGCCCGAGACAGAAATGCCCATTTCAGGAACCCTCTTTGTGACAAAAAGCTCCAAGAGGCGAAGGAATTTTGAAAGCCCGACGTTCACCTGCTCACATCCGCTGGTTCGATGGTGTACTTACAATCAACATGCCAGCGCCAGAGCGGAGGTTGTACTGGCGTGTACAGGGCTACCGAGCTTCGCTCTGTTACATCTCAACATGTTGGACCTTTTCCTGGCGTATTTGTTGACTCAGTTTGAGTGAGCTGGCCACTTACCTGCTGTTGTTTGCTTGATGATAACACGTCCGATAACCCAGCTTTGGTGGAATTTGTAATTACTGCCTCAATGAATTTTCATCATTTACTTTTTTTTTAATTGTGATTTTTTTCGACCCAATTTATAGAATTATGCTTAAATAGAAATTTTTTATATTGCCAATTGTTTCAGTATTTTCAAAAGGAAGTCTGCAATCTGCACAAAAGGTAGTTCAACAAGCAAAATTATTTGCTACAACCTAAAATGCGTCAAAGTTTCCATAAAACTTTTGGTTTCAGAGAGGAAAACACCATAGAACAGAACAGAAGGTACAAAGCACAAGCAAAACTGAATGCAAAACGGGAAACAAAACAAATCCCATCTGGATGTACTACTGTTACATTCACAAATCATTACAGAAATTATTAATTCAAAACATATCACTGAAGATCTGTTCCAACCCAAAAGCATTATTCCATTCACAAACCACCCATCCCCTCTGCAGTCAACTTGAAGCAACATTCTCTTTTCAAAGGAATGTACATATGCATGTATTCTGTGATTTTCAAAACAGGTTAATGAGGTAGACAAACCTACTGAAGGGGCATATGGTTTCAAACTAAGTTGTTTGTTATACATGTATTTTTTTTTGGGGGGGGGAGTATTGTGGGGGTTTTTGGGGTGGGTCTGGGATTTTGTTTGGGATTTTTATCATTTTTTGAGGGGGTAGGGTGTTTTGCAGGCATATGTGACCCACAGGGGAAAATAGGAAAAAAGTGTCCTGTAGAGCCCCAAAAGTGTTTATACAGCCTGTCTAAAAAAAATGGTACAATCAGAAAAAAAATTGGTTAAATACGAAATTTCAAAATAAGTCATTCTTACTTGGCATAATATTAAAGAACAAAGACTGGGCTATCCAATAGTGTTTGTTTGATCTTATTTGCTTTTGTCAATTCAGAGATATAATCAATTTAGTGCGATACACCAAAATCGATTTTGTGCCACTTTTATGCATGGGCACAGTTGTTTCGAGTACTGTGCCATGCTGTCTTGAAGCTCACAAAAGATTGCAACTTGGCAAAAGAAACAAACTCAATTTTTGTGTTCCGCAGTAAACTGGAGTTATCTCTGGATTGTCAAAAGCAAATGAGATGAAACAAAAAATATTGGAAAGCCTCGTCTTTTTTCTTTAATGTGATGCTCAAAATGACTTATTTATGTTGAGATTTAATATTGAAAAAAAAAATCGTTTTCGATTGTACCATTTTTTTTTAGACAGGCTTATTACAGAATGCTGATATGGAGGAAATAATAGGAAATGAAAGGGGAAAAAATTTGAAATCCTACTAATATAGGAAAGCTACACCAGTCCTGATTTTTTGTTTTTGTTTTTGTTTTTGTTTTTTGGGGGGAGTGATACATTGATTTGTCTGGTTTTGTACTTTTTAGGGGAGAGTGGTTAAGGAAATGGTGTCCTGGGTTTTGTTGAGGGGGACGTGTACACATTACAGCTGAATTTAGTACAAGAGACACGCATACCAGTAAAACAGTCAGGGAAAAGTCCCACGTGTGTTTGGTGCACAGTTGACCAACAACAGAATCTTACGGTGTATATGTACATTTACATTATGTATGTGCCAGTGGACGGGTTTTTAACAAGTTCTATTTATAAGTAAACTTTTACTTAAGTGTATCTTAAATTTTACTTGAATTCCTTCTTCCTTTTTTTTTTGAAAAAAAAATAAGTTTTTGATTTGCTGTACCACTTTGGTAGTTGTCTTCGGACCCCAGTCTAGATACAAAAAAAATCATGTTTAATGGAAGGAAAATCCCATGAAATGCGGTCCCCGAACCAACACAAACACACCCTTCACATCTTTAATTTCTGCCGTTGCAAAATCATGCAGTTGTTTCTTTATACAATCATATTTCCCCCCTAGAAACTAATTTTAAAAATGCAGCTGTCACAATCCCCACAGTATGTAGCCCGGGAAGGGACAGGGTGGAATTTTTTTTTGTAATTTGCTAATTCGTTCCCACGAATTACTAATTCGTTCGCACGAATTGCTAACTCGTTCGCACGAATTGCTATTTCATTCGCACGAATTGCTATTTCGTTCGCACGAATTGCTATTTCGTTCGCACGAATTGCTATTTCGTTCGCACGAATTGCTATTTCGTTCGCACGAATTGCTATTTCGTTCGCACGAATTGCTATTTCGTTCGCACGAATTGCTATTTCGTTCGCACGAATTGCTATTTTGTAGGCACGAATTGCTATTTCGTTCGCGCGAATTGTTAATTCGTTCCCACGAATTGCTATTTCGTTCGCACGATTTCCTAATTCGTGGGAACGAATTGCTAACTCGTGCATCCGGGAACGCGTTACTAATTCGTGGGAACGAATTAGCAATTCGTGGGAACGAATTAGCAATTCGTGGGAACGAAATAGCAATTCGTGCGAATGAAATAGCAATTCGTGCGAACGAAATAGCAATTCGTGCGAACGAGTTAGCAATTTGTGCGCACGAATTAGCAATTCGTGCGAACGAATTAGTAATTCATGGGAACGAATTAACAATTCGTGCGAACGAAATAGCAATTCGTGCCTACGAAATAGCAATTCGTGCGAACGAATTAGCAATTCGTGCGAACGAATTAGCAAATTACAAAAAAAAAAATTCCACCCTGTCCTTCCCGGGCTTCATACCACAGATCACATTTCGTTTCTTTATATAAATTCTGGAGTGTCAACACACAGTGGAATTATAAACACACAAAAAATAATTAACGTCTGTCACGACTATAACGGGCAATTTGGTTTTTTTCCTCACTTGATCAATGTTGCTGGTACTATGGGGTATCTTTTGAAATAACTTACACAATTGACTCCATATTGTCAGTGCATGTGGGCAATGCATTTCTCTGCATCTGTAGCTTTTCAACAGCCTTATCAATAAATCATTGGGCACAATACAGGAAGGTTTAAAACACTGTTGAAAAATATTGTTGAAAAAAAGTGTTGGAAATCTGTGCATGTTTTATTTGTTCTGACTTTTGGACTGAAAGGTATTTATGAATGGGAATAAATATGTGCATTTCGGCTCAGGCCTTCATCCGCATCCAGGCTCTTAGCTAGTTTCAAACGTACTTATTTTAAAACCGGCCAAGATTGGCCAAGCACATATTTATTTTCAGCCAACCTGTTTGACAATTAAATGTGCATAACTAGGACTAGTGGTGAATTAAATTTAGCGCTTAATTACTAAACTGCATTAGATATTCCCAGTTCAACATTTGAAAATAGACACATGTATAGAATATGTGACAATACCCATGAAATCCCTAGTTACAGACATGAACGGTTTTAAAACATAAACAATTCTTGTGAATGTCACTACTGGAAAATGAATGGACTAGTTGATATTATGTAATGGAATTTTGGCATCAATGAGATGTAAATGTTAAAATTGGTTTCATTTTCCGTTTCACCAAACTAGTGTTGTTGTTTTTTACCACTGCACACTCAGTGCTTTCCAGGAGCTTGTGAAATCGCATATCAGGGTAAAATGAAAAATCCACAAAATAATCGGCAGAGCGTTCAAGGGTCACCGAGGGCCCAAGAGCAACAACGCAGGGTTTATGATATATTTTTATTTGCCTAAGGGCACCCCTTGCATACCCATTCCTTTTTTTCTACATAAACTTTTATAGGTAAAAAGAGATTTACAGTAAAAACCTCAGGACCTCCGGACTTCAAAAGCGATTCTTTCAAAATCATGAAATAACCTGATAAAAATCCTGGAATCAGTAAAAAGCCGGACAAATTTCACTCCTGCCAAACTGATTAAGTTGAGATTCACAACCAAATACCTCATACTTACTGGTGCAAACATCTTAACCATCCCGTCAATGATAAATGAAAGATTTTGTTAGTGTCATTTTTACCTCTCTGAGTTTAGCCAGTGGCAGGATGGGTTTGACTGGAGGCATCTCCGCCTGTAGAGAGCCAGTTGCCTTCAAGATGTCCGCCTTGATGTCAAAGACTTCAACCTCCGAGTCCTTTCTCTCGTTCTTGGGTGTTTGCTTGTTGTCCTCCTTGTCTGATTCACCCTGATAAACACAAAAATGTTAAAACATGGTCATTCCTATGATCTTTTTATTTGATAATTGTTTTCTGGTACTGAAACTGGAAACCATCGTCAATCGTTAATCATTTGTCTGTTGTACTGTATTTTTATATAACTAAATATTTTATCTCCAATTTAAAAACTCTTATTATCCAATGTAAATGTAATTTCCAGTTTTTTGGGGTTTTTTGATGAAATTTTTGTTTTACTGTAAATGTAACACTGTAAATGTCATGTAATTCAGCATTTTGCTGCAATATGATTTTTATGAAATAAACCAATTATAAATTGAAAGAGTACAAGGGCACTGTAGCAAAGAAACCTAAGGAGAGAAGACAATGAAAATTTTTCATTTTTTTTGATAAGATGGAATTTGCATTGGGGAGACGAAACTTTTATATTGGGTTTGAAGTCCCCCCCCCCCACACCGTCCCCCCCAAAAAGTTTGATCACCACAAAAAAAAATATATTACATCTCCCTGATGCAAATTCCATCTGATAAAAAAGTTTGGTTGTCGTACCCGCTGCTACATCAGACTTAAATCGGCAAGCCGACCCCGGCAACATTTGTACTATTCAGAGATGCCAAGATCACACAAAAGCTGGGAGTGTGACAGTGCAGAGAGGAAAAGGCCATCATAATGTAACCTTGGCTTGCCCAGGAGACGAGGGTGCCCCTTTTGGTTGATGGCGTTGGGGGTTGTTTTTTGCGACCATAACCAGAAACATGTTTGATTGAACCACCACTTACGCTCATGCAGAACCACACTGCACGGCTTTTTTCAATCTTTGCACAGAACCAAAGTTGCCAAAATGCTTAGCCCAAACACGAAAACAAAATTTATTTTTCGAACAGGGGCGTGTGATTGTGATTATCTGGCGTATGAGCGTGTGAATTGACTCTGAGGCTTGTGACACAAGCCGGAGGCATGATGCTTGGTAGGTCGGACTATTAAGCAGGAGGTAGTGGGTTCGAGCCCACCTGAGTAAACTTTTGAAGGTTTTCTTGCAAGCCCGCGGACAACCTGACAACACTGATTATACAGTGTTTTATATCAAACTACGTTGGTGAAGAGTAAAAACCCAACAAAAAATGAAGAAGTTATCTGTATTAGAGGCAGGAGCAAAATCCCAAATGATATTCCAATTTTCCAAACACACCCATCCACATCTTAGCCTTGGTAGGAATCGCACCTGCCTAACAGAGGTTAAAGGCGAGGAAAGGGCCCCTCTTCTAACCTGACTCTCCATATGCAATATAATGTGTTCAAAAATCTGTTTAAGTTTGGGCTCTTACAAGAAAAAGCTAATAATACAGTGTACTATTTGATTAAAAGTGGCCACCTCTAAAATCTATATCTACTGCAGTGTTCAAATTGCACAATTAAGGCCACCATCAAACCACCTGTTACACTAAGTGATTGTGTTTTGATTCATAACTGTAATATATTACCACTCATTATTTTCAGATTACCTTTATTTCATAGATGCTGTATATAAAAAAAGTTAATGCTAAATAAAAATATAAACCTAGAGTTGAGGACTTACATGTACATAATCATCAGACAAAACAAATGACGTTATCGAAAACGTCCTTGAAGTATATTTATTTAAGTTGGCCACCAAACCTTTGGATCAGCTTCAAGCTACGAAGAGAGTTTCTTTCAATTTCTTGCCATACTTCCGTCAGGTTTAAAGTCTGCATGGAGCCAATTTCACGGCACTGCTAAGCACAAAAATTTGCTTAGCACAAAAAAAGTCTGGCTTGTAAAAGCAGGTTACCAGCCAAAACTCCATGTGATGTATATTGCTTGTGATTAGTATTCAGCTGTTGTTTGCTATGAAAATCACTTGGAATTTTGACTGGTAACCTGCTTTTATAAGCCAGACTTTTTTTGTGCTAAGCAAAGTTTTGTGCTTAGCAGCGCCGTGAGATTAGCCCCTGGTGGGCAAGTTCACCGACTGGAAACAATACAGTTCGAGTTACAGTTCAATGCCATGTCAAAACCGAGGAAACTTAAGTACTCTGAATTTCCAAGTTTGGAACTGAACAAATTGTTTACAGCTAGAGACGTCATTCAATCTTTTCAATCTGTATCAGTTTCGGGCCTAGACAATACAGCTACAGTCAGCATTTGTAAATTAAGCAACGTGCTTCCTTACCAACTTACATTACTTTTTTTCAAAAGTGAAATTTTTAGAATACCAACGTATCCAAAATAATGATTGATAATAACCACTTTTTCAGCTTATCAACCAAAAAGAACACATTTTATTGTGTGTTTCACATAAAAATAATAAGTTTGATAAAGGCTACCTTACTTCACCTCTGATTCAAAAAGTTCTTCTTAAAGTGATACTAACGTGTGGCATTGGAGGTACGCTGATTAACTTTAAAAGTTAAGGCAACAATTTGTTTCACCATCACAGAGCAATAAAGAGATCTATTTTAAGAAACCGGTGTCCTTGCTAAGTAACTTGAACCACCGGTATTTTGACTGAAGCAGTCTTACCGCTTTGAAACTATCAGTTGCTACTCTCTGTACATAGCCGGAACATGTCTTAGAGATGTGTATTTTTTATAAAACATTTTGGGCTTACCACTTGCCAACACAAATTTACTTGAAGATGCATGCCCCATGCTCCTCAAAAATGAATATTTTTCTCTAACAAATTTCCAATTTTATATTGCTAGGAAAATAGCAATTGAAAAACAAATATTTCCCAGATGAAACTCGAAAATAGCAAGGGGAATTCATCTTTAATGCTTTCCGAGAAGTGAGTAAATAAATGAAGAGCAAAATTCTTGGTTTTATTTTACACAACATTTCACAATTAATGTAAAAAAATATTTTTTTCGTAACCCCCCACCCCCCCCCCCCAAAACGTACAAATTTCCAATTTGTACGTTTTTTGGGGGGGTGGGGGGTTACGAAAAAAATATGCGTCTGCAACCCTCTCAAAAAAGGGCTTTCATTTTGTTCACAGATAACCCGCCCTGCAAGAGCTGAATTTAATATTGTAAAAGTTGAATTTTATGAAGAAATAAACTAAACGTTGGTGGATTTTTTTGTTCAATGTCTCATTCATTAGGGAATAACTTTTATATTGCTAGGAAAATAGCAATTGAAAAACAAATATTTCCCAGATGAAACTCGAAAATAGCAAGGGGAATTCATCTTTAATGCTTTCCGAGAAGTGAGTAAATAAATGAAGAGCAAAATTCTTGGTTTTATTTTTACACAACATTTCACAATTAATGTAAAAAAAAAGTAGGTTGTTGCGAACTTGAAGCACAATGCCCAAGCCTCACACGGTTGAAATACTGCTGTTTTCACTCTCATTAATTCAATCTTCCAAGATAAATATTAAACTTTAATTCAAACTTTCTTCAGATTTTTAACAACATTTTCACGAAATGATCAAATTTCATGGTTTGGTGCCAAAGCTACACTTGAGAACTGATTTCACCACCCCATGGCAATAACATGCACAAACAAACATAAAAGCCTCTAGAGAATTGTAACCATGAAAGTGTTTAGACACTTGATGATCATTGCTAAATCGTGCAATAACAATAGAGCCAAGTTGATTACTGGTTTCAGTCAGCTAAGGTCAATCAAGGTCATGACCTCCGCGAATGGAGGGTGATCTAGTAGCCTAAAATGCTATAAATATCTCTTTCTGTAATGTGCACGGATCAGGTTACAGTCACACAGTACCTGACAATGTGGGGGATAATTCCAGGTTTTTTTCCCATGATCTTTGTTTTCTGGAAATTTGATATTTTTAACTTATCGACCAAACAAGCAAGCTGCTGGAGATCTTTCAACAGGGAACCACGGTAGGTGTATACATTCCTGCCAACATTGAGAGCAATAAATCAAATACACCTTCTTGTAACAATGGTACAAAATAACTCCCGACGAACTTGACAAACCAACATTTGTCGGTCAAAACAAATTGTACCATTTCAAACGTATTTCAGCAGAAAAAATGGTACAAAGAAGTTAAATTAATTGATAATTTCTATGCTGCCGTATAAGTGCAATCTCCAATGTCCAACTGGAAATGTAAGTCAACTTTCCTTGGAATTGTTTTGAAGAAAATACCAAATAGGATATCACTGTTTGTATGCATGTACTTGTCTTTGAAACTGGCATTTCTGTTTATGGCTATGGATACTTCCTGCAGCATTTTAATAGAAAACACACCTAAGCCACAGCCACCGACAGCCAATTCAGGCACGGCTAATGTCTCTTATTTCAGACTTGCGAAAATTGTTCTTTTAAAGAGTGCATTAGGAGATTTTTTTGAAAAGGCCCCACCCCCAACAGCAAAAATAAATAAGAAAGTGAAAGTGCTATATTAAAAAAAAGCCTAGGCACGATATGGGCTGTGTTTTTTTTTCCAAGAACTTACATTACATCAACATGTATATATTTAAATGCTGTTTGTTTTTCAAAGAGAGTGGTGAATAAAACAGGGAAAATGTCACAAAATTACAGAGAATGAAACAAATCAAAGAGTCCTGACCTCTGCACCCGTTCTCTCCTCCTGGAGCTCTGCTGTGCCCTCCGCTGTCCCTTCTGTCACCTTGTCTGCTGTGGGGTCTGTCACCCCTCCCAAGGTACCCGGAGGCGTCTCTCCCGGGGCGGATGGTGGGGACTGATCCTCTGGAGTCCTGGTGGAGGGTGAAGGGGAGCGGGAGCGGTCGGCCGAGTTGGGGCTGAGTGAACGTTGTTCTGTATAACACAACCAGTCCAAAAAAAAAATCATCCAATAAAACTTCAAAATTCTTGTGACCTACAGAATACAGTTTCACTTCTTCATACATGCGTCAATTGTTTAAAGGGAATGTACATTATTGGTTTTTGCTGTAATTTTCAGAAATGAACTATTTGAGGGGTTAGTATAGTACTAGATAAAATATTGTTACACTGACATGTTTGAAGTTTTGTGTTCGAAAATGCTGGAAAAACCAAGAAAAAAAAAAGTCCAAGTAGTCTGGTTCCCTGACTCCACTAAAGATAAAATGGATCAATTTATAGATGCCGGAAAATTGTAAGGTAAGGTAACCAGTCTAGCTGACCTGCACCCGTTCATGAACATGGAACCAATAGCAAACAAAATTTGGACAGAAAAAAAAAATGGTAAATTTGGAGCAGTAGTTGAAAAATAGTTAGGTTTTTCCAATGGTGGTCGGCCGACCACCGTTTTCTTGAAAATGACTTCACACCAGGTGCCGTAATTTTACAGGATGCTTTAAACTGTCATTAACCAACATCCTAGTAAGTTATTTTGTAAAAACTTGGTAGTTTTATTTTTTGATGTTTGCAAATGTTGTATATTCCCTTTAATTTGATGCAAAAAAATGGCCTTTCTGTGGTAATCTCTTGGTTCTGTTGTGGATAACTGCTATGATTTTCTAAGAGCCTATTTATAGAAGCACTGTAACAATAAATGGAAACGAAAAGTGGCCTATCACGTGGCAGCAAATATTTTCACATGGGCTGCAAAATGTGCAGTGGTATGTTAATCAATGTAAATTATTAAAACATTTATAGGTTATGACCACCTATGTGCTGTTTGGTCGTTACACCTTATTTTTGACAATTCACTACGATTTCCAAGGCCTGATCCAGAACACAATTTTTGGGGACCAAATTTGGTTTTTGTTCCCCGAACAAGTGGGGCAAAAAATTTCCCACCCCAAATTTAATATGAAAAGCAAAGGGGGGGGGGGGGGGTGGCACTAGGACTCTACATGGCCTTGGTGATGGTGGCGCAATTTAAATGCTGTACACAGTGGCTGATTTTTTTTGCGATGATGATTTCTAAGCTCAACGCTTTATCGCTCAACAGCACGGCATGTACTTGGTTGGTTCTTCTCCTAAGGACTCTGCAGGGGAGATTAAACAGGAGGCCAGAAACACCAGCGCAAACCCCTTCTCTTAGCGATAAGTGTTACTGGGTTCTTTTACGTGCATTGCATTACATAACACAAGGGACCTACGGCTTTAAGTCCCGTCCAAAGGACGAAGCAATAATGGTTAAGTGCCTTGCTTAAGGGCACAAGTGTCCTGACCCGGGCTCGAACCCACATTCTGCTGCCTCTGAAACACCAGAGCATAAGTCCGGTGCGGTGCTCTTAAAGCTAGGCCATGAGACTCAACATGTTCATACAATAAACCAGCCCATAAAACAAACACATTTTTTCCCTGCTCAGTCAGGCCTGTTAACGTGCACCATGTAAACAGGAGCTTTTTGGAACCCGATAGTCCCTGCTAACTGACCTGGGGAGGTGCTTGGGGACCATCTCCGGCCCCGTCTGTTCTTGTGTCTCTCCGAGGCCTTCTTGGAAGCCTCCAGCAAGCGTTGAGTGATCTCCTTCTCTTCCTCGGTCATGTCTACGTCTGAGAGATTGCCGCTCAGCAGGAGCTCCAGGCTCTTGCCCTCGGACCCTGGAATAGAAACAAAAAAATTGTTTGCCAAATCAACAAATTGTGCAGACACATGTCCATTTGGGGGGTGGGGGGGGGGAGTAAGGAGGAAATATCCCTCCCACTTTTTCACCATGGGCAATGGGCCACACAGTCAATACCGCCAACCCCAAAATCGTGCTGCTAAACTGATTTATCAGGCTGGAAAATATGACAACGTCACTCCTATCCTCCACGATCTTCACTGGCTGACAATCCCCAACCGAATCAACTTCAAACTTCTGGCCCTCGTTTACCAATGTCTTAACACTGACTCTGCACCTTCATACTTAACCGAACTCATTCAGCTTTACAAGCCGACCAGAAGCCTCCGATCATCTACTGACACCAGATTACTCCATGTACCAAAAACTCGCACTTCCACTGGAGAGAAAAGCTTCCACGCTGCTGCCCCAAAACTCTGGAACAATTTACCCTATATCATCCGCCACTCTAGCTCACTAGCAACATTCAAAAAATCCCTGAAAACCCATCTGTTTAATTGATCTGTTTATCTGATCTGTTTAATTAATTAATTAATTGATATGTTATTACTTACTCATGTATTTTGAATGTGGTTTATTTCTTGTTCTGTTTTCTGGTGTTTTTTTTTTTTTGGATTTTCGTAAATTTTTGTGTAAAGCGCTGTGGTACTTTCTATGACAGTTAGAGCGCTATATAAATGTTCAGTATTATTATTATTATTATTAAGATGTGGTACTAAACAAAATCAACCAGACTAGGCACTTGGTCTGAGGGATCTGGGTAGTCGTCTGAGCAAAATTTGACTTCACTAAACATTCATTGGGACATTCACCGGGAAAATGTGTTCAACTTTCACAAATTCACAGGCCGACTTGCCATAACATCACAAATTGCCATTCACGTTCATTTTCAATTGATCTAAGCAAGTGTGCACCAACCAATACCATTCACATACATGTACCCGTACCTTGCCTGTTATTTGATAACTGAACATCATAAGGACAGATAAATGGAACACGAGTGCAAGCATTTATTTGAATATGAAATTATTAGAACGTGAAATTATGGTGGTTTCAGCTTACCCAATGCAGAGGTTCTCTTGTCTTTCTCCTTGTCAAGGTAGGAGCGTCTCTTTAGACGGGCGGGGGAAAGCTTCCTTGGAGTTGAGGGGCTGTATTTGCCAGATCTGAAGCAGGAATAAAGCAGTGGCTACTTTGACTTTGTATAAAGGGATTGATAATCATATGGACATACTCTTTCCCCAAAATCAAATCATACACAGTAAGCATGCAATTCAATTGCCAACTGAATAAAAAGGATTTTGTATGACCAGGGTGATCCACTAAAGAGGTTCTTGGATGTGGACATCAACTAGTCTGGACGTCCATTATGGACATCCACTTACACTTGTTAGTGGATTTCTGAACTTATAAAATGAATATCCACTATTTAGAGGACAGAACTACCCACATGTCAAAGTTAGCATTCACTGGACATCCACTACTCAGAAGTGGATGACATCCACTACTTAGTAGTGGATGTCTTCACATGGTAGCTAATGTCCACTATCCGGTGAACAGAGGCAACCACCTGTCGCATTTAGCATTCACTTGGGAGTGGACATCTACTCGCAGTGGACAGAACTATCCACTGTGACAGTAGGCATTCATTTAACATCCACTAACACAGTTAGTGGATGTTGACTATTTGATGGACATCTGTTATATACATTGTAGCATTTCCAGTTGATGTCAACTTTTTAGAGGACATTCCGTTGGCGTCTGGTAACGCTTGTAGGCGGATGTGTACACAAGTTTTGCGAGTGGATGTCCACTATTTAGCGGACTTAACTACCCACCTGTCATAGTTAGCATTCACGTCGTTGTCTTCACTGTCCGCTTGGCAGCCTTCCACCACAATGTTAGGTCTTGCATAGCTGTTGGCCAGCATGTCCGCCATTCTCTGGGCGGCCTCTTGCCGGTCCTGAGCACTCTTCTGTGCAAATGTCAAGGGAAGAGTTTTGTCAAGGACTAACATTCAAACCTTTGCTATTCTTTGGCTCTGGCTTGAGGTTTGAGACACCTCAGTGAGTGGACTCCGCCTCAATCTTGGTCTATGATCTAACTCTGTAAAGGTATAGTCCATCATTTGTAATTTGTGCATTTTGTTCGTTTGAAGCAACAAAAGTGCTCAAGATCTAAAGAAGGGTGCTGAACAACTAACCTGATAAAGTTTCAGCTCAGCTTTAGCTGTATATTTTGAGAGAAACAACATTCTAGGATCTTGATTCAAATCAAAAGTTGCTGAATCATGTTTTAAATTGGGCCTGAATTCAGCGTCCGAGACACGTTCTCACTGAGCCGATTGCAGCTACGCGATGTCGCGCACTGATCCAACGAATTATAGCAACCACACGCGCGCCTGTGCGTCGTGCCAATGCTTGCGCGCACTGAAGCACCGTGCTTCTTAAGAAGCACTGTTGGAAAGGCCTTCTTTTGTTGATTTCTTCAAAATGACAGCTTGCCAAAAAGAATAATTTCACAGGGAGTTGAGTCTCCTTACTATCTTTAACCAAGTATGTTTTTCAACAATAATTACGCCAGTTACTTTTAGGATAGCTGCAAATGATGGACTCTGGCTTTAAATATAAGGCCAATTTCATGGCACTACTAAAGACAACATTTTTACGATCACCATTCTGCATCAACAGCATGAGCACAGAGAATTTTCTAACCCTGTTAGTACATCAGCCACAGTGTGCACGCATGACAGCAAGCCAACATTCCTAGATGACCCATGAACTTTGCTATAAACCGTTGGCACAGAAAGTTCTTCGACTAGTTAGCAAGTCTTCTTTGCATCTGCTTAAAGGTAGAGTACATCATTTGTCATTTGTGCATTTTGAAGCAACAAAAGTGCTCAAAATCCAAAGAGGGGTGCCTAACAACTAGCAAGGTGAAGTTTCAGCTCAGTGAATGCTGTACATTCCAAGAAAACTATGTTCTAGGGTTTTGATCTCAATTCAAAAGTTGCCGAGTTATGTTTTGAATTGCACCCGAAATCAGTGTCCGGGACACGTTCTCATTCCATTAACTGCAGCTACGTGATGTCAAGTGCTGGACTGCTGAATATAGCAACCGCGCACGCGTGTGCATCGTGTCAACGCTTGCGTGCACACTTCTAATGGAAATTTCCAAAAATGCGTCTTTAGACGCATCGTTGGAAATGACCTTCTTTTATTGTTTTCTTCAAAATGACAGCATGCAAGAAAGAATCATTTCACAGGGAGTTTAGTACCATCACCATCTTTAAATCAAGCATGATTTTCAACAATAATTTTGTCAGTTACTTTTTTGGATAGCTGCAAATGATGTACTCTGTCTTTTAATTCTTCTTCGATTATGGTAAGCACAGCTAGAAAATTTGGCCAAGGATGATTACAGCAATGCAAGGAACCATCTGTTGAGGAAGGCTATGTGTAATTACATACCCTTTGCAGGGACTGAATCTTAATGTCAGGTTTAACTACAGGGATCTTGGGGGGCACCTCTTGGCTATCAGACGGCTCCTTGTCTGGTGTTCCGCTAGGGCTCTCTGGGGAGCCATTTCTGGGTTAATCAAGGAGATAGAGAAGGGGGTTAGTAGCGGCACTAAGCATCCAAGTTCACTCTCAAAGGAAAGTTTTAAGGAGTTTTATCTACAAGACACAAGGCAATGGGTTACCAATTAGGTTCAGAAATGTCCTCTACCATTTATGTCATATTAAAAGGAGAAAATAGTAAACTCTACAATTTCAACACCAGAGAGTTTACACACAGTTTGTCTTTAGAAGTGCAAGCTGGATGGGTCTCCTTTATTAAGACTTGGGCCCCGAGGAGAAAACGGGTTAACGACAAATCCAAGTAAACTTCAAAGCAATCATTTGGGCGGTTCGTTATCAGCAAAGTAAGTTGATTAGAAATGTTAGACAGCAATGATTCTTACCAGTTAGACTTACATTCAGTAATGAGTACAAAGAATATGGACGTTAAGACGCAGTTAGATTCTAAGCATCACTTGACTTAAAGGCCATAATTTTAGTTCACTTCAGAGGTTTAAAGACATTATTTCAAGGTGATGGAAATGAAATGGCTAAGTCTGCCGTCTTATGTCCGGCCAACAATCATACAAACCTTGAAAACGGTGACGCTAGAATATCAGAAAAGTCGTCTCTCTCCAGGGAACTCCTGAACGAGCCCCTCAGTGGAGAACAGCTCACAGGAGATGAGAAAGCGGTGACAAAGGAGTCGCTCAGGTCCGACGCGCTGTCACCGGGGGATGATGCCTCGTCCACCGGTAGGAGGATTGCTGAACTCAGCGTGGGCGGTTTGTTGACTAGATAAGCCTGTTTGACGTCGGCTCCGTTGGTGACTTGCAAGGAGGACAATCTGAACTCATCTGCAGAGTCTGTTTCTGTTTGGGCGTCAGTGTCCCTGTTCCGGGAATCCGCGAGGCTCGTCTGGGAGTGGGAGCTGCGAGAGTAGGGACGGACCTGCCTGTCCGGGGTGCGTTGAATCTCCGTCTGCGTGGCCACCGTCTGCGACTTCCGCCTCTTCTTGGTTTTGAACTCACGGAGGAGGTTGAAGTGCAGCTTGTCGATGACTGACCCTGGCGCGTCCCTCAGGCAGTCGACGAGACTGTCATCCTGAGAGAGGTGGTCCGTCTGTTGCCACGGCAACTTGGCACTTTGGTGATGCAGGAGGAGGGAGTTGGAATGGCCTTGGGAGGCTTTGTCGATAACTTCTAGAGTCAGGGCATCTGAAAACAAAGAAAGTGGTAAGAGGTTCTGAAGTTTGAAAAGTCGGCAACATTTTTCCCAAGACTTGAATTTATATGGGCATTAGGACAGGCATTGCCCTCAATTATTTTTTTTTTTTAAATGGTATTGATTGCTACACTATGTAACAATTCCACCTTCTGATTGGCCTACTTTTCAAGAACCTGCACATGTAAAATGCAGTACCTATGTGAGCACATTTAAAACTTGAAAAGTGTTGGCCTATCATCAGAAGGTCATAAGGGCAATAACGCACTGGCTATTCTCAGACTCTATATCGAAGAGAAAGACATTGAAATATGGTATTGAGGCTGTGTTGAGACTAAGACCATGTCTTCCAGAGCTACAGCTGTGTCTATTGTCAGCTTGCTCCCACATCATTGCAATGGGCAAAGAGGCCTCGACAATAGCACTGGACAAGCAGAAGCAGATCCAGAGGGGGGCACAGCCAGCACCTCCCCTTCCCCCATTTTCAGAATTTGTTATATAGGCGGCATACGTCTTATCTTTTGTCTCTGTTTCTTCCGCTGTCAACGGGTTTATTAAATAACTTCAAAGACAGAAATGTTCACACACATGAACATTTTTATATGCCCTTCTTGTATGTTCGGGTTTCACATCAATTTTCGGCACCCGTCTCCCCCTTTGCGTAAATGCTGGATCTGCCACTGACAAGGGATTGAGAAGCAGCCTATAAGAGGGATCTTACTGATCCACTTGACCGAGCCTACATACGGGTACCGGAAAGTCAGCATCACCATAGTAGAAAGCAAAGATTGTACAGTGCCGCGGGCAGTTAGTAGATAGGTAAGCCTTCAAAGCTGTGTGACGGATGGCAAAAACTGTGATAAAAACGTGGAGTCAACTCCAAGTGCTGGGTCAACACGTGAAAATAAGCCCTACTGTCTAGTTTACAGTACACACGACGTGGTTGCTATAAACCAAATGTGACCTGTTCTGTCAAAAGTAGACGCTTCTGGGCAGAGGTTGAAATTGAGATATGGCCAAAACACGCTGTGGGGTGATTTTTTTCGATTGTCAAGTTTTTACATCTTTGTAATCCTTAACATGTCTAAAATATGCTATAAAAGTTTGACAACCTAATTTGAACTCTTAATATAGTATTTTTGATGATTTGTAAAGGTATATCAGTTATAGAAATGTCTGTTTTGTGACGTTCGTGGCCATTTTCTCCGTTTTCTACTTTTCGACTCAATGAACTTCAAAATACCATAACTCTGCCCAGGAATGACCGGTTTCAAAAATTAAACCACCTATTAAAAGGAAAAAGAACGTATTTTAACAATATGTAAAAATCTCATTTTTGACCTTATGCCCAGAAAAGTCTGATTTTGACAGAACAGGTCACAAATGTTTGGCTCCTACAATGGTGACTGATCGCAGGGAAAGTGGATTGTCATATAGTACTTGGACGTCATACGAACGGAAGCTATACTACAATGACTACATTCCCTATGACTAATCAAACCCAATCAGGTAAGACAGACCTACCTAACAGTACAGAGCAATCTGTGTCAATACTGCAGACGCATCCTTCTCTAGATCCCCTGGGAAGGGTCTGCTTGCTGCAGCCCTCTCGGTTTCTCCCTCTCTTTAGTCGCAGCTGTCTGTACTCCAGGGAAAACTTTTCACGTTTCTGACGATTTGTGGGAGGAATAATAATAATAATAATAATAACAGGTTCTTATACATGTATAGCGCTTTTAACTAAGATCAATGCTCTTCACATTATTATTACCTTTAATCATTGGGCCAATTAAACATTCCAAATACCATCTCAGCTCCCTGGGGAGTATACAACTCGATGCAGCCTGTTAGGCGCAAGGAAGCTAATTCAATCACCATAACCATCACTGCCCTCATAGGTACCCATTTACTCCTGGGTGGAGAGAAGCAATGAGTGACAAAGTGCCTTTCCTAAGGGCACACGTACCATGACCCCGCCAGGACTCGAACCAACAACCTGCAGCTTTACCCGCAGACCACGAATCAGTGCCCTTAACCACGAGGCCACAGCACTCCACTCGGAGTGAAAAAATCCTTGCACCATAAAGTAGGAACAAAATTTGTTTTTTTTCTGGCTATCTGTTACAGAGACACTGGGTAAAGGCTGGTAAGCAGAATCTCAACACAATATTTATTACAGTGTTCATAATTTTTTTACTAAATTGGGTGCACAAGCAAACAAAATAGAATGATTTATTCAACGCCTGAATAAATCCCTGTCAATGACATGCGATTATTTGTCCCAACCCACGGCCCGGCCGCGATTTTTTTTCTCCCAAACGACATCCACATACATGGTTATTTAGCGCCCTCTACGACACTTTTATGATACGCACGTAGGTATATAATTATTTGTTTCCCCACGTTTTGGCTGCAATGCAACAGCACAGTCGATAGAAGGTAGGATTTTGCACCACGAGGTTGCGGGTTCGAATCTCGGTTTTGCACTCGAATTTGTTTCCTTTTCTAACCTGAGGCTTTGGAGCATTTTCTTTTAAAGGGGAAATAAAGTCAGAATTTAATAATGTTCAAATTCACTTTTTTTTCTTATTTCATATTTTCTTCTCATGTTTTTATAAAAGTTAAGTCCAAAACGCCATAGCGTACACCCATACATATGTGGATGTCGTTTGGGAGAAAAAAAATCGCGGCCCGGCCATACTGCAAAAATAGAAGTTCCGTTGCACAGTCACACTATTGGTGGCTCCGTATGACCACAATCAGCTGACGAGGATTTTTTCAGGTGTTGCAGAAAACAAATAATGAATGTTTCAAACTCATGCAATGGAAAGAATCATTTCATTCGGTCACAGATGGAATATTCCAGTCGATTCGGCTTCGCCTCGTGGAATGGAACATTCCACTTCATGAAAGTATTCTTACCATTGCACTCGTAAACATTCATTATGACAATGGTCTTTAATTACAGACAAATTTTCTGATCCGGCATAGAGAATTAATAAACAAAGTGCAAGGGATTACACAATGTATGATCATGGCAGGGCATATTTTTCTATTCAAGATGCAAATATGTGACCTGCTCCACAAAAAAAAGAGAGTATGTCGCAAAAAAAGTGAAATTGAGCTATATACATGGTTGGAAAGTCCACAATGTAAGCTTTCATTTGGTATTCATATATATACAGTGTACATGTATTAATAGAGTTCCACAGCCCTTCTGGAGATATGACATATTTGCATCAATTACTTCCTTGGAGTTCAAATTACACAAGCACACGGTAACTGAGAAAACAGGCTTTGAAGTAGCTGCCACTGTTCTAGATTTGGGCACAATGCATTCAAAATTGTGGGTTTTTCTCCCCACTTTATTCATCGAAATCAAAGTTTCTGTGTATGAACCATGAAACTTAAGGTTATAAAGATGTCATTCATGACAAAAAAAATGAAAATCACATTTTCACTAAATTTTCATGAAATAATCACCCTCTTGATGTTGAGCGGGCCATTACACGATAGTGCACAGCGCAACTTAAAGGGAAAGTACATCGTTGGCTTTTGCTGTAATTTTTAGAAAATGAACTATTTGAGGGGTTAGTATATTAGAGCAAATAATGTTACACTGTCATGTTTTAAGTTTTGTGTTCGAAAATGCTGGAAAAACCAAGAAAAACAAAAATATTCAAGTAGTCTGGTTCCCTGACTCCGCTAAAGATGAAATGGATCAATTTATGGATGCCGGATAAGGGAACCAGTCTAGCTGGTCTGCACCCGTTCATGAACATGTAACCAATAGCAAACAAAATTTGGACTGAAAAAAAGGTAAATTTGGAGCAGTAGTAGAAAAATAGTTAGGGTTTTCCAACAGTGGTCGGCCGACCAGTGTTGGAAATTTATGCAAAATATCACTTTTCTTGAAAATGACTTCACACCAGGTGCCATAATTTTACAGGATGCTTTAGGATGTCATTTTCCAACATCCTAGTAAGGTATTTCCTAAAAATTTGGTAGTTTTGTTTTTCGATATTTGCAAATGTTGTATATTCCCTTTAATACTTTTTTTGTGGAGAGGGTCACATATTTCCATGTACATACAATATATGCAATTGGCACAACAATGTATTTCCAGTAGAGCGCAGCATGAACTCAAATATACCTTCAGGGTATGATCTGTATGTATGTATTGTTTGCAGGTCTGTTAACTTCAAGGTTAACCCGAATCGGCTGTAAAGAGCACTTTGCGCTGGAGCCGGGCACCCATTGTGTACTCCACATAAAAAAAAGAAATGACACCCACACACCCACACATTCTTCCCTCAGTTAACAAACAAGGAATTCCTAAAAAAGAAAAAAGACCTTCAATTTCTCAGGAATGTTTGAGGGCATGCATATTGATTAACATGTAAATAGCTTTGGATTTATAGAGAAATGATCGATATTGATATTTTCTTTTCCTGTGACCTTCCAACCAAAAAATAAATCAAGTACTATGTAGTACCACTGTACATGCATGCAAGAAAATAAAAGCTGAAGAAAAAAGCCATTTTTTAAACAAAACAAAAAACAAATCAAAAACAGAGTACTTGATATTAAAGACCTTCTTTTTTCAAGGGAAAAAAAACCTGAGTTCCATAAAAAAACAGAAACTCAAGTTCGTATTGCCCCAGCTTACAAACAAATTAAATTAGGGTTTTTTTCCAGCTCCCCCCCCCCCAAAAAAAAAATTTGGCTCAAATATTTCAGAATTTGATGTTTCAACCCAGCACAGTTTGAAAAAAGGGAAGAAGAAATGGAAGAAAAGAATCTGTCAGGGATTCCACATTAGAGAAAAGAAAAATATTCTGGAAAACTGCAAAGTTGTGTTTATAAGGTTTTAACCTGTGTTACTGGTGCTAAATATTTATAGTAAAGTGATTAAACTGTGTATCACCTTTCTGAATAAAAAAAATCACTCAAGGCATTTTTCACTACCAACTTGGGGCAACCACATGCGCTGCAAGCTATCTTTCTTTTATTTTTTTAATTTAAAAATAAAAAAAAAACATTTCTGACATTTTATGGAAATTGCTATCACACTGTGTATAAGTGTTCAAAATACCTACGTGAACAAATAACATCATCTCTATGGCTTTTTCCATTGTCTCATATGAACTTAAACAGAGACAACTTTTGGTAAGTTTTAACAACTATGCCGGCATGCTAAGATAGCGATTTTCTGAGCAGATTCAAAGCAATTTGGACTTACCAATGAGATGAGTTGACCTCTAACCTTAGCAAGCTGAGTCTTGAGCCCCGTGAGGTAGGCTGAGACCGTCTCCAACACCTGTTTATTGCTACGGGAACCCTGGTTGCTCTGTAACCAAGAGAGAGAGTAACAAGCAACCTTTTAAGTTTACATATTTTAAGCTAACACATTAGCTTTGTTTCACACTTGGGAGTCTGACTGGAAACTGGGCCACGGACCTTGAGATTTGGCACCAGCATCAGCGAGGTTGCACTCACGTTTCTGATCAGCTCCCACAAAGGAAGACATTTTTCATTTGTTAGAATATAAACCATGCTCAGTGCGAGGGACAGCATTGGACTGCAGCCAGCTTGGCACGTGTCCATGAAAATGAATCATCCCAGGGCAGTTAAAAAGTACCTGTCTGATTTCACCTGTGGTTGTAGCAGATCATCAGAGCATTATGTTCTTAAGGTTGTGATTTACACTACATGCAGTGAAAGTTGTCAAAAATAGTGGGTATATAGGCCTACTTGTTCAACCCTTCTGAAACACTGCTCTGTGCAATTGTGAAACATCATAATCCTACATGTAAATGCACACACATGGAGGGGGGGGGGGTCTCCCCAGTTCACTGAACACTGAAAAATGTAATCTACAAAATTGTACCGTCATGCATTGCCCACAGACATGCCAGAGGAATCAAAGGCCCTTGATAACTTGTGATTATCAGGAGGAAATAACCTTGAACGCAGACCGGCACAAACAAGCACCGCAGTTAGAGGATACAAACACGGTTGGCTACTGTTCGTATGGTACACGCACAAGAAAATAACAATTTAAAATATAAAGCACTCCGGAAGTTTTCACCCAAAGTCTTCAGCCCAGACTCGTTGAGTAAATTTTTGGGTACCGGGCTCGAAAAACAGGAAGAAATGCCTAGACAGACGCGCTGAAAATACACAGCCTTGGCATCAAGCCAAGACACTCCAGAGACATAGTTTTAAAGTCTTGGGGTTGTTTTCTTCTCTTTTTTTTTGCCTTTGGGAAAAAAATAAGTCTGATGCCCTTCTGCCTTCAGGGTAAATATAGATCTCCATTTTTCCTCACATCTAATGCACGTGTACTGGAACTCGACTTCTTTAATTTGTCCAGTACCCTGTCAAGCAAGAGTATGGACATTTATCTAGACTATGGATTGGAGCAATTTTGTACACTGTATGTTAGAGTATAAGACAGACTCTGAGAAAATGGAGCACGTACATAGCCTAAATCTAACAACAATCAAGGCTGCAAAATGTGTACAATGCTGCATGAAACACCCTTCATATACGGTACCTGCACCTTAAAGGCCAAAAAAAAAAAGTCTCCGGTTTCTGGTATGCGCGCGCGTCGCCATAGCCATGCGCGTCGGCAAAATGAAAAAGTTTTTTTTCAATGAAAGATGATGTCTCAAAACCGCCAAACTCACTGGTTTGACTGGAATTCTGCTGCTGCACAATTTTAACGTGTTTTTAGGTGGGGTTATGGTCGAGAATAAGCTTTATGTGGCCTCTCTGGACTCCCAATCCCATATAGGCCTATTTGTACTAAGTTAATAGTTGGGCACCATTTGCAGTCATCAGCCGACATTTGAAGCAAAAAAATCAGGTAAAAAAAAAAAAAGCCACGTCGCCGCACCATTTTTGGGGCAAGCTCCATACCAGAAACCGGAGACTTTTTTTTTTGGCCTAATGAAAGCAAAGTGCTTTTTAAATTGTTTTTAAATTAACATATTTTTTTTCTGTTTATGTGTATACATGTACATGTACATCTATGCCAATCCAGTTTTCAAGGGAAATTTACCCTTTGTGGCAAACACAACATATCCCATAGGAGTTGAGTCATTTTCAATTTCACAATGCGTAAAGTCAGGAAATCAAGTACGTACGCCTACTACAAGGCTTGTAACTGCTGGATACCACACAAGTATGTATCCCAATGTATACATTTTGTTGGTTCTATGCATAAATAAACGGATCCATTATGCCCCGCCCTTGGATGTAGTTCTGACCAATCACAGCCCACAATGTCCGACATGGGTGCACAAATGTCTGACATTGCGTGCACTTGCATGCAGTGTGGGCATTGGAGATATATTCCTGTGTTAATTGTTGCTCAAGTACACAGGGGGCGGGGCTTAAAGGTAGAGGAGATCATTTGTAGCTACCCAAAAAGTAACTAACCAAATTATTGTTGGAAAAGCATACTTGGTTTATATAGATAGTAATGGCACTAAACTCCCTGGGATTTTCTTTCTGGCATGCTGTCACTTTGAAGAAAACAATAAAAGAAGGTCATCTCCAAAGATGCGTCTTGCATTTTTGGAAATTTCCGTTAATATTTCGCTTTTAATTCGGCGACATGCTGCGTTGACATGATGCACACACGCACGCACGTTTGCTATAATTCATCGGTTCAGTGCGTGACATAGCGTAGCTGCAATCGGCTGAATGAGAACGTGTCCCGAACGGCAATTAACTTTTTAATTGAAATCGAGATCCTAGAATATTGTTTTCTCGGAATGTACAGCAATTCACTGAGCTAAAACTTCATCAGGTTAGATGTTACACGTGAGCACCCTTCTTTAGATTTTGAGCACTTTGTTGCTCCAAACGAAACAAATACATGTATGCACAAATGACAAGCGATTTACTCTACCTTTTAATAGATCAGTCTATGGGCCATTTGCAACATTTGCAAGACACTGAAATGTTAACAAAATACAGGCTTACGGATATTGAAATTCTACAATGACTTGCAGTCAGGCATTTTCACTCCGCATTAGTGTTTCGAAACTCAAAAATAAAACATGCCTTTTGAGGGCCTGCAGTCTCAAAAGGCATGTTTTATTTTTGAGTTTCGAAACACTAATGCGGAGTGAAAATGCCTGACTGCAAGTCATTGTAGAATTTCAATCAGCGAAAATGTAGTCTTGGATCGACAACTTTGTCAGTAAATGGAGTTACGTTAATTTGACAGATTTCTTGGCGAGGTGTGTATGGTGACCAGAATAGACTTGAGATCAAGGATAGCAACACATAGAGGAATTGTCAAACTCTATCCCTGGATAAGTGTTATAATTCAAATTCAAAGGACAATAAACCGAATATGGATATTTTTAACTTTGTCAGTAAATGGAGTTACGTTAATTTGACAGATTTCTTGGTGAGGTGTGTATGGTGACCAGAATAGACTTGAAATCAAGGATAGCAACACATAGAGGAATTGTCAAACTCTATCCCTGGATAAGTGTTATAATTCAAATTCAAATGACAATAAACCGGATATGGATATTTTAACGCACACTTATCCCAACAAAATATAATCACTATAACAAAATGAATAAGCATAATCATTCGTAATCTAAAAATAGCATTATAATACCACTCAAAGAAGTCCCGATTTGTAAGGCTTTCATGGAAAAATATAAAGCTTGTATGGGTCAGCCCCGAAAACGCCCATTTATTTCATTGTGACACCGAATACCATTTGTATGATGTTAAGGTGTAGAGAGACACAGCGAACAAATAACCACTATTGAAATAGGCAACCCACGTCAGCATTTCACACCCGTGATCTGACAAAAAAGGAACCGGATAGCAAAAAGAATTGAAATGCTTGAAAAAAGGCGAGAGGCCATACAGGTGATTTTTTTCCCCCCAAAGTTGATGAAATCAGAAGTAACTTGAGTTTTTATGCGGTTGTATTGCGGGTCCTTTACACTTTTTTGTTGGGATGAAGAGGGCAGGGGGAATTTAGGGGGGCAGAAGGGAAGGGGGAAGAGGGGGGAAGAGGGGGGAAGAGGGGGGAAGAGGGGGGAAGAGGGGGGAAGAGGGGGGAGGGGGGAAGAGGGGGGAGAGGGGGCCGGGGGCCAGGGGCAAGGGGGCCAGAAGAGGATGACTGGGATTATTTTATGTAAGTAATTTTTGCTGCACGCCTTCAACCGTTGAACCACAACAATAACATTTTAACTTGGAAATTGGAAACTCGGTGTGAACACCTCTGAATCATGTGAGGAAATCAAATAAAATACAAGTAAATCAGTCCATATCCTAAACTTCACTTCCACAATCAGTAAAAAAATGTGACTAGGAACAACTCTTGGAACATTCATTTACTCAGAAAGTGCTGACACGAAGTCAGGATCGGGCCTTGAGTTTCGGACAGATCTACATAGGGTTGACATACAGAGATATCAATTATCATAACCAACAAAATTAGCAAATTGTCATAGCCCTCTTTATTTGTACCTGACTTTGTACTTTCATTGTCACTAAATTTAAATAACAAAAACTGTCCCCCAGTGAGGGGGCACTGCGCATGAGGTCTATACACAGTCACAGATCCTGGTTTCAACGAAGAGACCATCCAACACCAACTAATTCACATACATGCACATATTAACTGCTGCTACCCGGTATATGCTTCTCAACAACAGAAAATAAATATGAAGAAGAATTATCTACTAGAAACTGACAATGTATTATCAGACATAAATCACTTCATATTCCAGGCAGAAAAAAATACCACCACAAAAATAAACTTTCTGCGCAATTCCTGTGACCTTTTCAATTTTTATTTCTCCTCGTTTCAATTCAAAGTCATCACTGCTTGGGGCTATCAGGCTATATAGTGTGTGCCACACACGAGGGGCTGAACTATTACTAACACCAAATATATCGCCAGTACCCCTTCACCGGTGTATCCATTTTAAGACTTCCATGAATTTCAGGATCTTTTTGCACTGACAAGCTCTCAATTCTTAAATTTTGGGGTTGAAAAAAATATTTCAAGTGAGGACCTCTAGGAAATCTTTTTTCAATGTTGTTAGTAAAAAAAATATGACAATTATGGGAATTTGATGGAATATCAGAAACGGCTTTTGGGAATTTTGAAGTGAAAATTAAAACTAATTTTTTTGAGGACGCCCCCTCCCCCAAGGCACTTCAAGAAATTTCCAACATAAAACTGTTGTTTGTAATATGAGTACTTTTTATGGGGTGGATGAGTGGGTGTGGTTTCAATTTTTTGGGGGGTGGGAGTGTCTTCCCTAACCCAATAATAGTGCTGTACTTGGTGGAGATGTT